TATCCAACAGGATCCAAACCCTGAATCTTTCTAATTTTGCAATATTATGTAGATGGAGGAGGAATAATCCTTCCTTCCTTCCCCCTTTCTCATCTTTCACGTTTCCTCTCTCCCTCCGCTTCCTTCCTTCTTTCTTTCCTCCCTCCCTCCTTCTTTCCTTCCTTTTCTATTCCTTCCTCCCTTTCCTTCCTTTCTGTATTCCTTCGTTCCTTCCACCCTTCCTCCTCCCCTTCCTTCTCTATTCTGTCTTCCATCTCTCTTCTTTATTCCTCCCTCTCTCCTTTTCTTCTATTCCTGCCTCCCTCCTTCTTCTTTCCTATTTTATATTCCTTCCTTCCCTCCTTCCCTTACCCCTTTCTAATTTATCTTCCTGCCTCCTATTTCACCCCCCCCCTCGTGATTTGCTCCTGAACCCATGTTCCACTTTCCTTTTTCCAGAATTCCCTCACTTGGAAGCCCGCTCGCCACCAGCCAGCCCCCCTGCTGACAAGGGACAGACCCTCCGTGATTCGATGCTGAAATTCCCAGACAGCTCCCGTCCTGGAGCAGAGGAGGGTCCCAATGCTCCAGCTTCAGGGGGGAGGCCCTGGGCCCCTTTCCGAGGGGTACGTGGGGCTGTCGTGAGTTATGGGGGGGAGGGAGAAATTGGCTCCCGTAACCCCCACTGACATTCCCCATTCCCCTTTCTTTGAATTGTCCAAACACTGCAAGTTGTTTTTATTTTCTTAGAGATCCAATGATCTTTTCTCTGTTCTTTTTCTGCAGTTTCAAGAGAGCCAGCCGGACGCCCCGGATTTAAAAGATTCTCGTAAAGAGGATGGAGGTCAGAGTTTGAATTTTGGGGGGAAGATCTAATGCTAACCCAGGGCAAATATTTGGAGCATTTCAGCCATTGTAGGAGTCGGAGGGTTTGTTCAGTATATTTGGGGGTGGCAGTGTCTGTCTTTATTTTAAAGATCTTGATAATCCATCAATCAAGTTCTTTATTACGGGCATAAGAAGGTGGAAGACAAGGTGCAAGCTTTTAAAAGTTAAAAAAGAAAAATCTACCAAGTTAAAACATTAAAAAAAACCACATCTTTATACAGGGATACATGTATATAAAATACACAAAGGTAAAAAACATTTTAAAAATCTAACATGTATACATAGACAAAAACAAAAACCTAAAAAAACCCAGAAAACTTTTTAAAAAAAAGCCCTATAAGAAGGAAATAAAAATATTAATTTTTTTTTTAAAAAAGAAAGCTAACACAAGGTGGATTTAAACCTATCGTACTGCAAAACACCCTCAACCAAAATTGGAAGGATGTTAGCTGGGCCTACCGAGCTACATCTTATCCGGTGTGAAGGAAACAACTTTGGGACTCTGGAACTCCCTGCCATCAGATGCGGCGGTGGCCACTGAATTACGTAGGAGAAACACCTACGGAAGAACGAAAGCCACGAAAGCCTCGCCTCATCCCTGCAACCAAACCTTTTAAATAGTCCCGTTTATGACGTCCGATTAATGATTAACCGGCCTTTGTCACCTAATCTCCCACTGCATGATAGATAAATGCTTTTAAAACTAAATTGTAAACTCAGAAGTTAGAACCGCTTCCAATCCAAACACACCCTATTTATGCGCTTTTCAAAAGAGCTTTCGGGCGGCTCCGTTCCCAGAAACACAAGTTTCTAGTCCTCGTGGTGGCAGAACAAACATAGAAGCTGCTTTTGCACTTTCCAGCTAAATTGTGTTAGCACTTAAAAGCAACCCGACGCATGTTTTGCACGGAAGAGGTTTTGCAAGCAGTCCTCGACTTACGACGTTACAACTCCCTTAGGGACCATTTGGAGGTACTTTTGAGCCCTGCCAAAAGACACTCAGGGCCTGATTCTGAACTCCTGAGGTTTGCTTAACAACTCAAACTCGCTTAACGGCCATGGTGATTCATTTAGTGACTGCTGGGGGGCGGGGAAAGGCGTGCAGTTCTCGGACTCCGAAACCCATATTTTTCTCTCTCTCTGGATCTCCTGTTTGTTTGTTTTTTCTTTACAGACCTCGATTCTCAAGTCACTTCCAAAGGTTTGGAAGCCATTCTTCCTCCCGCCCAGCCCCGGTCCTATTTCAAAAGCGTCTCGGTCACAAAAGTGATGGGGCCGGATGGGGTGAGTGCCGGGGGGGGGGACCCCCACCCAGTGGGCCAGGGAGGGGGCTTCGCAGACCTCGCTGAGGCTGAAAAGCCACACAGCTTTTTATTATTATTATTATTTCTGCTCCTCATGCATGATTTTCCCCCTTGCAAACTCTTGCTGCTCGTTTTCAAGCCCAGGGTGGCAGCTTATCTGAGTTTACGGCCATTTTGCCTCCTGGTTTCCATTTTAGACCACAGGTCAGCAACCTGCAGCTCCGGAGCCGCCTGTGGCCCTCTGAGCCTTCCTTCCCCTGCGGCTCCCGGCCGCCATTTGCAGAGAGAGACAGAGAGAGGCACTGGCCTTCCCTTCTCTCTCTCCCTCTGTGTTTGTGTGTTTTTGTGTGTGTGTGTGTGTGTGTGCTTGTGTAAAAAAAAGAGAGAGCGGACTCACGGTGTTCCCTCAGGAGCCGAAAAGCTGACTGGGCGGGGCTTCTGCAGGAAACAGGAAGGGCAGCGAGAGCTCGCTAGCCCAGCTCGGCTGGCTCAGGAATTCTGGGAGTTGAAGTCCGAGAGTCATAAAAGAGCCCAGGTGGCCTAGCTCTGAGTTTGTTGTAGAACAGATTGAAGCCAGATGGCCAGGTGAGCAGCAGATCAGAGAGAGAGGGAGGGGGGAGAAAGAGAGGGGGAAAGAGAGAAAGAGGGAGAGAGAGAGGAAAGAAAGAGAGAAAGAAAGAGAGTGGGGGAAGAGGACTGGCAGACCAAGGGCAGAAAGAGAGAGAGGGAGGGAGGGAGAGAGAGAGAGACAGAGAGAGAGACCCCTTTGACATCTAAAATGAAGATAACACTGCATATACCCTTTTTTACCTTTATGATCTCTCTCTCTCTCTCTCTCTCTCTCTCTCTCTCTCTCTCTCTCTCTCTATATATATATATATATATATATATATATATATATATATATATATATAAAACTATCTATCTATCCATCCATCCATCCATCTAATGGTAAAAAAGGATATATGTAGCGTTATCTTCATTTTAGATATCAGAAGGGTTTTGAGGCTCCCAGTGTTTTGTTTTCGGTGGGAAATGGGTCCAAGTGACTCTGAGTGTTTTGGTTGCCTACCCCTGATTTAGACAGTTGAGGAACGCCGGACGGTGCGCGACAGCCAGGGCCACGAGGAGACAGTCGTCACCCGGAGCCTGGGGCCCGATGATGGCGTGCTGCGAGGCCCAGGTAAGTCTGAGAAGGAGGAGCCTCTTCCAAACTACCATCCAGGGGGCACCTTTTTGCAAAAGGCTGCCAGCGTATGTTTCTAGTCCTCATGGCTGCAAAGCGCAGCCAGTAACATTTAAGTTGGGGAAGCCAAGGATCAGAAACGTGAAGTTGTTTTAGAGAAATTATTTCCGGTGTTTTGCAGGAGATCCGGCCCCTTTCATCTCCAGGCCGGATGGAGACATGAGTGACACGAGTTCGATTCTGAACACCTTTTTTCGCCGCTGGTTCCCCAACCAATAATCCTGCTGGCAGAGAAGCAGGTAAGGCGAAGGATCCCTGTCCAGTGGGCATTTTCTCTGTCTTAAGTCCTGCCTGCATGGGATTCAGTTTGGTCTAGTAGGGAAGGCATCAGGCTAGACACCAGGAGACAGTGAGTTCTAGTCCCACTTTGGGCCAATCACCAGGAGACGGTGAGTTCTAGTCCCGCCTTAGGCAGGGAAGCCAGCTGGGTGACTTTGGGCCAGTCACCAGGAGACGGTGAGTTCTAGTCCTGCCAAGTCTGAAGACCCCTGCTACATATTTATTGACATTTTTCCCCCCCAGGTTTTTAAAGCATTTCCTGAGCTCGCTCCTGCCTCCTCCTTCGCTGCTGGGTCTTCTTCTTCGTAGCCTGAAAATAGGAGAAATAAAAGAAATACTATATTTATGCCTGAGCTTGGCCTGCATGCTATTTTTTCTCCTCCGTTTGAAGATTCGGGGAGGGGGGCAAAGAAATTTTCCCGGGCAGAATCTTAACGAAAGACCCCGTGGAATCATTCTGGGACTGTTGGGGGGGTAGATTGCTCCTGAAGCTGGAGGTTCTCCAGTGCTAATGGAAGGTTGTTACGGATCGTCCTCGAGCCCTTCGCTAAGCGAGACGGTTGCTAAGTGAGCTGTGCCACATTTTACGGCTTCCCTTTGCCACAGTTGTTGAGTGAACCCCTTTGGTAGTTCACTTAGTGACGCGGTCGTTAAGTGGATCTGGCTCCCCGTTGACTTTGCTAGTCAAGAAGATCCCAAAAGGTGATCACAGGGACCTCTGGGGAACACTGCGACCGTCATAAACACGAGTCGGTTGCCAAGTTTCCTTCCTTTCTTCTCTCCCTCCCTTTCTTTCTTTCTTTCTTTCTTTCTTTCTTTCTTTCTTTCTTTCTTTCTTTCTTTCTTTTTCTTTTCTTCCTTCCTTCCTTCCTTCCTTCCCTATCCCCTCTTTCTTTCCTTCCTTCCTTCCTTCCCTCCCTCCCTCCCTATCCCCTCTCTCTTTCCTTCTTTCCTTCCTTCCTTCCTTCCCACCCTCGGCCCTCTTGCCCCCTCCCCTTGACTCTGGGGCCGCAGCCTTGGCCCCTGTCCAACCTGGGGTGTATCCCATGTGCGGGAGAGTCCCGTGTGTGCACACAACACCCGGGCCCCGCTGTGTGTACCCTGCCAGCATCCCAAAGGGCAAGGCCAGCAGAGAGTGCCAAGATGCCAAAAACACATGCCAACAACTCACACCCAGCCTTTAGGCAAACTGGGTGCAAAATACCCCCCAATAGCCCGGCTGAGCGAGCCTCCCCATCTGGGCAAGTCTACCCTTCTCCTCCGAGGGGCAAGCTGGACCTCTTCCCTCACCCCCCACCTCCCCACCCGCTGACCCCTCGCCCATGGCCATTCCTTGCACCTCTGCCCTTTGCCCTTACGTAACAGGCAATTAATCAATCCTGAATAATTAGCTATTGTGCGGAGGCACATGTATATATTGCCCTGCGCCAGCCTGCTTGGCTCCCTCGCCACGCCAGCCCTGCCATGTCTTACGCCCGCTGGCTGGGCAAGCTGCAAACCCGTTGCAGGATTCGCAGCTGCCTCCTGCGGCAATGCCTGGCCGAGTTTCTGGGCGTTTTTCTTTTAATTGTGAGTTCCCCAAATTGTGGGTTTCTCCCTTTCGGGGCCAGGCGGGGTGGGCTTTTCGGCTGGAGGGAGGGGAGGGGGTTGACTTGCCCGGGGGGGGGGGAGGAATGCCTGCAATTTGTCCAGGTGGGCACCTTCTCCGGTGTTTAGAGAGGATTTGGGGGAGGTTGGGGAGAGTCAGCGGTTGTGGTGGGTGCTGGGGGGCGATTGGAGGAAAGAACGTGGGAAATTTAATCCTGGCGTTTTGATGAGGATCTTGGAAGCAGTGAAGGAAAAGAGTTTGCTATCAAACGGAGAGATACATGACAATGTTATAGCTATGGTGAAGTACAATTTCCTTCCTTTCTTCCTTCCCTATCCTACTCTCTCTCTCTCTCCTTCCTTCTCTCCCTCTCTCTTTCCTTCCCTCCCTTCCCTATCCTTCTCTCTCCCCTCCTTCCTTCCTTCTTTCCTTCCTTGTCCCTTCTTTCTTCTCTCCATCCCTCCATTCTTTCTTTCCTTCCTTCCTCCCCTCCCTCCTTCCCTACGCTGCTTTGCTTTGCTCTCCTCTCCTCTGCTCTTCTCCCCTTCCTTTCCTCCTCCCTTTTTTCTTTCTCCTTCCTTCCTTCCCCCCTCCCTTTCTCCTTCCTTCCTTCTTCCTTCCCTCCCTCCCTCTAATCTTCCCCCTCCCTCTTTCTCCTTCCTTCCTTCCTTCTTCCCTCCCTCCCTTTCTCCTTCCTTCCTTCTTCCTTCCCTCCCTCCCTTCCTCTCTCTAATCTTCCCCCTCCCCTTCCTTCCTTCCTTCCTTCCTTCCTTCCTTCCTTCCTTCCTTCCTTCCTTCCTTCCTTCCTTCCTTCCTTCCTTCCTTCCCCTGTCTCTTCTCTAAAACACACAACTCCTGACACACGGGGCTTGTCTTTAAGACATTTTCCACGGAAAGACGTGTAAATACGCCTGCCTGGTCTGGCCGGGGTTTCACCCAGCCCACCTGGGGCGGCCTAGCCTGACCTGCCAGTTATTTATTTGCTAGGACAGGATATTTGCCCTGCTGGCTACATCTTTAACTAAAAGGGCAAAGATTCAGTTGGCTTTTAAACAGGGGGGGACAGAAATGACAAATCCAGGAAATCACAAACCACAGCTTGTCCTGGACTTAACAACGTTACATAGGGACCGTTCAAAGTCATAACGGCACTGAAAAAAAAGGAACTTAGGACCGTTTTCCACACTGACAACCGTCGCAGCATCCTCACAGCCACGTGATCTGAATTCAGGCTCCCGGCAACTGACTCGTATTAATGACGGTCGCAGCGTCCTGGGCTCACAATCCCCTTTTGCCATCTTTTGACAAGCAAAGTCAAGCTGGATTCATTTAACTAATTTAATAACGGCAGGGATTCACTTAAAATGGGGTGAAACTCATTTAACGACTCTCTCGCTCAGCCAGAACAACGTCGGTCTCCCTTGGTGGAGCGTTACCTGTAATTTCCGCTTGCAGGGAAGGAGGCAGCTCCGCACGGCTCAAGGAAAAGCAGGTTATAAGCGTAATCCGCTTTCATCCTTACAGCCTAGATTTCCCGCTGCAGGGAGTGGCCGGTTTCTCTCCAGATTCTTCCCGGCCTCAATCCTCTTTCTGACCTTGCTTGCGAGGGGAAAAAACACACAACACCTTTTCATTTCTCTGGCTTCTTTACACCCACCCAGCCCTGGAGTTTCTTTACACCCACCCAGCCCTAGAGTGGGCGAAGCAAAATTCACAATCTTCTCTCTCTCTCCCTCCATCTCTCTCTCTCTTTCTCTCTCTCCCTCCCTCCCTCCCTCCCTCCCCCTCTCTCTCTCTCTCCCTCCCTCTCTCTCTCTCTCTCCCTCCCTCCCTCCCTCTCTCTCTCTCTTTCTCGGAAAAGGCAGCCCAGCCAGTTCAGCATCTTCTCTGCCCATTTGGGAATCTGGCCCATCCTGGCTTCCCTTCAGGCTGGCACCGTCGCGGTTGGCCAACAATGTTCTCTGGGGATGGAAAGGCGGTTTGACAAGGAATTGGGATGGGGGGGGAAATCAGGGCAGGAGAGAGGCTGGCCCTTAATTTAAATTTTCCTTGTTTTTCTAGGTCATCACGCTCAGTGCGTCGGCTCAAAGTGTCACCAGCGAAGGGACCAAAGGCAATTATTTGAGCTCCTCTTTAGCCAGCGGAGTGGCCGTCATGGTGGCTGTCCACGTCTCCGGGGGCGTCTCAGGTGGGTTCCCCCCCCTCGCATACCTGGGTCTCCCCCAGACCCATCCAGTCTCCTCCCCCTCCCTCCATTGCAATCTTGGCTATATCATTTAAAGCAAATCAATGTAAAGCAGGTGGTGCGTGGTGGCTAAATGGACAGCTGGAAGGAGATGCTTTGCCTGTACGGCTTGGTCCCTGCCGTCGTTAAGCGGGTCACCAAGTCGTTAAGTAAAACCTGCCTATTCAATGGGTGGTTTTGGCTATTTTTCTATCAGAAAAGGGTGGAACGACCTTGCAAATCACACCCCTCTTAAAGCATGCTGGCTGGGGGATTCTGGGAGTTGAAGTCCACCCCTCTAAAAGCAGGCTGGCTGGGGAATGGTGGTGGAAATGATTGACAGAAGCCTTTCTCCCTCCCTCCCTCTTCTTCTTCTTCTTCTTCTTCTTCTTCTTCTTCTTCTTCTTCTTCTTCTTCTTCTTCTTCTTCTTCTTCTTCTTCTTCTTTCTTCTTCTTCTTCTTCTTCTTCTTCTTCTTCTTCTTCTTCTTCTTCTTCTTCTTCTTCTTCTTCTTCTTCTTCTTCTTCTTCTTCTTCTTCTTCTTCTTCTTCTTTTCTCTCTCTCTCTGTCTCCCAGGAGGACACCTGAATCCGGCCTTCTCGCTCTCCCTCTGCCTGCTGGCTCAGTTTCCCTGGTGGAAACTGCCTGTTTATTTCCTCATCCAAGTTTTGGGAGCGTTCACGGGGGCCGGCACGGTCTACATCCTTTATTACGGTAACCAGATCGCCTTTGTTAAGAAGGCAGACTGGGGGGGGGGCTCATGGCCAGCTGCCCCCTTCTGGGTCCCGATGGCCGGATCACCCTGGGTGATCTTGGGGTAGAAGGCACACTGAGGACTAGTCCCTTTGTCAGTTAGATGACGTCCTCCTTAGATGACGCCCTCCTGCCACGTGATCTTGGAGCCCGCCCTTCACAGTCGTCTGGGTGGGGGTCTTGTTTTTTATTTTTATTTTTCTTGAGACAGACGCCATCCACAGCTACAGCAATGGGACCCTGAGGGTGACAGGACCCCGGGAGACGGCCTCCATCTTTGCCACCTATCCGGCCCCTTACCTGTCGATGCCAAACGGGTTTTTTGACCAGGTGAGAGGAGCAGCCATGTCCTGGGGGCTGCTGGGATATTAGTTCTCTTTTGTATGTTCATCTTGATCTTTCCTTCCTTCCTTCCTTCCTTCTTTCCTTCCTTCCTTCCTTCCTCTCTCCCTCCCTCCCCTTTCCTATTTGTACCTTCCTTCCTCCCTTCCTCCCTTCCCTATCCTGCCTCCCTCTCTCCTTTTTTTTTCTTCTTCTTTTTTCCTCCCTCCCTCATTTTCCCCTGCTGCTTTTCCTTCCTGGCTGTTTTTTTGCCTCCCCAGGTGCTGGGCACCGGGGTCCTGGTGCTGGGCATCCTGGCCATGATCGACGGCCGGAACAAGCGCATCCCGCCCGGATTGGACCCGCTGGCCGTGGGTCTCCTGGTCTTTGCCCTCAGCGTAGCCATGGGCGCCAACAGCGGCTGCGCCATCAACCCGGCCCGGGATCTGGGGCCACGGCTCTTCACCTACGTGGCCGGGTGGGGTCCCCAGGTGTTCAGGTGGGTCTCCCCCCCCTTTCCACTCCAGAGGCGGGCTGAGGTGGGCTGATCCCCAAACGCTGCTCAACTTTATAAAAAATAGTTTTCATTCTGCAGAAGCCAACATAGCCCAAAGCCCTTTCAACATTCGGTTGTTATATAGCACCTTACAGTTAGTCCTCGATTTACGGCTGCACCTGAGCCCCCAAATTTTGTGGCTAAGCCAAGCAGCTCTTCAGTGAGTTTTGGTCCCCATTTTACAACCTTCTTTGCCAAGGCCGTTAAGCGAATCGCTGCCACTGTTAGTCACACAGTCGTTAAGTGAATCGCGCTTCCCCCCCTTGAATTTGCTCGCCCGAAGGTTGCAAAAGGGGATCATGTCACACACACACACACACACACACACACACACACACACACACATACTGGGATGCTACAACAGTCGCAAACATGAGTCCATTGCCAAAGTGTCCACATTTGGATCCGAATGCCTCAAAGTTGTGCGATCTCTTTTTGTGATCTTCAGACCAGCCAAGTCAATGGGGGAATCCCAGTTCGCTTCCCAACTTGCAGGGATTCAGTTAACGACGGTGACAGGAAAGGTCATAAAACGAGGCCAAACTCAATGAAGGACTGTCTCGCTTACAAACGGAAACTCCCAGCTCAATTCCCATTGTAATTATGATTTCACCACTCCGTCCTGGCTTTACGCTCCCATCTGTTTCTGCCCTTCCAGTGCCGGAGACTGCTGGTGGTGGGTTCCAATCGCGGCCCCCATGCTGGGGGCCATGGTCGGGACGGTGATTTATCAATTCGGCGTCGAGTTTCATCACCCAGACGATCCGACGGAGCGGGAAAAGTCGATTTCGGAAAAACTGGACCTGGGCAGCGAGAAAGAGATGGAGCTGCCGGTCTACGTGGTGAACACATACGCCGAGTCGTGGAAAGGCGCCAGGCCGGAGTCCCACGGTGAAGCCCCCAAATGACACTTCTGCCCAGGACGCTTCCTCCTTCCTTTCCCTTTGGGTGTATTGGGTGGGGGGCACCTTCCTCAATCTGGGATGGAAAGGGGGTCTTTTGTATTAATCAAGACCTGGAAAAGGGACATTGGGGGCATCGGCGGTGAGTGAAACGGACGCCGGCTATCTGAGAAAGGACCCACGGGTAGAAGCCACCGTTCCATTGTGTGCCAAAACACAAGCAGGGCGTTTTTGGTGGTGGCCCCTTCTCTGCTTACAAACCAGCCAGAATTATTTCCCTTGTCCTCTTTTGGGTAGTATAAAGGGAGCAGCTGAGCCCCCCCAAGTCCATTTCACAGATCGTGGCACAGCCAGAGCGTAGCCATGGGGGGCAAAATTGTGCAGGGCTTTTACACGTTAGACAATTTGGCAGGTTGTTTAAGGACTCTTTTCTTTCCCGCGCTCGGAAAAGGCCGGATAATCCGGATCATCGGGATGGTAAAAACGTTGCCTCTTTCTCATGCAACTCTGGAGGTCTCGGCTAAGGATCTTTGGTGTGTCAAAAAAATAAATTATTTATTTTCACCTCGGCGTGGTTACAACTAGACCTCGACACAACCGAAGTTACAACCGCATGGGAAAAAAGTGACTTATGACCGTTTTTCGCACTTACGACCGTCGCAGCCTCCCCGCGGTCACGTGAACAAAATTCAGACGCTCGGCAACTGATTCCTATTTACGACGGTCGCAGCATCCCGGGGTCACGTGATCCTCCTTTTGCGATTTTCTGACAAGTCAAGGTCAAGATTTGCTGAACAACTTAACAACTGCATTGATTCACTTAACAACTGAGGCAAGAAAAGTCGTAAAGTGGGGCAAAACTCACTTAATGAACGTCTGGCCTAGCAACAGAAATTCCGGTCTCTGTTGTGGTCGTAAATGGAGGACTGCCTACATTATATTAGCCCTTAAGATTGCAGGCCTATGTCGGAAGGGAGGCCGAGCGGGGAAACTGAGGGAGCAATGTTCAACACAATCCCTGAATCAACACATGTCAGAGCCAAAGTTGAAAATTAAACTTGTGGCTGCCACACAGCAATGTTGTAACGCACAAGGCACAAAAGTCCCAATCGGCGGCCTTGGGAAGGGATAAGGAAGAGAACTATAGGATAACACGGACATAAAAATCTAGGGTAACCCTGATTGTCAGCTTCCCGGAGGGCTATTGCTGGCGACTCAATGCAGGATTAGATAAATCTCAAACCGGTTGGGTGAGGCCACTTTCAGGAGCCAGGAAATACTATGGGAAGCCTCCTTAGCCAGGAGCAGTCTATCGCAGACCTGAGACCTCAATGCCTCCAGCTTTTTTTTTTTTCCCTGAGCTTTTGGGATGCTTTGCTTTGGCTCCCAAAAAATCAGAGCCGGTTGGCTGAAACAAATCATCTTTTTTTTTTTTTTTTTTTTTTTTATTGAAAATTTTTACATTTTACAAAAACAAATCCCCTTCCCATACCCCCCCCTACCTCACCCCCCTGAAACAAATCATCTTAAAATGCAGTATTAAATGCAGGTCAGTCCTCGTCTTCACAACCGCAACTGACCCCCAATTTTCCGTTGCTAAGCGAGGCCTTGGTTAAGAGAGTTTGTGCCCCGTTTTTACACCCCTTCCTCGCCACCCTTGTTAAGAGAATCACTGCGGTTGTGAAGTCGTTAAGCGAACTCGGCTTCCACATTCACTTGGCTTGTCAGGAGGTTGCAGAAGGAATCTGCTGCAACTGTCCTAAGTACCAGTCAGTTTCCAAGCCTATGAATTTGTGATCGTGTGACCATGGGGGGGGGGGGATGCTGCGGAAGCCAAACCCTTAAGAAAAACAGGCCCATCCGTTTGGAAATCAGCGAAGCAAAAATGAGGCCGGGAGGAAAATGTGTGTGTTTGTGTGTCTGCCTATGTGTTTACACACCGTGCTAGAAAAAAAAAGAAAAGAAAAATCACCCTTTCGGTCTCGAAAGTCGACAGAGCCCTGTTGTGAGATTTTGTGTTTATTTTTAAACAAGCTGACACCCATTGCCACGTCCCCCAAACACACCGTGGCACCGTGCCCCCCCCCAAATTCACCGGGAGGCGGGCACAGAGCAGTGTCCCATTCCTGCCACTAGAGGCTCTAAATTTGGGGTGTTCCTTGTAGGCTTGTGAGCACAAGAAAGGCCTTGGAATGTGGACCCACAACTCCGGGCAAGGCCCAGCCTGTCTGGGTGCTGAGATCGAGACTCGCTCCAGCCTCAAAAGAAATCCTCAAAACAACTGCGAAGGAAAAAAAAAATCCCCTTGTTGAAAGCTGAATTCTCCAGCTTTTTTTTGTTTCTTTGTATGTTTGTTTGCTGCAGGATTGTGCGTCTTGAAACCACACACAACGGGCAGCAAAATGGCAAAAATGTGTCTTTCTCCAAATTGACAAACTACCCGGTGCGTTTGCCTCTTTAGAGTGTAGCTGTTTTTTTTTTTGTCGACTTTTTCTTAAGTTTATTTATTTTTTCCTAGCACAGGGACTCCCTGATTCATTTAGTGACGGTTCAAACTTATGACATCCCTGAAAAAAAACAACTTATGACCCTTTTTCACACTGAGGACGGTTGCAGCATTCCCTTGGTCACGTGATCAAAATTCAGACTGACTCACATTTACGACGGTCGCGGCGTCCCGTGATCCCGTGATCTCCTTTTGCGACTTTCTGACAAGCAAAGTCAATGGGGGAAAGCCAGGTTCACTAAAGAATTGTGTGGCTAAGTTAACAACTTAACAACCGAGGCAAGAAGGTGGTTAAAAACGAGACGAAGCTTCCTGAACAAATGTCTCGCTTAGCGACTTAAATTTTGGCTCAGTTGTCTGTCCAAAATAGCGGTTAAGAGGTTATCTTCCTCTCTTAGGATTTTGGGAGTGAAAAAGAGCTTGGCAAGGATTCCTTTTTCCAGAAGAAAAGAAAAATGCAACTTAAAAGAAAAAAGTTTGATTTCCAGACTTCGGCATTTTTCCACCAGAGGAAAAGAATTAATTTATGCTTCCCAAGCAAGAAACAGTTCTTTGTAATTGAATTTTTTTCCCATCTTTTTTTTTTTTTTTTAAAGGAGCTTTTTAGAAAGCTCGACCCTTTTTTTCCGAAGAGGGTTGCAAGTCTTTTCAAGTGCGCTATTTAAAACTTGAGGTGGTTTTTCTAGAATGTTTGCTAAGAAGGGGGAAAAAAGCACTCTGGAGCACCTTAAAAAAACATGTGTTTATTTTACTGATTTATTCCTTCATCCCATCATCTACCCCGCCTGTCTCGCCAAGGGATTCCGGGCACCTTACAAAAACGTTGATCTGGAAAGGTGGAAAAATGGGGACGTTTTGCAATGTGCAACTAGCTGGGGATGATGGGTGTTTTAGTCCTCCGTCAGGTTTGGGAGGGAGTTGTCTGCAAAGTTGAATGTATACGGCAAGCTTGACAAATTTACCAGACCTTAGAAAGGCTTGGCATAAAAGCAGATTATTTGAAAATATATATATATATATTGGCAGAGAAAAAGGAATTAAATATGTAAAAGCTTAAAAGTTGCAAAATTTCTGTGGTCAATCTCCTGACCAGATTCGATTTTACAGCCATTTTTGGGATAGTTATTAAGTGGAATCGGGCGCTTCAATTTGAGTCACAAGGTCATTAAATGTGAATCCAGCTTAATGGCCTTTTCAGGTCATAGAACCGCAACCGTTTTTATATCAAAGAGTCCACAGTTTCTCCTTTGGGGAGAGAGAAAGAAAACTATGTTTTTTGTTTTTTTTTACTCCTTGTGAAGCCACAGAACCTCCACAGAAGGAGCAGTCTATCTTGAAATGGCCATTTGCAAAAGGGAACTCTCTAGTGTGGGGCGTGGGAAGGCTGGGGACCCTCATTACAAACCGAGAAGAGATTTAAGGGGGGGGAGGCGGTGGCGGCAGAGAGGATAAAGGGAGAGGAGGTGGGAGAAAAACACTTCATTATATGTAATTTATTCCATTATATAGATCCTCTTCCTCTTCATGGTCCCGGTTTATGTAGGGCTGTCGTTTTAATTGTCAGTTTCAGGGCACCCCGCCCAGAATCGCAGATGGGTGATGAAGGAATGAACAGTCTGGGAAAATGGGACACACCAGAGGGAGCTGGGCCGAGGCAGGGCTGGGCAGCAGGGGCCCAGATGGATGACCTCAGAAGGGCCCCCTGAGGCTGGATTTCTGGGTGTGTTGGGGGGGAGAGACTAGGTAGAATGGGGCAGCTGGGGTCTGACTGGATGAACTCAGGAGGTATAGGTGTGTGTGTGGGGGGGGAACAGGCTGGAGATTTAGTGGAATGGGGCAACCGGGCCCGAATGGATGACCTCAGAGGGGGCCCCTGAGTCTATTTTGGGGCGTGGAGGGGTGAGGGGGGAAATGGGCTGGAGACTAGACGGAGCATGGGATAGTTGGGGTTTGACTGGATGAGGCTGGATTTGGGGCTGTGGGTGAGTGAGGGGAAATGGGCTGGAGACTAGATGGAGTATACTAGGGTAGTTGGGGTCCGAATGGATGGCCTCAGAGGACCCCTTCCCAAGCTGGATAGCGGGGACGAGCAACGGGGCAGTCGGGGATCCGGCTGGATGGCCTCGGAGGACGCCTTCCCAAATTGGATTGAGGGGACGAGCAACGGGGCAGCCGGGGGTCCGGCTGGATGGCCTCGGAGGAGCCCTCCCCAGCTGGATTGCGGGAAGGGGGGCGAAGGGAGGGAGGCTGGGCGGGGCCTGGGGCCCTCCTCCTCCTCCCTGCCCCATTCTCGGGGGGGGGAGGGAGGCAGGCCAGGCAGCCAGTGCGGGGCTCCCCCCCCCGGCCGCCCCTTTCATCACTTCCGCCCCTCCCTGCGCGCCTCCAGCCAGCCGGGCGGGCGGGCAGCGGGGCCGGCCGGGGAGGGGCGCGGCTGGCGGGGCGAGGGGCGCAGCGCCAGGCGGGCAGCGTTGGGGAAGGGGCGCCCGGGCGCCGCCCGCCACCCTCCACCGGCCCTGCCCGGGATGGAGCCGAGCGGCGGCGAAGGCGGAGGGCGAGCCCCGCAGCGGAGGAGGCTCGTTCAGGTACGCGGGCGCCGGCTTGGCGATCGATCCGGGCGGGGATGGCTTGACGGATGGATGGATTGATGGGGCGATCAGCTCCAGGATCGATTGAGAGCGCGATTAGGGGCATTGAGGAGGGGGATGGGTCAGGGGATTGATTGATTGAGGGATGGCTTAAAGGATTGATTAGGAGATGGATTAGGAGATTGGTTAGGGCATTGATTAGAAGATTAAGGGGTTGGTTACGGGATTGATTAAAGGATTGGTAAGGGGCTTGATTAGGAGATGGATTAGGAAAATGGTTAGGGGATGGGTTCGAAGATTCTTGGGAGACTGATTAGGGAATTGATTAGGAGTTTGATTAGGGAATTGGGGAGGGGATGCTCCCCCCCTCCAGTGCTCCAGGGACTGCCCCCCCCCGCTCGGCAGCTCCCCAACTAAGCTCAGCCCCCCCCCCCCCGCATTGATGGATGGATTGATCAACTGATTGATTAGCCGAGAGGTTAGTTAGGGGATGCTCCCCCCCCAGCCTTCTAGAGAGGGACCCCAATTCACCTGTCCCCTGACAAAGCTTGGGCTTTTCTGAAAACAGAAGGAGCAGCAGCTCCCATCATCCCCAACCCAAGCCGTCTGCGTGGGAGCTGGGCAAGAGGGGCCCAGAGTGATGGGAGGTGTAGTCCAGCCCAGCTGGGACAGGCAAGGAAGAGGGGGAGGCCTTTTGGTTTTTCCTGGGGGCTGGCAGTGGGTGGGTGGGGGAGAGGGAGACCCCCTCGCCCCAAATAGTGGGGAGTGGGGTCCCCTTCTGGCCTGGACTCCCCCCCTCCTTGGAATTCTGCAATTCCTGCTTTTGGAGAAAGCCTGCTCCGATTTTTGTACTAACTTTTAGTAGCCAGGATTGTGCGCCTCGAACCTGGTTTGATTCTCCAGGTGCTTTTCTGAAGAATGCTGGTGCTCAGCCGGGTCTTAAAAAAAAAAAATAGATATGTCTGTTATTTAGACTGTAAATCTAAACACCAAGTGAAGGCAACCTTGTAATTTCAATTCTCTAGATCCACTAGATCCGTTTTGGGGAGCCTTCCATCAAACTGGGCAGCAGGGAACCCGGTTAAACCCTTGGGATTTACAGGAAACGGGAGAAAAACGCCAGAAAAGGGGAATATTCAATCCTGCCTGCCTGGTTTTTTTTTTTGTTTGTTTGTTTGTTTGTCTGTTTGTACTTCGCCTTAATGGATCCGTCGTATCTGAAAATCTCCTTGCAAAACATCTTTTATGTTTTTAGATTCTGGCCTGTTTTTTTCCACTGACTCTTTCTGATTTTGCTTCTGGCTTCTCTTTTTTCCACCTCTCTGCTGTCTTTCTTCTGGATCGGCCGAGGTGCTGGGGATACCTTCCCTTTGCTGCTTGGGGGGGGGGGGGTCTTCAACTTTTCAAGCTAAGGAAGCTGTTTGCTTTTTTTTTTTTTTTTAAGGAAAGTGTTTTTGTTTTAGTCCCTCCCCCTGACTGGGGGACCCTGGGAGTTGAAGTCCCCACGTGTGAAAGTTGCCAAGGTTGAAGAATGGGGCTCTCTACACAACTAATCTTGTCCTTGATAGGGTAGAATGTAGAATGTAGAATATAGAGGTAGGGGCTACCACTTTTTATTATACCAATATGTGGGTATATGGATAATTCTGTATTTATTTATTTTTGTCATATTTATGTAGTGTATATTGGAGATGGTGACCCTTTGAGAGCTGAAGGCAACGAAATTTCATTTTAATGTACGATTAGTGTACATTCAAAGTGACAATAAAGTTATTATTCTATTCTATATTCTATTATATATTCTATTGTATATTCTATTCTATATTCTATTCCTATTCTATTCTTCATTCTATTCTCTGTTCTATTCTATTCTATATTCTCTATTATTCTATATTTATGCAGTGTATATTGGAAGTGGTGACCCTTTGAGAGCTGAATGCAATAAAATTTCATTTTAATGTACAATTAGTGTTTGTTCAAAGTGACAATAAAGTTATTCTATTCTATATTCTATTCCTATTCTATTCTATTATCTATTCTATTCTCTGTTCTGTTCTCTATTCTATTCTCTATTCTCTGTTCTGTTCTCTATTCTATTCTATTCTATTCTATTCTCTGTTCTGTTCTCTATTCTATTCTATTCTATTCTATTCTATTCTATTCTATTCTATTCTATTCTATTCTATTCTATTCTCTGTTCTGTTCTCTATTCTATTCTATTCTATTCTATTCTATTCTATTCTATTCTATTCTATTCTATTCTATTCTATTCTATTAAAGACCAATACAGTACAAGTGTGCAAAGGAACACAAAGAAAACAGTAGGGCAGTATTCCCAATAAAATCATCACCCCCTCGATTCATGCCAGCCTTTGACAGTTTGTTCTCTTCCACTCTTGACCTTTTGGCCAAGGCCCACCATCCCTTGTTGCTGACCGTAATCGATTGACGCAAAAGCCAACGGATTTAGCCATGCCATTTGCATTTTTCTTGGCGCCTGGGGCTTCTGCTCTCGCTGGCCCAAAACCCAGCTCCAGCTCCCCTGCTAACTTTCTGCTAAGCTGGCACGGCTCCTTTCCCCAACCTTGGCCGAGGCTGCCTTTTCCAAGGGTGAATGAATAAATGGAAAGAAATCCCAGTTTTTTTACCTTCTGCATGGCTCCTGCTGGTCATCCCTTCCCGGAATTCTCAACTAGCTTCTCTCTCTCTCTTTTTAAATTTTTCTGTTTTATTTTGGCCTCTTTCCCAACCTGGAGGAAAAAAAAAAAAAAAAGCTGGAAGGAGTCAAAGTGTTTTCGTGTCATCTTCGGAGAACAGGCAGGCCTGGTGGATTCCGTTTGGGACACCAAATCCCGGCCTGTTTTAGGATGTCAGGTGAGGGGAAAGCGGGCTGAACAAACCGAGAATGAGGGCCAATGCCTTAAGCTGGCTTTGGAGCATCCCAAGGTGGCTTTTCGGAGAGAGAGAAATCCGAGGGTAACTTGAAAACTGGAAGCTGAAACCAGCCGAATGCACCCTGGGTCGGATAGCAAGAGCCAAGGGTTTTAAATTTCTCCTGGTTGGTTGGTTTGGGAAAATGTTTTTATTTTTCAAGACAGATTTTGCTTAAACAGCCTCTTTTTTTAAAAAAAAAAATCAATAGTTTATTTTCCCTGCCTTCAGTAGCTCCGTTGAAAGTGGTTTGTTTGTTTTTTCTTGGCACACCCTAAACGGTGGATGCTGGGTTTAAGCTTCTCCTGGTTCCCAAATTGACTCCTTTTTCTGGAGATCTTCACACCCCTCTCTGCCTCATTCCCCCCCACCCAAAAAAAATCCAGGATTAGATCCAGGGGAGGGAGGTTGAGTTTACACAACTTCAGAAGCAAACGTGTCAGGCAGGAGCTGTTCTTTACTCCACGTTTTGCGTTTTGGGGAATTAAAATATTTGCTCAAGAAACAAACTTAGGGGTGGGGAAGCGAAGAGAGAAAGAGGACGGGAGGGTGGTGGAAAACAAGGCTGCTTTTTTTCCCTTTGGGGGGGCCTTCCCCCCCCAAAACACTCCACTGTTGAGCTTCCCTCTCCTCTTTGTAAGTTTTGTTTTCCCCTCTGTGTTTTTAATAGCTTTGGTGATGGTTTCTAAAGAGGAGGAAAGAATCAAAAAACAGAGAGAAACCTTGTTGCTTTGCTTCTCCCACTTGGAGTCTCAGCCACATGGCAGATGCTTCCCGGCCCCCCCCCGTTCTCCCCCCCCCAGGCCAGATCTCCCGGAACGAGTGCGAACCAGACCACCGGAGGGAACCTTGAGGACTAGGATCTCCTTCCTGACCTGTTGAGCCTTTCCAGCCTTTTTCTGTTTTTTTAGTTTTGGCTGCTGAACGGCGGGATCGGCTCAAAAATGGTTGGGGATCAATTTCTTTCTTTCTCTCTCTCTTTGCCTTTCTTTCTCTCTATTTCTTTCTTTCTTTCTCTCTCTCTCTCTCTCCCTTCCTTCCTTCCTCCTCTCTCTCTCTCTCTCTCTCTCTCTTTCTCTCTCCATCCATCCTGTACACTTGTGATACTACAACTCCCATCACCCCCAGCCAGCACTTATTCCTCCTTCCCCCCCCCCGCCATTAATTGTTTCTCTCAGCCAGCTGGGTTCACTCAAACGTTGTTGTTGCAAAAGTAAACCTGGTTTAGGAGGGGCGCTTCCAGGGCTTAACTGGTGTGGTGGGACAGGCACCCAATTCCCTGGCTGCATGTTTACCGTGCTGGTTGTCGTGGTTGTGTTTGTTGTGCGTCACATCACACGTCCATCCGGATAGCGACCTAGGAAAAAAGTAACCACAATGTTTTTCGTACAGGGTGTCATACACAGCAAAGGAAGCGTTGTGTGGTTGATGCGAGAAAGACGGTGGAGTGGGGGGAGAACAGCAGAAGGGCCTTTGCTAAGGCTTTGTTGCTAGTCACAGTCACAGCGATGGTGCGTAGTTGGCTTGTGATTATCTAGCACATCCTCGAACTCGTGTCCAATGGCCTAAACAGACCTGGTTTTCCTGGATAGCATGATGACAGTTTTGTCTCTTTAGTTCATTTCTTCTGCCAAAGTCGTGTCTAGTTTCCTAGCTTCCAGAGGATGAAGAAACAGTTTGAGGTATTAGATGTGTGTGTTTGTGTGTGTGCGGGTATCATTCTTTTTTTTTTTTCCTTTTTAAAGTCCTTTTTTACATTATTTCAGTGAAAAAGGTAATTCGCTTTTCTTATCAACCGTTATGCTTTGGGTCTCGCCTCCTCAATACTCAGGAACGAAATGCCGGCTTGACAGGCTGCCACTGGCCTCGTTCACTGGGTGCATCAAGCCATAGTTTGATCATGGTTTAGTGGAGTAACTGTGTTGCTGCTTTGTATAACCAGCGTGGCCCTAACCGGTATCACAGGGAGTAATAGCCATCAAACACCAATTTTCCACAAATCTGCTGGATCTCCGTTAAAATTGGTTGTGTTATTCCTTGTGGCAGGGTGTTCCATAGCTCAACTCAATGTAGTTTGCTTTTATCTCACCCAGAAGGGCTGATGGTTGGCCTTATCCTCGGTTAATGCAAAGGCACCACGTTTTTTCCCCCCCTTTTATTCGTTCCCATCTAGGTTTGTTCATTCTTCTTCGGTTTCCTTGTTTTTAAATGTTTTTCGCCATTTGCAAACTGCTCGGAATTGCTGCGAGTTGGGCAGACTATAAATGTAATAAATCATTAATATTATTACAAATATTCACGTCTTCTGGGAATCCGGTCTGCCTGGTTAGTTTCTGAATGGATGGACTGTGGAAGTTCGAGAACAGGCTAAATTTAATAACCAGGTTTAGCATGCTGGTTTGTTTGTTTGTTTGTTTCCTCCTGCAACACATGTTTTTCTCTCCCCCTTGCAGCATCTCCTATGGGCCTGACCACTCACCCGCAAAGGCCATGGAATTTTGTTCTAAGAAACACCCTGCAGGTAAGACACAAACATACACCCCGTATCCCAGGTCTCTATCTGGGAGGAAAGAAGGTTAAGGTAGACTTTGCTTAGCTAACAGGCTCTGCAGGAAGGAGAATCTGAGGCCTCGGGATGCAATTTCTGTGGAAAAGTGTGAAACGGAGAGACAGTTTTGCTTAGTGGTTAAAGCACCCAGTGGGAAGGAGGGAGGGAGTTCTAGTCCTGCCTTAGGCATGAAAAAACCAGCTGGGCAACTGTGGGCCAATCATTAGGAGAAAGCGAGTTCTAGTCCCGCCTTAGGCACAAAATTCAGCAGGGCGATTTTAGAGCTAGTCCCTCACAAAGTCGGCTGACTGGGATGGGGTTGGACTAAATGACCTCCAAGGTCTCTTCCTGCCCTAGGATTCTATCATTCTACGAGCTTGAGCAGGGGGTTGGCCTAGATGACCTCCGGGCTCCCTTCCAGCCCTAGGATTCCATCATTCTACAAGCTTGAGCAGGGGGCTGGGCTAGATGACCTCCAAGGTCCCTTCCGGCGTTAGGATTCTATCATTCTACGAGCTTGAGCAGGGGGCTGGACTAGATGACCTCAAGGTTGCTTCCACCCTTAGGATTCCAGGTTCTCTTTGCCCGATCCCAGTCTTTCGTGCCAGGGAAGAAAAGAATGCAGAAATCCTTAAGAAGGAGGGAGAATTTTAATTCGATTTCCTTGCCTTTCTCGCTGATTCATCAGCCCATCCTTTGCTGGGTGGGTGGGTGGGATTCCGCAAAGGGGAAAGCAACCCACAAAGACCCTCTCCCCCCTCCCCCATCAAGCGGTCGTCTTGGTGACGCCATCCCTGCCCCTGATTGGCTGCTGGGCAGCAGTGGGAGGTGCCCCCCCCTTCTCTCTTTCAGTGTCAGGGTAGACTTTCCCTTCTGCAGCCGGTCGAGGGGGGCAAGAGAGAGAGAGAGAGAGAAAAGGGACCCCCAGTCCATCTGTCCGTCTGGGAGAGCCCCCCCCCCAGCTGTAGCCATGACCATCCCCAAGGAGATGCCCGAGAAATGGCCCTGGGTGGCTGTGGCGACCACGGATGCCCGCAGCCAGCTGCTTTGGGGGACAGGTAGGGGGGTCAGCTGCCCTGGGGCAAAGGGGAGGGGGGTCTCTTTGGAAAGAGGGGGTGAGGGGGTCCGGGGGGGGGGTAGGTGGGATCTGGTGCCAAGCCAGCTGTCCGAGCTTTGTCTGTAAGGGTCTCCGTGGAGGGTGTTCTTGCTGCGGCACTCTCTGCACTCATTACCTCATCTTCCCTGGCTTCCCCCCCCCACCATTCCTTTGCATGAGGGAGAGTGGGGGGGGCGGATAGCCCTGCTTTTTCGTTCCCCCCCCCCAAGGAAATCTTTCCCAGCTTTCTCAAAAGTGACCTTGTGTCCTCTCCGTTATAGAATCCCGAATGGTCTTTCTTTCTTTCTTTCTTTCTTTCTTTCTTTCTTTCTTTCTTTCTTTCTTTCTTTCTTTCTTTCTTCTTCCTTCCTTGCTTCCTTTTTTCTTTCTTCCTTCCCTCCTTCCTCTTTCTTTCTTTTTCTTTCTTCCTCTTTTTTCTTTCTTTCTTCCTTCCCTTCCTTTTTCTTTCTTTCTTTCATCCTTCCCTCTTTCTTTCTTTCTTTCCTCCTCCTCCTCCTCCTCCTCCTTCTTCTTCTTCTTTTTCCTCTTCCTCTTCCTCTTCCACCTTCTTCATCTCCTCCTCCTCCCCCCATTCATTCATTCCTCAACTAGCATTGATTCGAAATCCCAGATGAGAGGGGAAAAGTAACCCTGGTTTTTGTCGACCGGCGTGGTCTGCCCCGGCTAACCCGGTTTGGTTCTCTTCCAGAGGACGAACGGCGCGTGAGGGCCAATTCTCGAGAATACAACGAAAAATTTCAGTACGCGGTGAGTGGCAAGCCTAAAATTGCACGCAAAACACGTTTGGCACCCACGTCGTTCCTTTCTGGCTCTTCGCACGGGGGTCCCCGTCTGGCATTTTAGGGCTGGGGGGAGTCCCACCACCCATCCTTCCTGGCAGGGGATAATGGGGTCAGCCTTCTGAACTCCCCGATGCCAGAAACCACAAACTTTTGCCTCCAGCAGAAACAGAGCAAAAGTTGCCATTGAGACAAAGGGGGGGGGAATCACATTTTGGGGGGCTGGAGAGAAGAAGGGTTGTGTTCACACACCACGTGAATCACCCCAAAGAACTCCAGCTTCTCTTTTCCAATTTATTGAAGTCCTTGTAGGCGTGTTTGTGTGAACCCAACATGCCAAGTGTGTGTGTGTGTGTGTGTGTGTGTGTGTGTGTGTGTTTATTTGAAATTCCTTCTGAGGTTTCTGGACCTTTTTGATGTGTGTCTCGTGGCAGGACAGAAACCCAGAAATAAGAACAGAAATAAAATGTCCTGTTTATTATTATTTTATTTTACATTTTATTTTATTATTTTATTTTTATTATTTTATTTCATTTTTTATTTTATTATTATTTTATTTTATTTTCATTTTATTTTATATTTTATTTTATTTTATATTTTATTTTATTATTTTATTTTTTAATTTCTCCTGCTCCTCCGCAGAGTAACTGCATCAAGACGTCGAAATACAACGTGATCACTTTCCTGCCAATCAACCTGTTTGAACAGTTCCAGGAAGTTGCAAACACTTACTTCCTCTTCCTCCTCATTCTCCAGGTGGGATTTCTTCCTTGGGGTGAGCAGGAGGGCCCCCCCAAAAAACAAAGAAATCAGGGGGTTCACACCCTTTTTATTCAGTGGGGTGGTGCCACCTCTACGCTTCCCACTTTGGCACAAATGCCAAGGGGGGGGGGTTGTGTGTCTCAATAAACCACAGTTTGGCCCAATTAAGTCCCTCCCTCTTTCCTCAATCTCTTTTCCTTCCTTCCTTCCTTCCTTCCTTCCTTCCTTCCTTCCTTCCTCTTCCTCTTCCCTCCCCGTGTTCGGTTCCTCTACCATATCTTGCTGGGATCTCATCTGCGCCCTCATCCTTTGAGCGCTGCCCTCCAGGCCTGCCCTGGCCGGGGGTCCAGATCGATAACCCAGCCCCTCGGGGCTTTCTCTCTCCGCAGCTCATCCCACAGATCTCCTCCTTGTCCTGGTTCACCACGATTGTGCCTTTAGTCCTTGTGTTGACCATCACAGCTGTCAAGGACGCCACCGACGACTACGTGAGTATCGGAAAGAGGAGGAATTTCTGCTGGGCGCGAAGGCTTTTGCAAATAGGAAGGATGGACAGAATAACAGAGCTGGAAGGGACCTTGGAGGTCATCTAGTCCAACCCCCTGCTCTAGCAGGAGACCTTATACCGTTTCAGCCCAAGGTCTGTCCAATCTCTTCTTTAAAAAAACCAAGTTAGGAAACTTGCAGTCGTTGCCTGTTACTAATGTTTGTTTGGTTTTAACCTCCAGGAGCGAGGATGGGGGGAGAAGAGGGGGCAGTTTGGGGCAGGGGGTGTCAATTTAGCTCGAAATCTTGGGCGAGAAGGGTCCTGGGTTCGAATCCTCGCTTTCCAACCTGACTTTCTGCCGACAGTTTCGCCACAAGAGTGACAACCAGGTGAACAGCCGACATTCACAACTGCTGATTAACGGGATGTGAGTACAATCCCCAATTTGGGAAGGGGGAGGCGCAGAAGGTGTTTCGGGGGGGTTAGGGGGAACACAGGCAGTCCTCGACTTATGACAATTTGTTTAGTGACCGTTTGAAGTTTCAACGGCACCGGAAAAAAAGGGATGTAGGACCAATTTCCCCCACTTGACGACCGTCACAGCATCACGTCATCAGAGTTCAGACGCTGGACCAGCGACTCGTATTTATGACGGTCGCAGCCTCCTGGGGTGTGTGTGTTTTCCCCTTTTGCGACGTTCTGACCAGCAACTGCGGCGAGAAAAGTCGTAAAATGGGCCCAAACTTCACGGCTGTTTCGCTTAGCGAAGGAAATGTTGGGACTCGGCTGCGGTCGTAAGCTGAGGACTCCCTGTTTTTTGCAAACGGGTGGAAAAGATTTCAAAAACTCTTCGCCCCCCCCCCAAAAGGCTAAATTTCCCATTCTCCGGCCCAAATCTCCTGCCTGCCATTCCTCATGGGTCATTGGCATTCAAAGGTAAACTGCGCTGAAGCATGGAGGCTTTGCAGAGATCTGAAATGCCAAAGCGACCACCAAGTTCATCGTTCACTTTACCCTCCTAAATGTTTTATTCCTTCTCGTATTTCCTGCCCTGTCTGGGTACCCTTCTCGCTGCCAGCCTCCAGCAAGAGCAATGGATGAACGTCCGGGTTGGTGATATCATAAAATTAGAAAACAACCAGTTTGTGGCGGTAAGTCCCTCTGTCCTGGACGGTGGACGGAGGTCTCTGAAGCAGCCAGAGGGGGGGGGGGGGAAATAAGGAGAGAGAGAGGGGCTGTGGTTGAAAGTTAAATTTCATTTAAATTTCACTGAAGTTCCTTTAAATTTCACTTAAATTCAATTACATTGCACTGAAATTCAAATGCACTTTGTTTAAGTGCATTTAAATTACATTTAAATTCTTATACATTTCATTTATGTTTAAGTTCATTTAAGATGCACTTGAATTCATTTCAATTCAAATGCATTTCATTTTAAGTTCATTTAAATTACATTTAAATTCTTACACATTTCATTTATATTTAAATTCATTTAGATTACATTTAAATTCTCAGAAATTTCATTTATATTTAAATTCATTGAAATTCAAATGCATTTCATTTAAGCTCATTTAAATTACATTTAAATTCTTACACATTTCATTTATATTTAAATTCATTTAAATTACATTTAAATTCAAATGCATTTCATTTACGTTCACTTAAATTCAGATGCTTCATTTAAGTTCGTTTAAATTTCATTTAAATTCAATTACATTGGATGGATGGCTGGATAGATGCATGGATGGAGAGAGAGAGAGAGAGAGAGAGAGAGCATTAATAATTATTATTATTATTTTACAATAATTTTAATTTTAAGAATTATCTTTAGTGAAAATAAACGGTTGGTGTTCTCCTGTCCGCTTAAAACTCATGTTTGAGCCCAGCATTCTGGCTATGTTTTGATCCAAGGTTGGGTTGAGGGTTTATTGTTCTGCTAGTGAATGACATAAATCATGATTTGTTGTTGTTTTTTTTAATTTTGACTTCTTCTCCCTGCCCAAATCCAGGCTGATCTGCTTCTGTTGTCCAGCAGTGAGCCTCACGGACTTTGCTACATCGAGACGGCCGAGCTGGACGGGTGAGTGTGCGCCAGTTGTGCCCGCTCTTTTAAAGCAGTATCTCTGAAACTTGGTGGCTTTAAGACCTGTGGACTTCAACTCCCAGAATCCCCCAGTTGCTGAAACTTGGTGATTTAGGTCTTGTGGACTTCAACTCCCAGAATCCCCCAGGTGCTGACTTCCACTTCCCCAATCACTGGGGAACTCTGGGAGTTGAAGTCCACAGGTCTTAAAGTTTCCAAGTTAGAGAAACAGTGCTTTAAAGAAGCTCCTCTTCTCTCCTCTTGGCCATGATTAAACTGCTTTTCTTCACAGGGAGACCAATATGAAAGTCCGACAGGCAACCCCAGTGACGTCCGAGCTCATTGACACCAACAATCTTGCACACTTTGACGGTAAAATTCATTATTATTATAATTAGTGGCTCTCCCAATCTAATCCCTTGTAGCTTTCTAAGATGGCATGTTATTTTGGTGGTTGAGCTCAACATTCAGGCGATGCAGCCCAGGCAGTCCTCACTTAATGTCTGCTCGCTCGGCGACTGTTCAGGCTTGTGACTATGCTAAACAAGTGCTATTTAATGACCAGTCCATAACATTCTGGTTATCCCAGTGATATGATGGCGATTGGTGGCTTTCCCTGTGGAGTAAATTCACTGGGGAAGCCTGCGGGAAGTCGATAGTCATGGTCACGCAAGGTCCTGACTTAACGACCCGTGGCTTAACATCAGCAGCAAGAACTGCTGTCACTAAAGGGTGCGGACACGTGACATGTTTTAAAACTGCTCCACTTAGCGATGGAGATCCCAGTCCCAATTACCATTGTTAAACAAGGATGATCTCTCACTGATCTTCTCCTTGGCAATTTTTTTTTTTAATTTCAGGAGAGGTGATTTGCGAACCCCCTAATAATAAACTCGACAAATTCAGTGGGACGCTGTACTGGAAAGAGAGCAAATATCCCCTGAGCAATCAAAATATGTTGCTGCGTGGCTGTGTCCTTCGTAATACAGAGTGGTGCTTCGGCCTGGTCATCTTCGCAGGTATGATGGAGCTGAAAAAAGGGACTTAATGACCGTTTTTCACCCTTTCGACCTTTGCAGCATCCCCACGATCACGTGATTGAAATTCGGACGCTTAGCGACTGACTCATATTTATGATGGGATCAGTTGTGGTCGTTAAGTTGAGGACTGCCTGTATTGGCAGTCTTCTTTCTTTGAAAACTTTTGAAAATTAATTGGACCGTCATTTCGTTACGAGATGGGCGTCAGATAAATTCAATAAATAACTAAATAAAAATAAATTCAGAATTGAGAGAGAGAGAGAAAAATGTCGTTTTTGCCAAAAGGATTCTTTGTTCTCTCCTTCGGCAGGGCCCGATACCAAATTAATGCAAAACAGCGGCCGCACGAAATTCAAGAGGACTAGCATCGACCGCTTGATGAACACTTTGGTGCTTTGGGTAGGTGAGCCCCGCCCGCTCCGCGCCCGTGGTTTCGAACCCAGTGCTCTTCGTTCTCTCTTTTTAGGACGCAGAGTCTGCCTTTTTCCTAGCCCTGGGGGGCATTGAGTAGATACCTGACACCGTTTTAGTTTTTCCAGTCGACAAACTGAGGCAGAGAATTTTCTGGGAACGTTCCACCAGGGGGCAGTCAAGCCCGTGGCCTGCTCTGCAGGGTGGTCATCCTGGAGAATGTAGGAGAGCGGATTTTTTACTGGAGTTCATTAATTTCCTGGGGGAAGTTAGCTCTGTTCTGGATTATTCAAAGCTGCCCGAGTGGATTTAAGTTCTAATCCAGAATCTTTTGGAAATTGACTGCTTGAAATGTGGAATTGACCACATATGGATAAAAGGGAAAGGAGATACAGAGGACCTCATGTAGGTGGGGACAAAGAGGGACGCCGTCCTGCTTCTCCCCTTCTCCTCTTCTGTCCAAACTGAGCTGTCGTCTTCCTCGTCGGCAGATTTTCGGGTTCCTGGTCTGCATGGGAGTGATCCTGGCCATCGGCAACTCCATTTGGGAATACGAGGTGGGCGTCTGCTTCCAGATTTATTTGCCGTGGGACAAAGTGGTGGACAGTGCCTTCCTGTCGGGGTTCCTGGCGTTCTGGTCTTACATCATCATCCTCAACACCGTGGTTCCCATCTCTCTCTACGTCAGGTGTGCCTCCTTTTTTTTTTCTCCTTGTGAGTGTTTTTCCTTTCCTTCTTTCCTTTCCTTTCCTTTCCTTTCCTTTCCTTTCCTTTCCCTTCTTCTCCTCACTTTCTGTTCTCCTCTCATTTTTCTCCTCTTTTCTTTTCTTCCCTCCCCTTTTTTTTTTAAAAAAAAACCTCTTTTTCTTTTGCCTTCCCCTGCATGACTTTCTTTCTCGCTCTGCAGCCCCCAGGTAAGAGGTCTCCTTCCCCTGTTTTTCCAAGCTCCGGGTGGGAACCAAATCTCCCTTTGATGTTGGTTTGTGGCATTTCCTGCCTCCCTCGCCCGACTCCCCACCCCCCTTCCTCTTCCCTTCCAAGGCCGTAGCAAAAATCAGAGCCCAGTGACCAGCCCGTTCCTCCCCCGGCTATTCTTTTATGGATTGCTCATTTCCTGCGGACCCCCTCAAGCAAACCCTTGCCCTGAAAAAAGAAATAAGAATGCTCCAGAAGCTCATCTTCTGGAAGAGAGCCTCCAGGGGTAGGAGCAGTCTGTCTTAGAAGCCAAGGGGCTGAGGCTGAGGGACAAACAGCTGTGGTCATAGGATCCTCCCAGAAAACCAATTTGATAGACATCTCTCTCTCTCCCTCTATCTTTCTCTCTCATCACCTTTTTCTCTCTGGCCCTCTATCTATCTATCTATCTATCTATCTATCTATCTATCTATCTATCTATCTATCTATCACCTATCAGGGACTTTGGGCATCCTATTGGTGGGCGAAGGCACATGGGCTTCGGGGCTCCCAACTGTCCCTGCTCTCTTTCTGGCAGTGTGGAGGTGATTCGCCTGGGCCACAGCTACTTCATCAACTGGGATAAGAAAATGTATTGCGCGAAACGATGCACACCGGCCGAGGCCCGGACCACGACGCTAAACGAGGAGCTGGGCCAGGTGGAGTACATCTTCTCGGACAAGACGGGCACCCTCACCCAGAACATCATGGTCTTCAGCAAGTGCTCCATCCACGGACGCAGCTACGGTCAGTCCTTCCACCCCTCCACCGCCGTCTCCGTTCCATATCTTTGGACCATAGGCTGGGTGGCCATAAGTTGGGTGGGTGAACTACGGTCATACATTTGAGGACTTACCTGTATTTGGAAGAACTGATGCTTTTCTTGCTCCTCTTCCCCACTCTGAGTCTGGGTCTTTTCCGCAGGAGACGCTCTGGATGATCTTGGATACAAGGCGGAGCTCGGAAAGGTAACAACGCCGGCAGTTGGATCTAGTGGTTAAGGCACCAGGCTAGAAACCAGCAGATTGGGAGTTCTAGTCCTGCCTTAGGCACGAAAGCCGACTGGGGGACTTTGGCCCAATCACCATTCTATTTACTGTTCATATTTTTTTTGCATACTCCAAGCTGGTTCTAACCTCCCCCCCCCCTATTTTTTTTTCTTTTTCCCCCAAGAAAACTGATCCGGTGGATTTTTCCTTCAACTCGCTGGCGGATCCCAATTTTACCTTCTGGGACACCGGGCTTTTGGAAACGGTCAAGCTGGGTGATCTTCACGTCCACGAGTTTTTCCGTCTCCTGTCGCTCTGCCACACCGTCATGTCTGAAGAGAAGTGCCCAGGTGGGGAAGGGAGATTGAAGCTGACGTTTGAAATGCTGAGAAACAAAAGAAGCCTGGGAAATGAGGGACTGTGTGCGGAATCTGTCTGGAAGCAATCATGTATTGTTTTTCCTTCCTTCCTTCCTTCCTTCCTTCCTTCCTTCCTTCCTTCCTTCCTTCCTTCCTCCCTCCCTCCCTCCCTCCCTCCCTCCCTCCAACAGGAGAATTGTACTACAAAGCCCAGTCTCCTGACGAGGGAGCCTTGGTGACTGCCGCCCGCAATTTTGGCTTTGTCTTCCGTGGACGCACTCCGAAGACGATCACGGTGCAGGAGCTGGGACGGCCCGTCACTTACCAACTTCTGGCTATTTTGGACTTCAATCACGTGCGCAAACGCATGTCAGTCATTGGTGAGGAAGGGGAGGCGACGGCCAGGGAGATCACGGAGCCTTCAAAAGCTGGCCTACTTTGCAGGGCTGTTGGGGGGGAAAATGGATGGTGGAGAACCTGGTATAGTTATTGTAAGTAAATACATGATAGATCTTCCTTTGTAAACACTATTTTTCCCTTCCCGTCTCTCCTTTCCTTCGTACTCTTCTTATACTCCTTTTCTTTCTGACTCTGCTTTCTTTATTTCTCTTCTTATACTCCTTTTTTCCCACCCTTCCCTTCCCTTCTTTTTTCTCCGTCTCCTTTTTACTTTTCTTCCCTCCCTCCTTCTCTTCCTCCTTTCTTCCCTTTCTTTATCCTTCCTTCCTTCCCTTTCCTTCCTTCCCTTTCTATTGCTTCCCACCTCCCTCTTTCCTTCCTTCTTTCCTTCCTTCCTTCCTTCCTCCCTCCCTCCCTCCCTCCCTCCCTTCTCTTCCTATACTCCTTTCTCTTCCTTCACTTTCTCCCTCCCTCCCTTCTTCCTACCCCCACCCCTCAGTGCGGAATCCGGAGGGGCAAATCCGCCTGTACTGCAAAGGGGCCGATATCATCCTTCTGGAACGACTTTATCCCGGCAACCAAGAATTATACAACGTCACCACTGATCATCTCAATGTAGGTGACCGACGTAGGGGTGTGGGTGTCTATGTGGGTGTCTGTGGGTGTTTGTGTGCGTGGTAATAAGGCTAAGACGGCCTGCTTGGGTGTGTGTGTGTGTGTGTGTCTCCTCATTTTTCTTCCTGATTTTAGGAATACGCGGGCGAGGGTCTCCGGACGCTGGTGCTGGCCTGTCGGGACCTGGAGGAGAAGTATTATGCTGGCTGGGCCGAGCGGCTGGAGGAAGCCTCACTAGCCGGGGAGGGGCGCGAAGAGAGGATCGCTCGGCTGTACGAGGAGGTGGAAAACGACCTGGTGGTGGGTGCCAAGACCCTTCCCCTTTCTTATTTCGGGGGAACGGCGTCCTCTTCCCCTTGAGCAGCTCTCCTCCCTCTCCAGCTCCCCCCCCCTTTTCTAAGACCGCTTGCAAAACAGTCAAACTAGTTCCCCAAAGGGTCTGGGGGGGGCAGGATAGCCGGAGCAACTTAGGTTAAGTCCTCGGCTTATGACGCAATGGAGCTGCTGCATTTCCACGACCGTCATTGATATGAGTCGGTGGCCAAGCGTCTGAATTTGGATCACGTGACCCACGTGGGGGACACTGCAACGGTCGTATGTGTGAAAAACGGTCATAAGTCAGTTTTTTCAGTGCTGTTGTAACCTTGAACGGCCGCTAAAAGAACTGTTGTAATTCGAGGCCTCTCTGTATCAAAATAAGAATATTCCCCCCCCCCCCGTTTTCTCTCTCCCACAGCTGCTGGGAGCGACGGCGATTGAAGATAAACTGCAGCAAGGAGTTCCAGAGACCCTCGCTTTGCTCAGCTTGGCCAACATTAAGATTTGGGTCCTGACGGGGGACAAACAAGGTGAATCTTGGCTTGTGCCAAAATGAGGTTTTAACGCTGTGTTTTTAAATTTTCTTCCTTCTTTCCTCCCTCGTCTTCCTCCCTCCTTTCTTTCTTTCTTTTTCTTTCTTTCTTTCTCTCTCTCCCTTCCTTCCTTCCTTCCTTCCTTTCTTGCTTTCTTCCTCTGTTGATTCTCTTTATGTATATGTGGTTTCTTTCCTCTCTTCAATGTTTCCCTCCGTATTTTATTTTTAATTTTTTTGTTTGTGTGCCTGTGTTGTATGTTTTCCTTCTCCAAGTTTTCTCTCTACGGTTCCTTTCTCCCTTCCGCTTTTCTTTCGTCTTCCTTTGCCTCCTGTTGCCTTTCTAGTTTTTGGGTCTCCTCTCTTCAAATCTGTATTTTGCAATTTCACTTTTCGTGGGCTTGTGCGGTCTCTCTTTTTTTTTTTTGATAGGGGGGGGGTTATATGATTTATTTATTTTGTCGCCTCCAAACCCTGGGCGCCACCCAGGACGCCAATACCCATTTAAAGAAGGGAAGGGGGAAATTTTTCCCTCCCTGGTTGCGCAGGCGAAGATGGGTCCTGTAGTCCCCGGGCTTCGAAGGAGGATTCGGTTGGATGGCTCCTGGCTCAGGACCCTCTCTGCCTCCCCTTCCTCAGAAACCGCGGTCAACATTGGCTATTCCTGCAAGATGCTGACCGACGAAATGACGGAGGTGTTTGTGATCTCTGGCCACACCGTCTTTGAGGTCCGGCAAGAACTGCGGTGAGTGGGCTTTTCCAAGACGCCCCCTCCCTCCCTTTCCCGGGATTTTGTGTCCGGTATTTTAAATACAGATAGTCCTCGGTTTAAGAAAATCCTGAAAAAAACAACAACCCGTGGATGCTGAATAACGGGGGTCTTCCTCCTTTCCTCCGGGCCCCCCCCTCCTGTGACAGGAAGGCCAGAGAGAAGTTGATGGAGGCCTCGCGGTCGATGGGCAATGGCTTCGCCTTTCAGGAGAAGCTCTCCGCCTCGAAGCTGACGTCTGTCTTGGAGGCTGTGGCCGGAGAATACGCCTTGGTCATCAACGGACACAGTCTGGTACGGAGGGAGGGAGGTGGCTGCTTTCAAAAGAACAGGCCGATCTGGGACTGGCGCCGGTAGAATTTCCAAAGGGAGGGGGGTGCTTTAGAGATCATCAGGACTGGCCCTCCGGTCTCTACGGCGACAGTCTCTGCTTTGACAAAAGCCCACCTACCTCGGATGAGGAAATCCCCCCCAAAGGATAAGAGTCGGTTTCCCTCTTGTTTTCCTTCGTTCTTCCTTCCTTCCTTTTCTCCATCTTTCTTCCCTCCCTCCCTTCCACAATTCTGTCTTTCTTTCGTCTACCCATCCATCCATCCATCTCTTTCTCAGCCTTCCTTCCGTCCTTCTTTCCTTCCTTTTCTCCATCTCTTCCCTCCCTCCCTTCCATCTTTCTTTTTTCCATCCATCCATCCATTTATCCATCTCTTTCTCAGCCTTCCTTCCTTCTTTCCTTCCTTCCTTTTCTCCATCTCTTCCTTCCCTCCCTCCCTCCCTTCCATATTTCTGCCTTTCTTCCTTCCATCCATCCATTTATCCATCTCTCCCTCCCTCCCTCCCTCCCTCCCTCCCTCCCTCCCTCCCTCCCTCCCTCCCTCCCTCCCTTCCTTCCTTCCTTCCTTCCTTCCTTCCTTCCTTCCTCCTCCTCTCCAATTTTCTGAGGTTTGGAACATTTCACAGGAATGAGAGTAGCCAGTCCAGACAACAGGAAGAAAAGCTCATTCTAAGGTAGACTGCTGCTGGCCACGGAGGTGCCATTAAAAAAAAAACATCCTTTCAGGCATGCATAAAAAACCCCAGATTTTTCCCCCTGCTCCCTTCCTAGGCCCATGCACTAGAGGCCGACATGGAACTGGAGTTCCTGGAGACGGCGTGCGCCTGCAAGGCGGTCATCTGCTGCCGGGTCACCCCCTTGCAGAAGGCCCAGGTGGTGGAGCTGGTCAAGAAATACAAGAAGGCCGTGACTTTAGCCATCGGGGACGGGGCCAACGACGTCAGCATGATCAAGAGTGAGTCTCTGGGCATTGTGTGAATCGGGAAGCCTGGATTCTCATGCAATTGTGGGCTGGGGAATTCTGGGAATTGTAGTCCTCAGGTCGAAATGAGGCATCCCAGAATTCTCAGCCTTGTCCACAAGGACTGGGGAACTCTGGGAATTGTAGTTTTCCGCATTGAAGTTTGCTTTTCCTCCCCGGTTGGTGGCAGCTGCCCACATCGGCGTGGGCATCAGTGGGCAGGAGGGCATCCAAGCCGTGCTGGCTTCCGACTACTCCTTCTCCCAGTTCAAGTTCCTCCAGCGCTTGCTCCTCGTTCACGGCCGCTGGTCGTACCTGCGAATGTGCAAATTCCTCTGTTACTTCTTCTACAAGAACTTTGCCTTCACCATGGTGCACTTCTGGTTTGGCTTCTTCTGCGGCTTCTCCGCCCAGGTAGGCAGCCGGGCAACGGCAGCGGCTGGCCGGGGGGTCCGGTGGATGTGGGCAGCCCAAACAGCCCAGCAGTAATCCGTCCTTTTTTTTTTTCCTCTCCCCAAGACCGTCTACGATCAGTACTTCATCACGCTGTACAACATTGTTTACACCTCTTTGCCCGTCCTCGCCATGGGAGTCTTCGATCAGGTCCGTCCGTGCCCCGAGCGAAGGGCAAGAAAATAGAGAGGAGGAATGCTGCCACTGTGTCTCTGTATGAGTCCCTGTTCGGAATGTGCCTCCAGATCGGGGACTCAGGCAGAGATACGCTTTGGAGGTTTAGTGCAAGGAAGGAAGGAAGGATAAGAGAGAAAGGAGAAGGGAGGGAGGGAGGGAGGGAAGAAAGATGGATTAGAGGGGAAGGGGAGAGGAAGGAATGGAGGGAGGGAGGAGGAAAAGGGACGAAGGTAGGGAGGAAGGAAGGAGAGAATGGGAGGGAGGAGGAAAAGAGGGAGGGAGGGAGGGAGGGACAGCCACTAATCGTCCCTCTCTCCCCCAGGATGTGCCCGAACACCGTAGCCTGGAGTACCCCAAACTCTACGAACCGGGGCAGCTGAACCTACTTTTCAACAAGCGCGAGTTTTTCATCTGCATCGCTCAGGGCATCTATGCCTCCATCTTCATGTTCTTCATCCCCTACGGGGTCTTCAGCGACAACGCCCAGCTGGCCGACTACCAGTCCTTTGCCGTCACCGTGGCTACCTCCCTCGTCATCGTGGTCAGCGTCCAGGTCCGTGGCGTCTTCCTCCCTTCTTCAGTCTCTGCCAGGGCACGGGAGAGAGATTCCCACCCATTTCCCCACAGATTCGGTCCCCCCTTCCCCAAATAAGTGTGCCTGAAACCTCGTTGATGTCTTCACCATGCCCGTGGGCAGACAAAAGCTCTTGGGGGAGGGGGCAAATGCCCCACCCAATTTGGGCCAGGGGGGCCGCTGGGCACACTTATGCGGCTTTCATTAAGGATCGGCGCCTGTGGCATTTGCCGAAGCTTCCTGGAATAAGCCCTCAGATCAACTCCGGAGATCTCCTGGTGGTCACCTTTCCTCCTTCCTTCAACAGATTGGCCTGGATACTGGCTTCTGGACGGCCATCAATCACTTTTTCATCTGGGGCAGCCTGGCTGTTTATTTCGCCATCCTCTTCGTCATGCACAGCAACGGCCTCTTCCAACTCTTCCCCAACCAGTTTCGTTTCGTCGGTGAGTCCAGTGGGGAGAGGGGAGGAAAGACCCCTGTCTGTCTTGGGGGGGGTCTCCTTGGGTCCTTAAAACCTCTTTTTGGCAGAAGAAATGCGCTTATTGGCAAAACTTGGGGTGTAATGCCAAGGGTGTGGGCATTGTGGGAGAATTTGGATACAGGGACTCTCTGTACCTGGCCTGGAGCAATGCATCCTGGGAAAATCCCAATATCTGGGCAGGGGCAATGCATTCTGGGAAACATCTCCCCTTCTCGGCTGCGTTCAGAATAACGCCCGTCGGCTCCTTTGCTCAAACCGTTTTTCTCCCTCCTGCCAGGCAATGCCCAGAACACGCTGGCCCGGCCTGCGGTCTGGCTCACCATCGCCCTGACCACCGTGGTCTGCATCGTGCCAGTGGTGGCCTTCCGATTCCTCAAGCTGGACCTCCGGCCAGAACTTGCAGACACGGTGGGTGTAGGCCGGCGCACGGCCGTTTCCCTCCTTTCCTTGCAGGAAGATCCTCTGGGTGGACGGAGGGTGCTGGCCAGTTTTAGCTTACGGTGGTCCCTTTTTTTTCAGTGCCGTTGTAACACTGAGCGGTCACTGAACGTGGTGGCTGTAAATCATGGGCTACCTGCAGTTTGAAAAGGGGCAGGGTTAGGGTTTTGATTAGGGTCAGCATTGAGGTTAAGGTTAGGGTTAGGGTTGTAGTTAAGTTTAAGATTGGGAATGGGGGGGCCTAGGGTTAAGGTTAGGGTTAAGGTTCAGGGCTAGGGTTAGGGATGCTGGCACGTTTAAGCAGAGGTGGGAAGCTTTTGACGAGGAGGTGATTAGCCTCTCGCTTTGACGTCTCTTCGCTTGGCTTTCTTTCCTCCCCAGGTGCGCTACACCCAGTTGGTTCGCAAGAAGCAAAAAACCCAGCACCGTTGCATGGGCCGGGTTGGCCGCGCCGGTTCCCGACGCTCCGGCTACGCCTTCTCCCACCAGGAAGGTTTTGGGGAGCTCATCACTTCCGGCAAGAACATGCGGCTCAGCTCGCTGGCCCTTTCCAGTTTCAGCGGACGCACCAGCACCAGCTGGATCGAGACGCTGCGGAAGAAGAAAAACAGCGGCGGCGGGGAGCCCAGCGTGCCTGACAAGGCGCTGAAAGTGTGAGACCATGAAGGGGAGCGTCATACATGACGGATAGACCGTGTTCCGCCGTGGGAAAGGGAGCCCGCCAAACGGGAGCAGATCAGTCTTCGTAGCCATCGCCGAGAACTCACAACCGTGGCTTGAAGTCTAAAGCTGTTGCTGTGTAACCAAATCACGTACCCCCCCATCCCAATTCAAGCTGCCGGTGTATTTGGGGTAGCTTACCCTTGCTGACTGGCGAACGTGGAACATTAAGTGTTCCTCTCCCCGGACAAGGAAGCGTTTACGCAATGTTTTTGAATCCAGGGATATCTCCTCGTTCGGGTAACGTGGCAACTTTTCTCCAAAGTACACGCAAATGTACAAATCGAGAGAGTTGGGGATGTAAGATGGGGGCTAGGAGTGGGGGAGATGTCGGACCCCTCCTACTACAGCCCTGTAGCCTTGTGCTTTGCGTTCGCCATTTTTTAACCCTGGGAGAGACAGAGAAAAGTAATCTCGCAAACGAATCTCGTTTACGAAAGAGCGAGGATTACAAAAGAGCAAGGATTTCCCCTCTCCTCGTTGGATGTCCAGCTGGCGTTAAAAGGGTACTGGGTCAAGAGTTGAGGGTTGCCAACTGCCCGGAGCAGCCACCAGTTCCGCCTAACCGCGAAAGCATTTGGCATCTGATATCTCAGGTTGAAGAAAAGACTCGTTCCGCGGCAATGTCCAAATCTCTCGGCATGTGGAAACGTGACTCTTTTCTTTTTTAAAGACAAGCGGACCGAGTGCTTTCAAACTCAGAAATGGGGTGCCCCACCCCAGATCTTCCAAGGAGAGTTCAGGATTGGCACCGTGTCTGCCCGGGTGTCCCTCGGAGGCGTGGGATCTTCCGTACGAGGGGAGAAAGTAAAGAGATTATATTTTTGTATCGTGTCGGAGTTTCTATTGCAAAGAGTTCCTTCCTCATCCTCCTGTGCCCTGTCCCCCGAGGGTCCCGCAAACCTGTCTCCCATGTCCCCGGAGGTAGAGAAAAAATGGGGACCCCCGAATTGGGGGACAGCAAACCAAGAGTAATATTGTGAAGAGTCCAGTTGCAAGGAGGCCTCCTTTCTTCCGCAGCCAACGTCGCAGCGATCCATACAGCTTCCACTTCCTTTCGAAAAAACAATTCACCTTCGTGGGATCCGTCTCGGTCTGCAGACACCCATAAAGATTTGCCCAGATATCCTGCTAGATCCTCAACAGCAGATTGATGGAGTAGATTCCCACAAGATCTCTTAAGCCATGCTATCCTGTTGGGGTAGAACTGGCCTTACCCTTAGAGACAAATCTACCCTGTTGCCTTGAAGTAAGACAACTTCTCTGTAGCCAAATATCATTGGACAAGTTTCCGGACAGCTGTGAAAAGAGAGGGAATAAATCGGGCACGTCCAACAGCCCGGTTCCAACAACATAAGATTTTTTTCATCTGCAGCAACATTTTTGATTGCCACGCCTTGAAAAGCGAGTAACCTGGTTAAAAAGCAGCAGGGCGTGTGACCGTCCCAGGAGATCGTCGGAAGAGGAGAAAGCTGGCCAGTTGGAGATCATTCAAACTCTTCCGTTGCTCCGCTCGCCAGTTTGCGTCGCCACCAAGATGGCGCCGAGCTGAGACGGGCGAATTTGAACTCGGTGCCCACGGGCGAGGACGGTGCCCGGTTCTCGACTTCGATACCAAAGAGGAAGCATTTTCTCCGCGTGAAAGAGAGGCCCAGGGCAAAATTCCCAGTTTGGCCACAGCCTCTTCCGTATTGGGCAGAAGAGGGAGCGAAACCGCCCTTGTGCCCTGCAGGGATTAAGAAACATTCAGTATAATTTATTTTACATTTCTATACTGGGCAGAATTGTATCGTTTTATGAATATAAAGAGAAATGGCATTTTCTTTAAAAAAAATGAAAGAATGTGATTTCTTTGTAGCGTCATACATTTATTGCAGATCTCCTAGGGAATCTTGGCTGGGCTACGGTGTACAGGTAGTCCTCGATTTACGATCGTGTGTTTAACGACGGTCCAAAGTTGCAGAAAAAGTGATTTATGACCTCTTTGTGCAGTTATGACTGTCACAACATCCCTGCTCACAATTTGCAGCCTTCCTAGCTGGCTTCCAGCAAGCAAAAGAGGAAACCAGGTTTGTTTCATTAGCATGTGATTCACTTAATAACCTGAGCAGGGGGCTGGACTAGATGACCTAGAAGGTCCCTTCCAGCTCTATTCTATTCTATTCTATTCTATTCTATTCTATTCTATTCTATTCTATTTTTCGTTTTTCTATTCTATTCTAGTTTAGTCTAAATTCCTTCTGCTTTTCTTAATTTTTAAAGAAGGAATTTGCTGAACAGAGAGGAGATAGATTTTAATACTATTTTGTTTTCATATTGCCACCATGAGGTCTAGTAACCAGAGGTACCCTTTATAGGATGCTATCAGAATAGAACTGGGGATGGGATGTTTGCAAAATTTCAGGGTCCATTCAGCAGCAACAGAGCTAACTGGTTGTATTTCACAACGAAGAAAACTCAGCTTGCCTAAGAACCTTGTAAATTTCTGTGGTCTTAGGTCGCAGCCTCCCCACATTCAGACGCTTGGCAACTGGCTCCTATTTACGACAGCCGCAAGCGATCCCGAAGTCACACGATCCCCTTTTGCGACCTTAAAAGCCAGCGGGGAAGACGTGTTCCCAACTGAACGGCCTTTGGCAGCAAGGAAGGTCGTAAAACGGGTCCCGAACCCAACCAACGTCTCGCCGAGTGATGGGAAACCTCGGGTTCCCTTGCGGTCGTAAGCCGAGGACTCGGCCGGAGACACTTCTGAGTAGTTTTTTGCAAAAACTGAAAAACAACTTACTTTGAAAAGAGAAAAAGCCGGGACAGGGGGGAAAAAAATCGGTGCCTAATATACATATACATATATATATATATATATATATATATATATATATATATATATATATATATATATATATATATTCTGCACAATGCTGGTGTATTTTTCCCCACCCACGCCCCCACCCTCTGCCCCACGCGTCCCTTCCAGCTCCACCCCATTGCTCAACCTCCCCACCTGCTTTCACAACTGAAAAAAAAGGGACATTTGCTCACTAACAGCCGTGGCTCCAAGTTCCTCAAATGTTTCTCTGCAGTCCAGGCGCCCAGCAAAGGCTGAAGGAGGACTCAGGAGGTGCTGGCAGGAGTCCCAAGGCCGCCGGGCATCGCCGTGGCATCATGTGGCTGGCTGGTGCCACCCTGATCGCCCACATACTGGCAGCCGTGGCTGGCTTCACGCCCTCCACCTTGCCCTGCGTGCAACCAGGTGAGACGGCTTTGGAATCTCATCTGCTGCTGGCGATGAAAGCCAAGAGTTCCAAAGCAACGAATACTCTTTGTGGGTTGGTGTGTGTGTGTGTGTGTGTGTGTGTGTGTGTTCTTAGGGGTGGAGGTGGGTCTGCTTTGGCCTCGGCTGCTAGCCTGGCATGACTTGAGGAGAAGGTGAGCACGGACAAGGGGAATTGTTTGTTGTGTGTGTGTGTTTGTGTGTGCGTCCCTTTGAGAAAGGGGGATGGGGTGGTGGGGTGGCCAGATGTGCAAGGGAAAAGAAGAAAAGAGGGAAGAAAGGAAAGTAAGGAAGTAAGGAAGGAGTCAGGGAGAGGGAGAGAAGGGAAGGAAAGAAAGAGTGTCAGGAAAAGGGGGAGGGAGGAAAGAAGAGCAAAAATGGGAGGAAGGAAGGAGAGAAGGAGAGGAGAAAAAGAAGGAAAGGGGGAGAGGAGAAAAAGGGAGGGGAGGGAAGAGGGAGAAGGGAGAGGAAAGTAAAAGAGGAAGGAAAGAAATAGAAAAAGAAAGAATAAAAAAGAGAAAAAGAAAGAGAAAAGAGAAGGAAAGACAGTATTTCTAAATGGCTGTCATCTCTAACCTGCCCCGCTTCGCAGGGCTGTTGTGAACAATCAAAACAGGATGAACTGTCTAACCAGCCTAAGTTTCTGGTCAAAAAGATGCCACCGGCATTCGGGCTACGAGAAATTTTTGGAAGAAGAAATCTAGACATAAAAAGTTGGGTGTGTGGGGGGGGGGAACCCCTTTCTCCCCCCCCCCCCTTTTTCTAGAACAAAACCTGCCTCTGATTCTGTGCAGAGAGAGAAAAAGAAATAGGAACTGAGGCAGGAACAAGTTTTAAGCGAAAAGCTGGTGAAGCAGAAAAAAAAAAGATGATTCAGAATTTCTGTTTTCTCTGTCTCTCTTTTTTTTTTTTTTTGCTGTAAATGTCGGTGCCGAGTTCAACCAGGGTGACCCTTTCTCTCCCCCCCTACTCCCCAGTTCTGCCTCTTCCTAAGGAGTGCAGAATTCGGGGTGCAAAAGGGGTCCTTGGAGAGCCCCCTAGACAATAAAACATTTGTGGTGCCCACAGAGAAAAAAATCTTAATTCAACAATCCAGCAGGCTGCGTGACATCTTGTCAACGCTATCCTTGATCCAGAATTTGTTAATCCAGAAACCTCTTGTGCTTGTAATAATAATAATAATAATAATAATAATAATGTTAGAAGGGACCTTAGAGGTCTTCTAGTCCAGCCCCCTGCTTAGGCAGGAAACCCTTACCCCATTTCAGACAAGTTCAATCTTAAAAACTTCCAGTGTTGGAGCATTCACAGCTTCTGGAGGCAGGTGGTTCCTCCCTGTTGGGGGTGTCTGGCTGACCCCCCTTTTTTCCCAACTGGGGGAGAATGGGGGGGGTCTTCCAGGAGAGAGGTTAGTTAGAGGAATGTTGGAGAATCAGGAAGCAGCAAAGAGGCATATTATCCTGAGAAAGGATCAGAAATTTTGCAAAGGAGGATTTGCAATTTGTGTTTTGGGAAGCGAGCCTAGGACTTTGAGAGGCTTTGCTATGTGTGTTTGTGTGTGTTTGTGTTTGTGTTGGGGAGATCATGCACGGGAGGAGGGAAGTTTAAAGACCCGACAGGGGAGCTGTGCAGGGTGAGCCTCCAGTATTCCTTCAAGTCTATCTTACCCCTGTGCCGCAATTGAAAAGTCCCCGGAACTGGAGTCTCATCTTACGCCCAAACATGGTTAACTCATAGTTTGAGGCCAAAGCAAAAACAATAACCTTGTTGTTCCCCGGAGGAAGCTTTACTTCCTCCCCAAATCAAAAAAAAATCACCCCAAAATCTCTTCCTCTGGACTTTCCAGACTTGAATCCACCGCTCAGAACAACAGGAAGGGGAAGCCCAGAGGCAGAAAGGGGGAAAAAAATTGCATTTAGAGATCTTTGTTGTACTTTTTCTACCTTCTGCTTTCCTTTGCTTTTTTTTTTCTTTTTCTTCCTGGTGAACATTAACAAGGATTTTGAAACGAGATTCTGGGAATATCTCTGGAGAGAATTATTGTTTTTTTTCTTCCACGCTGAGAATGGGACAGGCATTAGAGATTGTGCTGCTTTATTTGGGGAGAGCCAAGCGTCATTGTCCTCCTTCCTTTTCTCCTCCTCCTCCTCCTCTTTCTCCTTCTTCTTTTCCTCCTTCATCATCTCCTGTTCCCTCTTCTTCTTCTCCTCCTTCCTTCTTTCTTTTCTCCTTCCTTCCTTCCTTCCTTCCTTCCTCCTCCTCCTCCCTTCTCCTTTTTCTTCTCCATCTCCTTCTTTTTCTCCTTCATCTTCCCCTTCCCTTTCTCCTTCTCTTCATCCACCATCATTCCTCCTCCTTCTCCTCCTCTTACACATACCTCTTCCAAAATTCACTTCAGCCACCCACCCACCCCTGGGTTTCCCCAAGGCTTCAGCCCAGCTTCGGGCAGGCTCCCTTAAGAGAAGACCCCTGCCCTGGCCAGGGGGTTGGACTAGAAGACCTCCAAGGTCCCTTCCTAGGATTTCTTTCCCCCTCCCCAAAGGAGGAGGCTAGCAAGGGGGATTAGCAGCCACCCGTGAATTTCTCCTGATGGGCAGCCTGATTCTTCGCAGGGCTGCAGGGAGCCCCCCCTCCCCCTGGGGAGAAAGGCCAGCCTGGCCTCTTAGCTGTTAACCTTTAATCAAATGCCAGGTTTTGCAAAAAAAAAAAAAAAAAAAAAAACACACACACTCACATACACAAAAACCCTTATTTTCCTGCAGGATCCGCCGGCTGTTCCACCAATGACCTTTTTTTCTAAATTGATTACTACCCCAATGCCCGGAAACTAACACAATAAGCATTGGCTAATTGCTTTTTTCCTGAAATCTGATCTGTTTGATTTTGGATTGTCCCCGGCTGTGCAAAAAATAGACCACACCAAGTTTCAACACCCTGGAAAAAGGGACTTCTATGACCTTTTTTCACACTTAAGACCTTTGCAGCATCTCCTGGACTCCTATTTATGTTGATTGCAGCGTCCCCGGGGCAGGGGGCTCACGCGATCCCCTTGGGCGACCGTCTGCCGAGCCAAGTCAAAGGGGGATATAGCTAGTTTTGCTTAACAACGGTGTGGGAAACTTAACACCTGCAGGGATCCCCTTAGCATCTGTGGTGAGAAAGGCCGTAAAGCGGCGCCAAGCTCCACGCCCAGCCGTCCGGCTTAGCAACGGAAATGTCGAACTCCACAGCGGTCGTAAATGGAGGACTCCCTGCTTTATATCTTTGCAGGAAACCCTTTGCCAAAAGTGCCCGGCGTCAAAATTTTATTTTTCGACAAGCCTCAGGAAGCGGACTCTGTTTTGGCCATTCCGGCTGGCCAATTTGGGTGTGAATTTTCCAATTTTTTTTTAGGCGCCATTTATGCTTTTTTTTTTTTTTAGTTTGATTTAATGTCGCTTTTTAGTTACAGTTCAGTTTAGCGTTGCTTTTTAGGGCGAGACAGGCGGCGGGTGAATTTAGCAAATGAATCTATAAAACTGCACCAAATCATGCAGTCCTTTGACATCACAAAAATCAATCACGGCTTGAAGGCATCGTGGAGCAAGTGGCGGGGAGTTCCGCAGGCCACAGTCTCTCCTGTTGAAGCAAAGCGTTTGGTCTTGCCGCTCATTTAAAAAGAAAGAAAGAAAAAAAAGGAAAAGAAATAACCTCCCCATTAGCAAATGACCACTTACCGATGTTTGTTTCCTGGCGATTCTAAGAATTGTTTGCGCTGATGTCCACTTAACGTGACCGCGAGCGTCTCCCCACACCAGCTGCCCTCTCGAATCCGGCTCTTTCGCCCGTTGCTATGGAGCCACACTCCAAAAGAAAAAAAAAAAAACCCAGCAATTTGTCAATATTTGTTTCAAAGTAGAAACACCAGACCTTAACGAAGACGGAAGGTTATGAACAGGCCAACGTTAATTATAATTAACTATATTAAATCCTTCGCTGCCTTCTGGGCATGTAAAGCCGTGGTCGGAAAAAAAATGAGATCAGGGGACGCTTTTTGGCTTTGAGCCGACCAGTGGACAGGGCCCTTTTGAACCGACTCCATTCCGTGCTCACATTCATCGTCCATCCCTTTTCATTTTTTTTAATCTCCCGCCCCCTTCTTGGTGCCTGGGGTTTATTTTGTTTGGTTTGATTCTGCGATCGACAGAACTATTTTAAGCTGATGGGATGGTTTTTTTAAAATCTGTTTTTATATATATATATTTTTCTAATTTACCTTTGCTGTCCAGATTGGGTGGCTGATAAAATCCAGGTAGCTAAATAAGCTTTTAATTTCCCCTCTCCTTTATTTGCTGTGAATATTGCTCCAACCCAACCAAATGTGTTTGACCAACAGGGGAATAACAGTCCCGTCAATTAAAATTTAGTGTAGAGGAGGGAAGACGTGCAATAAAATATTTGTTTTGCATCCCAGTGAGGTCCAAAAATGCCATTTTTAAAAAATACTTTTGAAGAGAAGCAAAGGGAGGTTCAAAGGAAAGTGGCAGGCCCTCCCTTTTTGCCTTTTGGCCTAGCTCGCCCTGATAAAATTATTGATCGTACAGAGAAACTTTCTCCATTCAGCAAAAAGTTATTTATCTTCTGGTCCAGGATTCCCAAGGTCAGGCTTTGGAAAGTTCCCGTTTCATTTCTGCAGCCTGAGAACTGGCCTTTAAGCTGCTGGTGGAGGTTTTCACTGGTCCGCCAGGCTTTTACTATCTTATCAGTTATTAATGGATAATATTCTACTATCTATTATATGGACGGTCCATAATAATGTTGCATGTCATTTGTAACATCGTAGCTAGTATTATCTTCTCTTTCTCCTCCTTCGTGTGTCGTTCTTTTCTCCATTTTCTTATTTACATTGTTCTTCGCTTTTCTCCTCCTCCATCGTCTCCTTCTCTTCTCTTCCTTTCTTTTCTTCCATCTCTATTTCTATCTCCATCTGTCTCAATCTTCTCCTCCTCCTTTTCCACCTCTTCCACTCCTTCCTACCTCCTTCTGCTCTTCTTCCTCTCTCCCTCGCTTCCTCTTCCTCCTCCTTCATTCCTCCCTCCCTCCCTCCTTTCCTCCCTTCCTTCCTTTTACCTCTTCCTGCTCTTCCACTCCTTCCTCTTCCTCCCTCCCTCCCTTCCTTTTCTCCCCCCCCCCTTCCATTATCTCACTTTTCACTCTTTATATTCCATTTTATTCGGCAGCTCCACCCACTGGCACCATCGTTGCCCTGCCAGGCTCCAACGTCACCCTGCCCTGCCTGGAAGGAGAGCTGGGCAACCACACGCCGGTGTTTTGGAAGTTCGAAAAACGGCCCGTCTCTTCTTCTTCTTCGCCCCCTGCGGAGTGGGACACCTCAAGGACTAGCCTTTTCCTTCCCTCCGTCCATCGCAACCACTCGGGGTCCTACAGCTGCTCCCAGGACAGCCGGGTCCTCGGTGCCCACCGCTTGATCGTGGAAGGTGGGCTCTTGGTCCTTTTGCCTCAGCCTCCTGCCCTCTCACCGCCTTGGGCCTTGCCCCAGGGCTCCTGAGCAGGTGCAGAGTGCTTCCCACCCCTGCTGAGAGGGACCCTGATGGCTTCTCCCTCTTTTTTCTCTTTTTTCTTCCAGAGCCTCCCAAGGCCCCGGACTTCACCTGTTTCCGCCGGAGTTTAGTCAAGGATATTCTCTGCGAGTGGAGAACGTTTTTCCCGGTGTCTCCACACACCAAAGCCAGACTCTGGGTGCAAAGGTCTGTATTCGAGGTGGCGCTGCCGACTGGCACAGCACAGGTAGCCCTCGACTTAGCCAGGCTCCGTTTAGCGACCGTCCGAAGGCTTCTCTTTGAGCCAATCCATCGGTGTTTCTCTTTGATGTTGGTTGGACTTCAACTCCCAGCATCCCCGGCCAGCCACAGCTTTCCATGTCTCCCTGGACAGGTTCATAGGGGGAAACCACACGGAGCAGCAATGCCGCTATTACAGCCGGTCCGGGAAATTCCTCTGCCGCGTTCAAGGGCTGAACAACGAGGAGGATGGGCTGCTGCTGGTCTCCGTCTGTGTGGCCAATCTCGCAGGGACGGCACGGAGCCACAGATCCTTCCACGCTGATGTTTTGTGTGAGTGTGTTTGTCTCCTCCTGACATGTGTGCAATTAAAAGATTACCTCGGTCCTCGGAGCACTGCATCTATCCCTGTATCTATCTATTATATCTGTCATCTCCTTCCTTCCTTCCTTCCTTCCTTCCTTCCTTCCTTCCTTCCTTCCTTTCCTTCCCTTTTACTATCATCTATCTATCCACTATCATCTCATCTATCATCTATCAATGTATCATCTATCATCTGTCTATCATCTATATCTATCATCTATCTATCATGTCTGTCTGTCTGTCTATCATACCATATCTATCTATCTATCTATCCATCCATCCATCCATCCATCCATCCGTCTTCCCCATCTGTCTTTCATTTTCATCACTCTGTCTATAATTTATCCACCCATCCATCTACCTATCGTTCATCTTCCTCTATCTTCTATCTGTCAATCAAATCAAATCCATCCATCCATCAATCAATGCCTCTTCCTTTAAGAATCCTCTGGGAGGGGGACAGCACCCTGACGGGCCCGAGGCGAGCTCCATTCCTATCCAGCCCCCACCTGGGCAGGGCCAGACCTCCCTTGCTCTCCACGGCCCCTTCCAACGTCTTTCCCACCCCTCTTCTTGCAGTGAAGCCGGATCCCCCGGCCAACGTGCAGGTCCGCCCCCTGGAGAAAGAACCCCACAAGCTCCACGTCACCTGGAGGAACCCCAATTCCTGGGGATCCAAGTATTACCACCTCCAGTTCCAGCTGCGCTACTGGGTGGAAAACTCCAAAACCTTCTCTGAGGTGGGACTTCTTTCTTTTTTCCAGGCGGTGTGAAGAGGGGGGGGGAACATGGTTGTGCAAAGGAATCCATTTGATTTGAGGTGCAGGGGTGAACAGAACAGAATCACAGAGCTGGGGGGGACCTCGGAGGTCATCTAGTCCAACCCCCTGCTCAGGCAGGAGACCCTCTACCACTCTGTCCAGTCCTTTAAAAAACCTCCAGTGAGGAAGGAAGGAAGGAAGAATAGCAGAATAACAGAATAACAGATTTGGAAGGGATCTTGGAGGTCATCTAGCCCAACCCCCTGCTCAGGCAGGAAACCTTATACTATTCCAGACAAATGGCAGTCCAGTCTCTTCTTGAAAACCTCTCGTGTTGAAGCATCCATAACTTCTGGTAGCAAGGAGTTCCACTGGTTAATTGTCCTCACTGTCAGGAAGTTTCTCCTTAGTTCCAGCTTGCTTCTCTCCTTGATTAGTTTCCATCCGTTGCTTCTTCTCCTGCCTTCTGGTGTGTTGGAGAGCAGATTGACCCCCAACTCTCCTTTGGGGCAGCCCCTCAGATATTGGAACGCTGCTATCGTGTTCCCCCCCTCGTCCTTCTTTTCCTTAAATTAGACTCCCCCAATTCCTGCGACTGTTCTTCCTATGTTTTAGCCTCTGGTCCCCTTCCACCGACAAAGTTTTAACAAACAGATGGACGCTCGTCTTCTTCCAGGTCCATGTCAATCATGGGGTGACATCCTACACCATCGTGGATGCCCTGCAAAATTTACCCCACATCATTCAGGTCCGGGGACGGGAAGAATTTGACCATGGAAACTGGAGTGAGTGGAGCCGGGAAAACGTGGGCATCCCGTGGTCAGGTATGTGGCGGTGTGAGGCGTGGACTTCTTTCGCAGCGATGCAGATGTCCCGAAAGAGGCATGTGCAAATTAAGCAAATTGGGGGGGGGAGAAAAATAGCCTCTTTCTGTCTTTTCTCCCATCTGCAAAATGCCTCGTTGGTTTTTCGCAAAATCTGGAAGAGACAAAAAAAAAAAAGAGAGAGAATTTAAGTCCTTTTCATTTATCAGCACCTAAAAGCTGGGGGGAAAGAGATTAATGAAAAAGGAGCTGAGCCTTTGCACGAGGGATTTGCAACCACTCCAAAATGAAGGATGCTCTTGGGATCCTCTTGATCCCACTCAGCTTTTCCTGCAGGTTCTCCCATTTGCAACCGGCTCAAAGTTTCCTTTCTCACTCCTTAACTTTCCAGATTGTCAAGATTGCAAGCCAGAAACAACCCACCACCCTTCAGAGGTAAGTTGGTCCTATGTTGGTTTGTTTTTACAGAGGAAGAAAATGCCCAGAAAAGGGAAAGGAAGAAAGGAAGCAAGGAAGGAAGGAATGAAAAACTAGAAAGAGAAAGAAGGGAGGGAGGAAGGAAGGAAGGAAAGAAGGCAGGAAGGAGAAAAAAGAAAGAAAGAAATATCCAGAGGAAAAAAGGAAGACACCAAATTAGGAAGGAAGGAAAAAAATAGAAAGTGAAGGCAGGCAGGCAGGCAGGAAGGAAAAAAATAGAGAAGGCAGGAAGGAAGGAAGCAAGCAAGGAAAGAAGGAAGGAAGGAAAAATAGAAAGAGAAGGAAAGAATGATATGAGAAAGAGAATGCAGGAAAGCAGGAAGGAAAGAAAGATCCAGAGGGAAAAAAGGAAAACATCAAATCTGCTACCAACTTTCAATCTACCCCTATTATTATTTTTTCCTTCTGTCAGTGACAGAAAAAGAGGAAGCAGGATGGGCTGAGGGCCCAGGCCAGGGGCTGGGGCCGTCCCTCAAGAGAAAAACAGTTGATTCCTTCCTCGGCTTCTTCCGTTTTCAAACTCATTTGAATTTCTCCCCCCCCCCCCGTTTTTTTTCCTTTCCGAAAGGAAGTGGCGACAGAAATAGTAAGTTTGATTTCCCCTCAAGATCAGTGAGTATTCTAATACGATTCAACTTCTTCTCTCTTGCAGGTCCCGTTCGATCCAGATTTATTCAGCACCTTCAGACCTACAATCTCTGAAACCTCCAGCCACAGCGAGAAGCCGCTGGGTGAGTGGGGGGCTTTCGTGGGGTCCCCCACACTTTGCAAGCAAGCCCTGCCACAAAGAACACACAAGCATTTTTGGATAGGATAGAATAGAATATAGAATAGAATATAAATAAGAATAGAATAGAATAGAGAATAGAATAGAATAGAATAGAGAATGAAGAATAGAATAGAATAGAAATAAGAATAACAGAACAGAACAGAATAGAATATAGAATAGAATGGGACCCGAGAGGTCTTCTAGTCCAACCTCCTGCTCAGCAGATCTATTAGCAGAATCATCCCCATTTCCAGCTTTCCCACAATCCCCTGGAGCCAGACTAAGCCGCAGGGCATTATGAGAAATTATGGGAGGGGAGGGGCAGGCTCATCCACGGCCCTAACCAGCTGTGTCTTTTGGGGGGTGTTTTTGCTTCCAGTTGTAGAGGAGGAGGAGGCTGTCGGGGTGCCGCTGCACGTCTTTCTTATCATGGCAGTCAGCATCACGCTGGGCCTGGCCCTGGCGGTGGGGGTCCTCACCCGGTGAGAAGCCTTTTCTTCATTTGGGGGGGGGGTAGGAAGGGGGGAGTTTGAGGATGGGGAGATAGGAGGGTCCTTCTTCTGGGTCTGCGTTTCAAGAGGGGAAAACAAACCGTGGTTGGGAAGGGCAGACATGGAAGGGCAAACAAACCGGGTTAAAGTGGGGTGAGGGAAGGAAATATGCTTTCCTTTTGGGGGGGTCAGGAATTCACGGGGGGAGGGACAAGCTGATCTGAGCAGCTCCTTCCTTCCTTTCTTCCTTCTTTCCTTCCTTCCTTTTTTTTCGCCTTCCTTCCGTCCTCTTTTCCTCCCTCATGTCTTTCCTCTCTCTCTCCTGCCTTCTGTTCCTTCTTTCCTTCCTTCCTCCCTCTCCCACCTTTCTTTCCTTCTTCCTTTCCTGTTCTTCCTCCCTCCTTTCTTTCTTTCTTTCTTTTTTTCTTTCTATCTTTCTTCCTTCTTCTCTCCCCCCTCCTGCCTTCCTTTTCTTTTTTCTTCCTTTCTTCCTCTCTTCCTCCCTCCCTCCCTTTTTCCTTCTATTGTTCTTATCCTTCCCTCCCTCCCTCCTCTCGGCACTGTCCCTCCCTCTCCCTCCCTGTCCAAAGGCAGCTTCTTTCCTAAAGGGCTGTCCGGACCTTCCAGGGCTGCCAGTTGCTGACCTCCACTTTCCACAGACCTTCAAATCCTTTGGGCGTCTCCTGCCAGGCCTGCCTTCCTCTCCCCTCTCTGGATCTGGGCCAGGTACAGCCCCCCCACCACTCATGTCCCCTTCCTCCTAACAGGGGCGCTTGGCATTCCAGGTACCACAAGAAGTGGGGGATCCTGCCGTTTGGTGAGATGAAACCCAACCCCGTGCCCCCCTCCTACGCGCTGACCCCGATGTCTCCGGAGCCCCCCATGAGCGCCTCTCCTCTCCTCTCCCCTCCCACCTCACCTCTCAGTGAGAGCTCCATCGACAGCCCGCGGACCCCCGACCAGGGTCCCTACGACGTCTCCAACGCGGACTATTTCTTGCTGCCCAAGTGAAGGGCCCAACGGCGAGAAGACCCTGGGGAGCCACAATGCTCCGTGGTTGGCCTCAAGACAGGGGTGTCCCAGAACCCCCCCCCAAAATGCTTTTGGGGGCAGCCTTTGCGATCTTTTGCAAAGGATTTCTTCCCCAAGGCCTTAGGAGGGTCCAGATGTCCTCAAAAAGTCCCTTCTTTCTGGACCACGAATGGGCGTCTTTGACAGAGGTTGGATTGTCTCTCCAGCCATGTTCGGATGATGCCTCTCCTCTGCCTGCAAGTGATGGGAAAGGGCAAGCTGTGGATGATGGTTTCCGGGCCAAGGGATGTCTCCCACAATGCCTTGCAAACACAACCAAACAGCTAAGAAGATTTGGCTCCTTTGCTAGATATAATCCCTTTCAACCTGATCTCCAGATCCGGTCAGTTTCACTGCCTTTTCTCCACCTGGTTAGGTTTTTGGTTTTTTTCCTCCAGTTCCCTGTTTTCCAAACCGTGTCCATTTCCACTGTTTTTTCCCCCAAACTTCCCAATTTCTGCCTGACGACGCACAGACCCGAAATAACCTCTTTCCCTTGCTTTTAAAGTGTTTTCCCCTAAAAGCACTTTTTTTTTAATGCATTCATCCAATTGGACACGTTTCACTCATCCTACCTCGGTCTGGGAACTTTGTAGCTTTCTACTGGAGATTTCCAGTCCCCCCCCTTTTTTTGCCTTAAAATAGGCCTTTTTGGACCGGTTTGTGTTGGATACGGAGACAGGCCATTCAGCTCGTTCTTTAATCCAAAAGTCATTTTTTTATATCTTTTTCAGCAGGGGAAGAGAAAAAAAAAACAAAGATTTTTTGCAAAAGGTGAAAGTCTGGAAGAACAGATATCTACTGGCTTTCAAATTCAACACAAACACAGCTGGTTTTTTTGCTTACAGGTGTGAAGAAGCAGATGTTGGCACCTGCCAGTTGACTTTACTGGTCTTCTAACCACCCAAGGAGAAATTTTATTTTTTTCCCCTTTAACGGAAACTTTGGGGTTCAGACAGTACCATTTTTAGAGGTCCTGGCACAAATATTCGAGATTTGGGACGCAAATCCAGACTCTCGGTTTGAGGTTTCCAGTTGCCACCCTTGATGCTCTTTTTCACCGAGTTATGGATTTTTGTGCACAGCAAAGAAACATAGAGGTGCATGGATTTGGGGAGGGCTGAACGGCCCCCACCTCTTTATTGCAAAAAAAGACTTGGGGGGGGATGGACCCCCCTTCAAATAGCTTTGGATCATAAGGCCGAGTTCTCGTGTTGCAACTCTTGTTATTTTTAATTTTATGGGGAGTTGGTTGGGTTTTTTTTGCTGCTGCTGCTCCTGTTGGTTCTGCAAAACAGCTATTGGGTGTGCTTGTGTGTGTGTGTGTGTGTATCTTTCCTTTGTTTTTTTCCCCCAAAGGTCAGAGCGTGGGCATTCGGCAGTTGTTTATTCTGCTTTTTTTTTTTGGAGTGCCAGTTGTAAATTTGGACTTTGTGAATCCGAGGGGAGGACGTCTGCCTCCAACATGAAAAGAGTCCTCGGCTTACGGCGACAAGTGAGCTCAAAGATTCTGTCGCTAAGTGAGACATTGGTTGAGGTTTGCCCCGTTTTACAACTTCCTTGCCACCGTTGTTCAGGGAATCCCGGCAGCTATAAAGTTAGTAACGTTGTTAAGTGACTTTGCTTGTCGGAAGATCGCAAAAGGAGATCGCGTGATCCCCCCCCAGGAGGATGCTACGACCGTCACAAATACGAGTCAGCTGCACAGCACCTGAATGTTGATCACGTGACCCACGGAGAAGACTGCAACGGGTCGTAAGTGTGAAAAACGGTCACACGTCCCTTTTCCAGTGATGTCGTAAATTTGAACGGTCACTACACAAACGGTTGTAAGTTGGGGACCACTGATACAGTGGATGGAGGAGAAGATCCAGGAATTGAGGAAGTACAATCGGATCAGTTATTCCTTTGTGGGAAAGAGAGGAAAAGCTGTCGCCGGTCAGAGATGCAAAACTTGACAAGAGGCCTCCGTTGTTGTTGTTGTTGTTATTGCAAAGTCACTCTAAAAACTGTGTTAAGTTTGGAGTTTGAGTTAAAAAACTTTCAGCTGCATTTTTCCCTCTAAGTGAATAAATGCATCAGGTGCTACTTTTGACTTGAGTGATTTTGGGGATAAAAAAGGTCTAAAGCCGTGTTTCTCCACTTCAGCAACTTTTAAGAGGGGCGGACTTCAACTCCCAGAATTCATGCATGCAGGCTGGGGAATTCTGGGAGCTGAAGTCCACCCCTCTTAAAGCAGGCTGGTTGGGGGATTCTGGTTATTGAAGTCCACCCCTCTTAGAGCAGGCTGGCTGGGGGATTGTGGGAGTTGAAGTCCACCCCTCTTAAAGCAGGCTGGCTGGGGGATGCTGGGAGCTGAAGTCCACCCCTCTTAAAATGTCTGAGGTCCAGAAACTCTGCTCTAAAACTTGGTTTTCACATCAAAGCTGGAAACCAGCATCACCTCCCTCCCAGGGGTGTAAACTTGAGACTGGCCCAGTATTGTTTTGACGTTGCTTCCCTGTTCCCGCCACCCGAGACAGTGACTAAATCATGGGCTTTTGCAACCCAGGGCACGTTAATGGTTCCCGTATAGACTGAACCACACATCCTTTGGGCCCCCGAAAAGTTGCCCAAAGTTTGACCCGACACAGTTGTTAAGCAAATCTGGCTTCTCCAATTGACAAAAGGAGATCCCAGGCAACTGTCAAAAGTACATGCCAGTTGCCGAGCATCTGAATTCTGATCACGTGACCTGCTGCAATGGTCTTCATGGTGGAAAAACAGTCCATTTTTTTCACTGCTGTTGTAACTAAACTAACGGTTTATAAGTTGGGATCTACCTGCCTCCTAGTAACCGTGCTTGATCCGATGCCTTTAAAGGGGGGCAAACTCTGTTTATCCAGCCATCTGAAGGGGGGGGTCTCACTCACCAGATGGAATTGTGTTGGTGGCCTCGATCCAAGTTATCAAAATCGGAAGCGTTGCACCACAACCGCTAGGCCTGACTGCTTTCGATGGAAGAGGGAAAAAAGAGGTCCCTGGAGAGGGGGCTCTTTGCAATAGTGTCCCCAATTGCCGGATTGAAACCCTTTGGGGGGGCTCCTGTGGGGGACAAACACAAGTCAAGTTATTTATTGGCAGTTTTGAGCAGGAGACGAGCGAGATTGAGCCTTGATTTGGGATCCAACGTGGACAGGATTACCGTTGAATCAAAAGGCACGTGCCGTGGTACCCAGGCCACGTGGCAGGTGATGTTGTCTTCTGGGTTTTAGGACTGGGGGGGGGAAATGGTGGTGGGTGGGTGGGCGCTGCCCCGAAGCGTGAGAAAGGGATCTCCAGAGGAAGAAAAACAGTTGAGCAATCGTGCAAACGGGATGAGAAACTCTGACAGGTTGAGAGGGGAAATGGTGGCGAAATCCACCATCTGTTCCCCCCCCCCCCCCGTGTTTTGTTTATTTCAATTTGGGGTGATGAGAAGACAGAACGGAAGTGGGGACTGACCTGGGAAGGAGGGATGAGTAATCTCATCCGGATGTTGGGGAGAAAGAAATCTTCCTTACTTGTTTTTTTGGTGTGTGTGGGTGTGTGTCTTAAACCCCTGCGTTGAAGGGGAGGGAACATCTAGTTGAAATGTTAAAAGAGACTGAGCATTGATTGACACTCTCAAATTGTGTCTGATTGGCAAGTCCTGTTTCAGAGGTGGGGGTGCAATTTTGGATATTCCATTCCTCTCCCTCCCCTTTCCAAAATCACCAGCCAAGTTGTTACTTAATACTGTAGAATAGAATAGAATAGAATAGAAGAGAAGAGAAGAGAAAAGAGAAAATGGATGAGAATGGAATGGAATAGAATAGAATAGAATAGAATAGAATAGAATAGAATAGAATAGAATAGAATAGCATAATAATAGGAGTAGAATAGAATAGAATATATTTAATACTATAGAATATTAGGAATAGAATAGAATAGAATAGAATAGAATAGAATAGAATAGAATAGAATAGAATAGAATAGAATAGAATAGAATTTCTCCTTACTTCTAGGTTCCAGATTATTTGATTTGTTTTGATTTGATTTGATTTTCAAATCCTAATCCAGTCTTCCAAGCTGTGTCATATACCGACAATCCACACATCTTGAAAATCCAGCTTGCAAAAGCTATAAAGGAAAAAAAAGAACAATCTCACAACACTGAGAACTTTTATATGCCGGGGACTTCTGGGAAATTACAGCCGTGGTAATTTTTTCTCTTTTTAGCCATAGCTGCAGAAAGTTACACCCTTCCCACCTCAAGAGAGAATAGGATTCTGTAGTTTTCTCTTATTTCTCTCCGGGTTAAAAAAAAAAAAAAGTCGAATTTAGCATTCAACGTTGTTAGATAAAAATGATCTTTTTTTTTTTTTTGCTCCAGACCGTCAAATAATTCAAAATCAAATCTCTAGAATTCTCTCTCCCTAGATGGCGATGGCTTTTTCAAAAGAACCTACAGCAGTTTTGAGCCCACTTGGGATGAAAATAACCTGGTTTAATTGTTTTTTTTAAAAATCTCTCTTTTGGGGGGAGGGGGCTCTCAATCATAACTCTGAGGTTGCATCGGAAGATTTTGAGCCTCAGGTTTATCTCTCGCCACCGGAAAACCACTGCCAAGATGGTAGCAGATTTTGGTTTTAGCTGAGAGTTTATTTTTTTGGGGGGGAAGCAAAACCTGGAATGGAGCGTACCGTGTGAATCTTTTCAGTTTCCATTCAAGCAGAAAAATCTACATTTCAGAGGGGGAAAAAGGGGGAATCCCTTCGTTACCCCACCCCACCCCACCCCATGAGCAAAATGGCAGCAAGGAAGTTGCTTTTGAATTGGGCAGCTGAAGGTCACCCCAAATCCCGTTCGGCCCTTGAGCAAGGGAAAGGGTCCGTCTAGATGGCCTCAGAGGCCCCCAAACGAGCAACATTTTGTGAATTTTACAGTTTTGGGGGCTTCTTCCTCGTCTAAGTGACGGTGGTGACCCCCGTGGTGGTTTGTTTTGCATCTGGTTTCCTGCCTAAACTGGATTTCAGAGTTCGTTCACTCGTTCCTTCCTCTCTGCTGGAGCCCAGACGCCTGTCCACTTCCCCCGTCCGTGTCGCAATTCTTAACTTCCCCCCAAGTTCTCATTTGTGATATTTCTGACAAAGACACACATACACACACACAAAAAAACACCAGAGCTGGACAGTTGGTGGTGCCATACTCAAAACGCAGAAAATGCAAACGAGAGGGGAAAAATTAAAAACGAAAGAGAAAAGAAGAAGAAAGAACAGTTGCATAATTTTATATTTTTAATTGTGGGGAGGTTTCTAAGGCCTACATGAAGCCACCGATTCCATCGGTCCTGACACTTTCCAAGTGTGATGTTTGTGTAGAGATTTATTTATTTATATTTTTAAAAAAGGACAAGCAAGGAATCTCTTACGAATTCCCACATTTCACTGAATTTAAGAAGAAAACTGATTTATTTTTATTTTATAAAACTGCTGTTCCTCTTGGCAAACCATCGGGATAGGGGTGTAAAGTCAAAATACTTAGAGGGGGGAAAAAATATACCAACCTTTGTTGTAATCACATAATGACATTTATGCAGCACGTTGAAAGATCCAATGGGATTTTCATGCTAGATGTAATTCTATAATTGGGCCACAGAAGGGCAGCATTGCTCTACTTTTAAAGACTTTTGCTTCCTTTTTTTTTCTTTTTCTGCTCAATTCTGGTCTTGGAAAAAAAAGATAAACTCATAGCAGAGTTTATAATCTCCAATATATTTTTATAATCTCCAATATACAAAGATTTTTTTTTAGAAAAAAAAATCCGTTATTCCTGTTTGAATTGTGGAGATTTATAAATTTAGTCTCTTAAGATTGGCTGGATGGAATAATTTCACTTTGTATTTGAAGATTTTTTTTAAAATTTTCTTATTCTCCTCTTCCCTCTTGTTATTCCTCCCTCCCTTCTTTTTAATTATTTTTCTTTCTTTCTTTCTTCCTCTCTCCCTTCCTTGATCTTCCTTCCTTCCGTCTTTTTTCTTTTTCTTTCTTTCTTTCTCTCTCTTTTTCTCATATATTCTTGCAGCAATTAAACTGTGATTCAGAGTTTGCAGCCGAAACCCCCCCCCCCACAGGTTCAGCCTACAGAAAGCCAGACTGGAGTCCATCGGTGCTCCCTCTTGGCGCCACCAGCTTTGTCAAAAAAGCAATTTTTTTTTTAGTTTGGGCGGGAAGGAAGTCCAAACAATGCTGGGATTTGTCCCTGCCAGGAGAGGAAACTGGGTGGGTGGGTGCCCAGAGGAAGGGGCTGATCCGTTTTTCAGATTGACTCGAATCTACTTTTAGCCAAAGCCACTAAAGCAGCCAGCAAACTAATCTCAAAAAAAGGGGGGGAAATAGACTTGTTTGAAAGAGGGTGATTTTTTTTCCTTGCATTTTTAAACCAAGATGCAACCAGGATGGGTTGTGGCAGATTGGTTAACATCAGTGTTTTTTTGAAGGGGAGGGGGGAAACCCGAGTCCCACTCGGGGGTCCCTGAAATCAAGATGAGGTGAGGCTGGAAATCTACATTTCTGTTTTCTGCGTCTCGCTCTTCTTGAAACCTCAAGCCACTCTGCTTTTAACGGGGACGAGAGACCACCAGGAGATCTCCAGGGAAAATAGTGGGGGAAGCACTTCTGCTCGGAAAGGGGGCAGAGATTAACTCTGGTTTTGCCACAATTGTTTAGGGAGTCACAGGGTCCTTACGCAAATCCGCCTTCCCCCATTTATTTTGCGTGTCAGAAACTGGTTGGGAAGGCCGCAAATGGCGATTACATGATCTTAAGATGCCCCAACCGTCACAAATGCATGGCGGTGGCCAAGGGCACAAATTTTGATCACATGACCCTGGTCATAAGACGCTGCGACCGTCGTAAATGTGAGTCAGTTGTCAACCATCCGGATGTCAATCACGTGACCCCGGGGGGGGGAATGCCACGAAAAAGGGTCCTAAGTCCCTTTTTTCCAGCGCTGTTGTAACTCCCAATGGCCACTAAGCGAACCGTCGTAAGTTGGGGACTCCCCATACTATAAAAAAAAACCAGATCTCTTTTGAGCGTTTTTATTTGATTTTGGGAGAAGCGGCGAAGAGACCAGCCTCCCCACCGGATCCTACGAAAACCGTTTCAGGAAAAACAAAATAAAATAGAAGCCTCCCAGTTTAGCCTACGCGAATCCGCTTGGCCTTTAATGGTGGGGACTGGGAGTTGCTGGGATTCTCCAAACTCCACTGGCTGTCTTCTCAACAATACCTTGTTCAAGAAGAGAATCTGGCTCAAATTAAGCAGCGATGACGGTTCTGAGCAGCTGCCAATCAAGGCTGTGTTCAGCCCCATCCCTTCCCGTCAATTCAGCGTCCAGCAAAATGGGGGGGGGGCTGCCCCCCTGCTCTATGCCCCCCCACCCCCAAACTTAGCAATATTTCAGGATGGGAAAAGTCCTGTCAAATCACATCAGGAGGCGCGGGAATAAATTTGCCAGAGAACGAAGAGAAAAGATGGGATTGACGTCCCCGGGCGAAGCGAAGTTTGGCGAGGTGGCTCTCCAGTCTCCAGCGCATTTCCCCTTGGCACACCGTTCCCAAACTGGTCTAAACTGGGATCTTTAGAGAATCTTCCTCGGAACAGAGACGGGAAAACGTAGAGTCATATGTTCTGCCCCTTTGAAGGGCAGCTTTGCGGTGGAATAGTAGCCCACCACTTCGGGGACGGTGTCAAAGAGGCCGCCCGCCTGGTCCAGAGTGTATTTGTGATCCTTCGTTTGGGCCACGATGATGGCTTGTCCTGAGGGGGTGTGTGGAAAGAGAGCCCAAAATAGAAAAATATTAGTGAAAATGACTCTGGGGGGGGGGGTTGGTTTCCTTATTAAAAACCCTGGCGGTTTTTAAGAAGAGATTGAATTTTTATAGGGTTTGCTGCCCGAGCAGGGGGTTGGACTAGATGACCTCCGAGGTCCATTCCAATTCTGTTATTCTGTCTTTTGAGCAGGGGGCTGGACTAGATGACCTCCTAATTCCGTTATTCTGTCTTCTGAGCAGGGGGCTGGACTAGATGACCTCCAAGATCCCTCCCAACTCTCTTATTCTGTAATTCTATTGTTCCATTATTCCGCGGTTATTCTGTTTTTCTGCTATCAACCCATTCAGATTATATTTTGGGGATGCTTTTTGAAAGGGGGGAGTACACTCCCATTTCAGAATCCCGCATCTTCTCCTCCAACCTTGCCTCATTTACCACCCAATCCTGCTCAACAAACAGCAGAAAAACACCTTCCAATTCTCCAGTTTTGGGGATCTTAAGAGACAATTAAAACAGACCTTTGGCCTCGATTTGGCGATTTTGAATCCTGGCCTAACGGGGGTCCATTTCGGCCTCCATTCTTGGTTGGACAAACAGCCCCCCCCACACACACACACCACACGCCTGGCAGCACACGGCGGGTTGTGTTAAACATGGGGTCAAGGAAAGCTGGAAGGGGGGGGGCACCTTAAATCCTTTCTTTCTAAAGCGCAATTTCCACGGGATATTTTAAAATCCCATTTCAATCCCCGCCTATCCAAAGAAGGAAGGGGAGAATGAGAAGGGGGCAAATTGTTTTTCTATGGAAACACCCCCCCCCTCCCCAGCCTTCTCTTCCACTAGCCGAGCTCCCGATTCTCCACTCTCTCTCTCTCTCTCTCACACACACACAAACGAACACACAAAGGTCCTCTCTTTCTTTCCTTGGTTTGTTTCAAAATTCAGCATCCTGAGGAAGGAAGTTCGGTCACGCCCAGCCAGGCGCAAGGAGAAAAAGTCCGGATTTGGGGGGGGGGGGAAAGAAAGAAGCAAAGGGTTTGGAAGTGCCAAGGCAGGCAGGCAGGCAGGCAGTCCTCGACTTATGACAGCCACCCAGACTTCCGTTGCTAAGCAAGATGATCATTCCGTGAATTTTGCTTCATTTTACGATCGTTCCGGCCGGGATCCGTGCAGATGTTACCAAACCCCAGAGCTTCTGTTGCTTAAGCGAGACGGTGGTTCAATGAGTTTTTGCCCCGCTTTACGACCCCTCTTGCCGTTCTTAAGTGAATCGCTACAGTCGGACTGTAGAGGGTGGCAGCGGGTTGGACTAGATGACCTCCAAGTCCCTTCCAGCTCTGTTCCGACGGATTGAAGTTGTTGCTAAGGGAATCTGGCTTCGCCCGTTGGCTTCGCGGGTCAGACGGTCGCAAAAGGGGGACCGTGGGACTCCCGGGAGGGGGGACGCTGCAACCGTCACAAGTACATGTCAGTTGCTGAGCCTCTGAGTTTGGATTGGGCGACCCCCGGAGGAGGCTGCAATGGCGGCGAAGTGTGACAAATGGTCCTAAGCCACCTTTTTCATGGCCATGTGGTCACTAAATGGACTGTTGTAAGTCGAGGACTACCTTGTAGCACAGTTTGGCAGCGGGTCTGGACCCGGCCCGTGAGCCCAGGAAGCTTTCGGACACTCACTTGAGGGCGATGGAGTATTTGGTGGGGCCCACCTCGCTGGTGCGGACCAGGTAGCCGGCCTCTGGACACGGCTGCAGCCGGCTTTCCGCCTCGGCTCGGGTGATGGAGCCGTGAAACCACCTGCGAGGAAGGAAGGAGGGGCAAAAACAGGGTTTCCCAGTCTGTTCCCAGAATCCTCAGCAAAGAATCCTCTACTGGCAGGGGGATTCTGGGAGTCGAAGTCCTCCCCTCTTAAAGCAGGCTGGTGGGGGATTCTGGGAGTCAAAGTCCTCCCCTCTTAAAGGAGGCTGGCTGGGGGATTCTGGGAGTGGAAGCCTACTCCTCTTAAAGCAGGCTGGTGTGGGATTCTGGGAGTGAAAGCCCACCCCTCAATCACGGTCATAACTTGAGGACTTCCTGTGTTTCTAAGGCCACCAAATCAAACTATTCCATGTCTATCCCTGAGGTAGAAACCAAGAAGGAGACCCCTTCGAACTGGAAACCTCCAAACCCAGTTTACTCCTTTCCTTGGGGGCCCAGCCAAACCTCTTCCCTTCTTAAAAGAGAATTCCAGCCTCATGAGGACTAGCAGCTTGTCTCCAGAGGGAGACGGAGACAGAAGGAACCTTGAGGGCACAAAACAGATAAGATTTGGGATAGATCCCAGGAGGCTTACGGTTGTTTCTCCAAGATGAGGGCAGAATCCACCCGCTCTCCGTCCAGGCCCGGTTCCATCCCCGGGGAAAACTTAACCATCATTGACGGCCAGTTTTTCGGGCAAGGTTGGTGCTGGGGTGGCGAGACGACCGTCTCAGCCGCAGTCAGGACTTTCTCCGAACCCTCAAACTGCACTGGAAGGAGAGAGGAAGGAAAGGTTATGAGAAGGGGGCTCCCCCAAATATCTTCACCACGGGTCAAAATTGGCCAGCCTCCTCTGCAAACAAGCCAAGATTGTTCACTCAGGATGTGAACAAGCCGAGATTCTCAAATTGGACACCGATATATGCAGAAACACTTAAGGGGCTGAGGTCCCAAGGATGTCGCCGAATGCAAAACTGACCATTGAAACGAGGACAATTTTTTTTTTTTTTTTTGCAAATTTAAATTGCATCTAAACCAGGATTGAAAGGAATTCCCCATGGGAGCGTCCTTCCCAATTTATCTTCCTTACTTTTCTGTTTTTTTTTTTTTTGAACTGATCACCTGTAGGGAAACTTCCGCTAGACAAATCTATCTATCTATCTATCTATCTATCTATCTATCTATCTATCTATCTATCTATCTATCTATCTATCTATCTATCTATCTATCTATCTATTTTTATGAAAAAGGATCCTCCCCGTCCCATTTTTGCCGTCCGCTTTTCCTACCTGAGAGAACTTTAACAATCTGCTCTTTCTTCCATTCCCAGGGCTGTTCGTACTCGGCCGGCGGCCGTTCGTCGCTCGGAGGGGGGCGCGTCTCGAACTTGGACCCCGTCTCAGCCGGCTCGTAAGGGGTGTCGTAAAGCTGCAGGGGTTTTGAGGCGGGGGCTTTGACCCCCGGGTCTCCCTTGGCTGCTGGTTCGTCCAGAAGTAGGATGGCTTTCCCCCCAAAGGGGTCTTTGGACCCCCGCCGACGGATTTCTGCAAGGGAGGGCAGGGGCAGAGGGTGAACAAAGGGGTGGAAATAAGGCCTTGTGTCTTGGGTGTTAGACTAGGTGTTTTTTTGTGTTTTTTCATTTAATATAAGTTGATGAAAATGTTAAAATGCAGGCAGGAAGGAAAGACAAGAAAGAAAGAAAGAAAGAAAGAAAGAAAGAAAGAAAGAAAGAAAGAAAGAAAGAAAGAAAGAAAGAAAGAAAGAAAGAGAAAAAGGAAGGAAGGAAGGAAACAAACAGAAAGGGGATAGATATAGGTAAACAGACATGGGAGGGAAAGAAGGAAGGAAGGAAAGAGAAAGCAAAGGGAGGGCGGGAGGGAGGGAGAAAGGAAGGAAAGAAAGAAAAAGAAAGCAAAGGGAGGGAAGGAGGGAGGGAGGGAGGAAGGAAGGAAAGAGAAAGGGAGAGTGAGTGAGTGAGTGAGTGAGGAAGGAAGGAAGGAAGGAAGGAAGGAAGGAAGGAAGGAAGGAAGGAAGGAAGGAAGGAAAAAGCAATTCTGATATTTTTTATAGCAGTTGTAAGCAAATGTATAAATCAACCTCTTATTTTATATGGCTTTCTTTTTTACCTCTAATTCCATTTGTTTTTCAAATCACCAAAACCATAAACAATAAGTTCACTTTTTTCTGTTCCATGCAAAAAAACAACAACCCACAAAACGTTTCTAGTCCTCATTAAACCTAAGCTCACGCCTTTCCTCTGATCCAAGCCCTCCCAGCTGGCCCCTTCTTTATTTCTGCGGACTTATTTCCCAATTACATTGCAGACGTTTCTTTCGTTAAAAAAAAACAAAACAAACCGAGAACACTCTGCACGAGTTCAGGAACCCCCATGACATACAACCGGGCTCGCTTGCCAGGAGGGCTCAGAGACCCTCAGAGGCTTAGCAGGAGCACAAATTGCTGGGAATTTTAGGACTGGTTTGGACTCCCCCAGTTTGCTCTCGCCTCATCTGTGTCCCCAGCCGACAATGCCTTGTTTTATTCCAACTTCCGGCGCTAAAATTTCCTGTTTTTCTGCACGGCTGTGGGTGGGGAGTCTGCTTACACCAGGCAAATATCCAGCTTGTGGCTGACCGGTCCAGTTTTGCGTTAAATTTGTATTGTTGCAGATTTTCAATACCGCAGCGGGTTGCAAACTAAATTAGACTTCTGATAATCTGGAAAATTACAGAATAACAGAATTACGTCGTTGGAAGGGACTTTCTAGTCCAACCCCCTGCTCAGAATAACAGAATAGCAGACATGGAGGGACCTTGGAGGTCTTCTAGTCCAACTCCTTGCTCAGAATACAGAATAAAAGAGCTGGAAGGGACCTTGGAGGTCCTCTAGTCCAACCCTTTTCCAAGGCGCCTGAAGGTAGGACAAGAAGCAACAGATGGAAACTAACCAAGGAGAGAAGCAACCTAGAACTAAGGAGAAACTTCCTGACAGTTAGAACAATTAACCAGTGGAACTCCTTGCCTCCAGAAGCGGTGAATGCTCCAACACTGGAAGTTTTTAAGAAGAGACTGGACAGCCATTGGTCTGAAATGGTGTAGGGTTTCCTGTCTGAGCAGAGGGTTGGACTAGATGACCACCAAGGTCCCTTCCAACTTTATTATTATTATAACCTCCTGCTCAGAATACAGAATAAGAGAGCTGGAAGGGACCTCGGAGGTCATCTAGTCCAACCTGCTGCTATTCTATAGTCCAAATGCAGCGATTCGCTTAACAGTCATGGCAAGGGAAGTCGTAAAGTAGGGCAAAACTCATTTAACAACTGTCTCACTTGGCAACAGAAATTTTGGGCTCAACTCTGGTCGTAAGTTGAGGATTGTTAAGGGGCAGAGTTCGAAAGCAACCTGTGTTTCTTCCGAAACAAACCACGATTACCAGTTATCATCTGCTGCGCGTCGTAAGGCTCCATGTAGCCGTCATTCTCTTCCAAGCGCTCAGCGTCCCGCTGTCCCTTGGTCTGTTTCGCGTCGTAGGGATCGGCGTAATCCTCCAGAATGATCACCTTCCGACGTGGCAAAATTAAAAAAAAAATAAAATGGTTAATTTATAGCTGATTTATTCAAATTCTGTGGCGCCCGTGTCTCTGTTCGGGGCGCCTTTTTACGATTTTACAAAATAGTAAAAAAAAATAATATTTTTTGTATTGAATAGGATATAACATTAATGAAGACTTGTAAGGAGTTTCTGTTTGAGGATCTACCAGATTTAAACTCCCCGAAATCCTTAAAACATAAATCTTTGAACTCCAATCCTTCTCAAATCCTTTGCAGTCCAGATTCTTTCCGTGTGCAAAACATTTATAATATCAAAAACTGAGAGTCACGTTTGAAATACAGTATATTATATTTCTCCTAATTTCTTTCTTTCTTCTTCTTTGTCTTCCCCCTCCTTCCTTTTCTTTCTTTTTTCTCTTCTTCCCTCCCTTCCTTCCTCCCTTTTCTTCTTTCTTTCTTTTCCTTCCTTCCTTTTTCTCTTCCTTCCTTCCTCCCTTTTCTTTCTTCCTTTCTTCTCCCTTCCTTCTTTCCTTCTTTTTCTCCCTTTCTTTTTCTTCTTTCTTTTCTTTTCTTTCTCTTTTCCTTTCATCTGCCTGACTGACTGCTTTTCTGTTTTTCTACAATTTAGCTGAAGAAAATTGGAAAGAAGCTCCAAGTACCATAAATCCTGCTGGATCTTTTTTTAAACGTGGATTTTCTTTGCTCCATTGTTTTTTCTCAAACAGAAGACAAACACAGTTTCTAACCCCCACCCCCCAGCCCCAAATTAACTGAGGGCAAAACTATTTGAAAAAGTGCATTTTCTACAATTTGCTGACCTTCCTTCCAAACAAAATCCCTGCTTTTTTTTAAAAAAAACTCCAAACAGATGGCAAACGCAACACCCCCAAACCTCAAACCTACAACACCCCCCCCCCTTAATCCCTCCAGATCCCAGAAAGTTGCAAACCGTAATGGCACCTTGACCGTTTCTTGCTTGGGCTTCTCCGCTTCGGCTGGCGGGACCGGTTTGGGATTGGGAGCAGATCCTGGAAAGTTTTTGGCATTTTTCTCCTGGGCGTTGACTTTGATTAGACGGTTGATGTAGCCCCCACAACTGGAGTTGCCTTTGGGGGGGCCCCAGCTGGGGTCTTCCGGAAGGGCCCCATCCACCCGCGAATTCTTGCGCATTTTCCCTGCAGCGGCTTGCAAAAGGCCCTGGAGATTGTCCCGGGATAAACGGCTACCGGTGCCATCTTTGCCCGGTGCCAGCGGAGTTTTGGTGCCGCCCAGCTCGGTGGCCGAGTTCTTCCGGTTCTTCCCGGGCAGAGATGCCAGGCCGGCCTCGGGCGATCCTAAACTTTTTCGGGAGACGCTGCCCGGCTTGTTCAGATGATGTCCGGCGCTGGGTTTGGGGCGCTCCGAGACGGTTTTGAGGTTGCCCGGGAATTCTTTGAACCACTTGGCTGCCATGGTGCCCAAGCGAAGTTCCAGAAGGTCTGAAGTCCAGCAGGAAGACCCCCCCAAAACTGTGCAAGCTTTTGAGGGGTGCCTGTGGAAGGGGGTCCCCAGCAGGCTACCCTCCAGCACCCCAGCTGGGAAGCTGCACCCCGGTTGCACAGCGAGAAGGTGAAGATGCGCAAGGCATGCCCTGGAATCAAGACCCCAAGGAGACAGCTCCCTCCCTCAATAATGGGGTCTTTCCGCCCCCCCAGGACGGCCTGCCACAGATGGACTACCCAAGGCAGCGACGAGCCCCCCCCAATGGTATCAGGCACCTCTTTTCCAGAGCTTCATTTCCCTACTCCGAGGTGTACCCCAAATTTCAGCATTATCTCCCCCTCCCCGGGAGAGCAAATAGAAAATAATTTGCTGGATTTTCCAGGAGTTTTGGGCAACTGGAAGCTGCAATAGGAAAAAAAAAAACAGTAACCAGCAAAAAATGGGGGCGCAGTTTATCATTTAAAAATAGGGGGAACTGAAAAAAGAGAGAGATCTCAGGGTGCAGAGCAGGGGGCTAGCTATAAATCGCACCCCGTTTTTCCAAGCCAGTTTTGCTGGGTGAGTCCCTGATTTGGATGCGGGGGGGCTTTTTCCCCCCCTGGTGGAAAGGGCAAAAAGAGGGGGGGCGATCAGGCCATCCCTCCCACACCTCGGGGGCTCCCCAAAGCAGAGCAGACGGGAGGAGCCCTCTAAATTCGGGGGTGCCTCTCCCAGACGCCCCCCCGCCCACCCAGCCTCTTCCCCCAGCCCAGGGATGGGAGAAGACCCCCCCCCTCCAGTTGCAATTTACTTGCCCTCCCCCACACGCGCAATCCGGTGCAAGAGTTGGCTTGGCTTCGCGCAGCTTTGCGAGCGTTTCTCTGTCTCGCCCGGGGAGGGAGGGAGGGAGGGAGGGAGGGGGCAGCATCCCCCCGCCCAGATCCGGAGGGGGCGGCTTGGATGGGGCGGGGGCGCGCAGGGGCTGCAATGGACCAAAGCAGCTGAAACGGAATAGAAAACTTTCCAAACGAATAAAAAAACTTCAGCTAAATTATTTTGATTTTTTTTCTCCTCCACGGATGAAATTAGATCTAAATATTTCAATGGTATCTGATCCCCCCCCCTTTTTAAATAAATGCAACCTTTATCTAGAATGGGGAGGGGGGGTCAGTAGAGGTTATATGGCAAAAAGAGGGGGGCAGGAGGGAAATTCAAAAGGACTAGGAAGGGGGGGGTCCTGGAAAAAAAACCCCCTCCATTTAGGGGGACGCTAAAAATGAGTCAGTGGGTTTTTAATTCTCTAATTTTTCAGGGATTGCATTGAAAGCGGATTTCGGCTGCAAGGCTTCTGGCGGCCGCCAGGGGGCGGCAAAGCGTGGCCTTTTCCCCCCGCAGCCCCTTGGTGGCCGAAGCCATAATAACATCTATTAAGATATATTAAATATAAAAAAAATGCAAAAAAAATGTACATATCTATAGAGGCGGGTATAATCCCCACTTTTACCTGTCTAAGGCAGAAAGGCGTGCACCCATGCGTCTAATCCGGATCCACTCCGAAGTAAAGGCTCTCCCGCCTCCCCATTAACAGCCAGAGGAAAGGCGGGGCGGGATGCGCGTCGGCGCAAAAGCCGCCCTGCGCCCGGGTCCTGGTGGGAGTTTCGCGCTTGTTTGCTCCGAATTGGCGCCTCTGTGTTCTTCCCTAGGTGAGCAATCCGGAGTGAGTCCCTTTCTCCTTTGTAGACGCTCTTTTGCAACCGCGGGGCCCTCTGCTTTTTCCAATGCCCCAAAAAGTAACTTTTTCCTCCTAAAAAACAAAACAAAACGCAAAGTAGTAATAATATTAACACTAGCAACGGCGTTTTGGGGAAAGAAAAGCAGGGATAGGGACAGTCCTCACTCAGACGTTAAAAAAATTAATCCCAATTTTGCTGCTGCAGCGTGGTTAAATTCTCTGCTGACTACACTTCCCCTAAGGCACAAGACTACAATTCCCATCCTTTTGCTAAAATTTCTTAAGAGAGAATCATGATCAATCTTAGTTGCTTCGATTTGACGTTTCTCGTTTTTATTTCCACCTGGGTGTATATTAAGTAGTATTAACTATTAAGATTTTTGACTAGATGGGGTTGGACTAGATGACCGCCAAGGTACCTTCCAACTCTGTTATTCCGTTAATAATTAAATTAATATATATATATATATATATATATATATATATATATATATATATATATATATATATATATATATATATATATGGTTAGTCCAGGTAGATATGCCGTATGCTAAATAAAGACCTAAATGTAAATATTTTGTGTTTTGTATCTTAGATTTGTATCTTAAGATTGTAGTGATTTGTATCTTTAGATTTAAAAATATTTTGTATTTACAGATATTTTTATTTTGCATTGTAGATTATTTGTATCTTAAGATTGTAGTGTTTTGTAAATATTTTAAAAATATTTTGCTTTTTTGTTTCGGGTTGTGGTCCATAAACGGAACGGCAGAGAACTCTGTGAGGTTTAATAATAACTAATATTATTTATTTATGATTAATGATAATAATTATTATAGTGGGTGGCACTGTCAATCAGAGGACGGTTTTATTCACTTCTTGAGTCCTTCCAAAGGATCTATAGGATAGGCAAATGTTTTTATTTAAGAATATTTAAGATCATTGTCGGAGGATGTGAACTGTTTTTCAAACATTATTATTAATGTTAATATTATTATTATTTTAGGGTGTCGTGCTGAATCCTGCAAAGATGTGAGTACGGAGGAAAATATTTTAGAAAATAATCCTGGCTAAGAATTCAGTTGCAAGTTAATCCATTTTGCACACTTGTGAGTTTTAATTAAAAACAAAGCCTGGCAAAAGTGACATTAAACTTAACACACTCTGTTTATTATTATTATTTTTATATCACCCCAGTTTCTGTTTTTCCCAGATTCCTGGCTTGTGAGCCACAAAGCAAGAATTGTGTTTGGAAAATTATAGTATTTTTTCTCTATTCAGGGCTGGCATTCCTCGGTTTTACGGTGGGTGGGACTAAGCAGGTCGTGGGTGGAGCCTGAAAGAAGGCGGGCCTCCCAAAGCGTGACAAAGATTAACCAGGTTTTGAGGTTGCCTTTTTCCAGTTAGCCAGGCTGAGGGCGTGCAAACGGAAAGCAAGATTGCAAAAGGTGGCCATTACTAATCCTAGATTGTTCAAACATGGTTTATAGGTCGAAACATGGCTACGAGAAACAATGTTCTCCAGGCTCTAAGAAGCTGGTTAAGGCGAATCCCTTGAAACAACCGGGTGAGTTTAGACATATCGAATGTGTGAATTAGGGATTTTTGCCTGCCGAACGATGGGCAGGGAGAAAGTGGTGTGAAAAGCGGGAGCAGGAAGAAATATGGAAGGAAGGAAGGAAGGAAGGAAGGAAGGAAGGAAGGAAGGAAGGAAGGAAGGAAGGAAGGAACGAATGGAGAGCCTTTACCATCTGTCTTTTTTTTTCATATTTTACGGGACTGGATCCTAACCCAAATTTGCTTTTTCAGGGCATTTCAAAAACAGGGAAGTTTTTGTTGGAAATCTGCCCCTGGATATCAGAGAGGTGGGTGTACAACATTGCTTTATTTTACACACAGACACCAAACACACACACACATACACACACACTAGATGCAACACGTACATGGCATACAGTTAGTCCTAGACCACAACAGAGATCAGAATCTTTGTTGCTAAGCCTGGGAGACTTGCCTGCGATTGCTTTTGAAAGTAAATGATTCATGATTAAATGATAGTAATTCAATCATTTAAATGTATGAATTAAGTCTTTATACAAAATACTTTCACGTCACAATGACTGGGGGGGGGCAAAGTCTTTATAGTTTTTAGTTAATTTAATCCCCACCCAGAGTCCCTCTTTGAGAGAGACGTGGGATTGTTTAGGAACCCGAAATATAAACATAAATAAATAAAAATGTCACCGCGTTAGCAAAGATTCGCAGCAGCCAAGGGTTAAAATTGTTGCAGCCCATTGAAAATGGATCGCCCTGGGATAATAATTATCTTTTGCTGTCTCAAAAATATCTTCCTTTAAAAAAATAAAACAAAAAACCAGGTGGGCTTAAAAACTTTTCAGCCTGATAATTCCGATAAAGGAATCTTTCATTTTAATTTTTTTCCCTCCAGCATGAGCAAAGACCTAACTCCAAAGGGCTGGGCCTCCCTCCCTCCCTCCCTCCCTCCCTCCCTCCCTCCCTCCCTCCCTCCCCCTTCCTTCCTTCCTTCCTTCCTTCCTTCCTTCCTTCCTTCCTTCCTTCCCTCCTTCCTTCCTTCCTTCCTTTCTTCCTTCCTCCTTTGTAAAAGGTTTTTAATCTATGGTTTTTTTTCTTTATTTCTTCATTTGATTTCTTGGATTAGGAAGAGATTGCCTTCTTATTCAAGGATTTTGGGATCAGGTCTTTGAAGAAACACTATAGTTCTTTTAAAAGGTATGCCGGTGGTTCTCCTTTTTTAAAAAATAAGAATAAAAAGAATCTCAAATTTGAATTACATCCAACAATCTCCGTCACTAAGCGAGACGGTTGTTAAGGGGCTTGGGCCTGATTTGACAATCATTCAAAGGTACAATAAGGGACGTAGGATCCGTCCTCGCACTTACGACCGTCCCCACGATCACGGGATCAAAATCCAGGCCCTTGGGGTGTATTTATGGGGTCACGTAATCCCCATTTGCGACCTCCCCAGCCGGCTTCCAACACTCGGGGAAGCTAGATTCGCTTAACGACTGCAGGGTTTGCTTAACAACTTAATGATTCACTTAACAACGGCAAAAAAATATTGGGCACCGCTCTTTGAACACCCCCCTTGCTTAGCAACAGAAATTCCGGCCCTGATTGTGGTCATAAACTCGAGGACTACCTGTCTTTGTTTATCTTCCTTCCCTACCTTGTCACAACAGCCCTGCGAGGTAGGCCAGAGCCAAAGAACGAGTTGCTGGTCCAAGGAAACGTAGCCTGGGCTTCTCTCCCTGATGTCCTTTGCTGGCTCTAGAGGACCTGGGGCCGATGGACACTGGGGATGATGGGTATTGTCTGGGGTCTCTGGTCTTTGCTTGCACAAGCACGAAGCTGAAGACCCCAGCCTGAAGATGACGAGTGAATGTAATATTTTCATTTAATTTATATTTATTTATAGTTTTGCTTTCCTGGAGCTGATGTCCCCGGAAGCTGCAAATTTAGCAGTCCAGCTTTTGAACGGACATCACGTGAAAGGGAAGCCGATGTCCGTTGCGTTTGTGGAAAACAAGAAAAGTTACGAGGTTCCGAAAAACAGCCCTCAGATGCCGGTAAACCTGGATTCATGGTCTAGTACCCATATCACGGGTTAGCCAGCATGCTTACGTGGGAAGTGTTATAAGCCCAGATCTGTCCCTTTGCAATTCTTGCCTCAGTTCCTTGCTTGTAGCTCTGTTGGAGCCAATGCTAATTCAGCTTGTTCCAGTTCTTGCACCGAGTGATGTTTGTTTAGTCATAGTTTGCTGAACCAGCCATAATTGAAGGGATTGGCCCGGCCCGCTACGTTAAACATTAATTCTGTTTAAGCTTCCAGTGCTTAAACAGCATTGTCGTTCTGGATTTAATCCCTTGCCAATGTCATTTTCTGATTTTTCAGGATTTGGAAGTCATCCCCTCTGTAGAATGTGGATTTGCCAACGGTACGAGATGGCGACCTTGTTCTATTGTTATTTTTTTTATTTTGATCCCATTGAAGGCAGCCTCGCACCCATTTTTTAATTTGTTTTTCTTTGAATGGTGTTTCGAGAAAATCAGGCTCAGGGGCAGGAGTTTGATTCTCTTGATTGCGATTTACCTGGATGTTTAGCCTTGCTGGCATCAAGGCTCAAATGTGCTGCTTCTTTTCTTCTTCTTCTTCTTCTTCTTCCCCACTTCCCCAAAGGTGCCACCCAGATCTCCCTTCCCAATCCAAGGGTCTGCTATGCTGTCCCCATGGAAATGAGGTACGTACAAATGTGGAGAGGAGAAAATATGATTTTTTTCCCGCTCGGATGTTACTCGGGGCTCCTTCAAAAGCTTCTATGTGATCCCAAGTCATGGCTAGATGACCTCAAGGGGTGCCATCCTTTTTTTTTTCCTTTTAGAAGTTCGTTCCTCTTCCACGTGTTGAACGACTGCTTTGGAGACGCCACGTGGCTCTCTTCCGTGGCCGGCGTGGCAGGAGAGGTGGGGCTTTTGGTGATGGACACATTTCCGCTGATGCCGTACTTCTGGGCCATCATCCTAAACAAGGTTTGTGCGAGCAGGATCGGGCCATTCGAGGCGACTCGCGAGTTCCCAGGCTGTTGAAAGAAGGTGGATTCCCCTCTGTAGATTGTGACAGTGGCACCGTTTCTAAGCCTCATGAGGGCTAGAAACTTGATTAGTGCCGCTGGGGCGAAGAATTACCATTTTTAAGCCTCGTGAAAGCTAGAAACATGATGAGTTCCTCTGGGGAGCAGTTTGCCGATTGAGGGAGGCTGAAATCTTTTGTTTTGGGGCCTTTTGACCGTGCAGGAACGTTACGAATCCATGCAGAAGCTCTTCACGGCCTTGGCTGTAGCCGAATCTCGCTTGCCTTTCCTGGCCAAAGAGGAGGTGCGGCGGGGGACCCGATGCCTGGCCGAGTGTGACATCGGAGTGGAGGGCAGCGCCTGGAACAGGTGAGGGCCCCCCTGCTCTGTTGGGGGGTCAGCTGGAGGGAGGCAGGGAGAGAAGGAAAAGGAAAAAAAGGGAGGGGAAAGAAAGAAAAAGAAAGAAAGAAACTAACTATCTGGCTCTTTCTTCCCCCCTGCCAGGTGCTGGGTGCTGGATACCCTGGGCGACCTGGCGGTGGGCTTCTTTGTGGACTTTGGCCGCTGCGCCAGCCTCCCTCTGACCGCGCTAAGAAAGCTGGACGAGGAACAGTTCTGGGAAATCCACCCTTTGGCTCAGCCCTTTGTGCTGGAGGAAGGTAAGGCTGGCTGGCTGGCTGGCTGGGGGGATTCTGGGAGCTGACATCCATCCATCTTCAAACCCGCCACTGCCTGTTTTAATTTCGCTTTTTAGCAGCTTTGAGGAATGGGGCAAAAGGTTCCTTTGGGGGGAATCAATCTAAAAAGGACTTTTTTCTGGGATTTGCAGGAGTTTTTCCCCCGCAAGTGATCCGGAGGCAAATCCTGGAAGGAAAATTGAACGGGCCTTCTCAATGGGAGGTAAACAGGAGGAAAAAAATATATTTATTTTTGTTTTCACTCAGAGATGAAAGGTAAAGTCTGATTTTGATCACCCAAGAAGTCATTTCTGGATTAAACGAAATAGACGCGCCCTTAAATAACAGTTGCTTCATTGTGTGGCCTGAATCAAGCCAACTCCGACTTGCTACAGCCCCGTAAACCAAGATTGGAAATTTTCAGTTTTCAGATTACAAATCCTGGCTTGTTTTAAAGGAGAAAAACCAGAATGGCATTTGGAAAAAAAAAAAAACCACATTTCTGGTCACAGCCAGCATCAAAGAAACCAAGTTTGATCTCAGATAAGCTTCCTGCTAGAATCCTGGTTTGTTGATCCCATCGGTGGTTTATTCAGAGTTCTGGTGGGTCCAAAAGTCCAAAATCAAAACCAGGACAATTTCACAAGCAGCCCTTTTGGGGTTTAGCTGAATCCTCAAAGAGTTTTGCAGATTTTTGTAGCAATTCAGAAGTACAAAAACCATTGTTTCTTGGGCTTGCAAACACAACAATTTGCCGATTGTGTTGTGTATTTGCATATAAGCCCTGTATAAAAAGTTTGGGCTGTTCTCTCAGTCAACTTGCAAACAAAACTGCAAAGCGTAAAATTGCCCTATGTAAATAATAGTTGTGCAATCAAATTAACATTTTTCCCCCAATCTTAAGGACCAGAAGCTTAAAAAAAATCTGTGTCATTGCACAAAATGCACAGCTGCACTACACAATCCTCAAGGCTGAATTTTCTTCAAGTTAAATATTATATTTATAAAATACTAGCTGGATCGGCACGATACGCAGCCAGATGCAAACCAGACGCACAGTGGTGTGATGTAACACACAATGTATAAACAATTTAACAGTTGTTGTTTTTACTTGTTTTCCAGCCACACATTTTAAAGTTTGCGGTCAAAACAGGCTAAGAAGTTGTGGATTTGGGAAGTTCTCCCCCCAGCAAATTTGAAGTACACCCAATTTTCTTCTGGGAAAAAGTTGCAGTTGGTTCTCGAAAACTCGTTTTGTTTTTAAAGACGTTAAAAAGTTGGTTGAAAGATTTGCGGACATTAGTTTATTCGCTTAGTTGAGGCCTTACAACTTTGTGCTTGAAGAGGGGAAAAAATGTTTTTTTTCTTACTGCATGTTGTGTCTGGGACAGCTAAATTTGTGTGTGAAGTGTAGGCAGAGGGAGGGGGGAAAATACATTAAATCTGTATTTTGGCTGAGCTGTTCTGTTGCAACCTTGTTCTCTTTTGAGTTTGTTATTGCAGTTAATTTATTAAAATGCTAACTGGATCCAGAAATTGGCTCGTTCCTTTTCCTTCCATTTTAAAAATATTCTTTTCGGCTAAGATGACAAGACGCGATCAGATTAAATTAAAAAGAAAAGCTGCTTTTTTTTTAAAGTTTTGTCTTTCTCCCAGGGCAAATCGGGGGGGGGGGGGTATTTTTAGGAGAGACTTGGCTCTTACTAGGAAACCGATTAACTAATCAATGCCGATTAATTTTTAATTCTGATAGAAAGGTGTGTACGGGGGAAGGGAGTCTTGGCTACTAAGATTATCATGACTCTTGTAAAAATTGCACTAGTGTGAACAGATTAGGCTACTTCAAATCTGGGAGAGGTTTGAAGTGCAAAATGCTAGAGAGGATCCGCTAAGTCTTACTTTGCTGTCTTTAGCAATGGCTAGATTTGGGGGAGATTAAGTTTCTAGTCCTCAAGAGGGCAAGATCAGCTTTTGAGGCAAGGTAAGTAGTTAAGCTAACAAGGTCATCCCCCTTCTCAAATCAAATCAAACCAATTTTAGTAAGAAGCAATAAAAGCTCTCCAGAGCCACAGCCTTTTCACACACACACATCCATTTTTTTAGTAAGCTACAGCGTCTTTCATCGTGTTTGTGTTGAGTGCCCTTTTATCTATCTATCTATCTATCTATCTATCTATCTATCTATCTATCTATCTATCTATCTATCTACCTACCTACCTACCTACCCACCTATATATATATATATATATATATATATATATATATATATATATATATATATATATACATACACATATACATATACACACATACATACATACATATATATACACATACACATATATGATGAAAGATGCTGTAGCTCACAAAATGATTAAATCTGGAAAAAAATGGATTTAATATATATATACACACACATACACGTATATACATGATGAAAGATGCTGTAGCTCACAAAACGGATTAAATCCGGGAAGAAAATGGATTTAATCTGGATAGATTCCCCCCAGATCCTTCCTGCTTGGGGTCTGCTGCAGATTAATACGGCTCTCTTTTGCCAGTATTTAATCTGCTTTTGGGGAACTCAACATATTTCTCCAATAGCCCAGGGTTGAAAAAGACCAATTCTTTGCTCGCACAAATGTGATCGCAACTGGTGTGCCGATGGCCTGCCTTAAAGTGAAACAGATCGGTGCCCGTGTCTGTTTTTGGAAAACAGGATTTTGCAGCCAGGATTTGAAGAGACCAATCTAAGCAACCCAAAATAGTTTTTGACCCAGTTTTGCTTTTCAGTTTTTCTCTCGAGAATTTGAACAAGTGTTCCTCGCTTAATGACCCACTGCTTCACAATGGTTCCAAGTTACGACACACATACCCCGCCAAAAGTTATTTACAACCCATTCTTCAAGTTATCACCGCTCTCCATGCGATCCCAACTGCATTTTTTTTACAACCAGTTGCGGCGTTGTGACCAATATTTTCGCCCCCTTTAACACCCGTTTGGGAGAACCGATCTGCTTCACAAGGGCATGGTTTACTTCAGTGACTCGCTTTATGACCCTGGTGAAAACAGTCCTAAAATAATAAAAAAAAAATCAGGCCACTGGGTCTTCCACTTTTAATGCCTGCCAAAGCTTACCCTCCAAAATCCCAGGATCATTTTTGGCCGTTAAATGAGGACCCAGAGAATGGGGAAAAAATTTTTTTTTGCCCTTAGCAAGAGTAGCAAAAGGCAGATTTGCTTCTGAAATTTGAAGCTTATAATTTTGGGCCATTTTCTCCTTTCTTTTGCCAGCTAAGAAATGGGCAGGGGGAGACCCAGTAGGAAGAAATTTAGCCCTCAGGCTGTGTGTGTGTCTGTGTGTGTGTGAGAGAGAAAGACCCCCACCGCCGTCCTCACCCCCACCCTTCACGGACAGAGGTACCGCCAGACCCCCTTGAAATTAACAAATGTAATTGTTTTTCCAAAGATACATATTTTTTTTCCCCATAGACATCCATCATACACTGTAACCAAAACGAAACGAAAAGGGGGAGAGGAAAAAAAAAAAAGGAAAAAATAAAAATAAAAAGAAATAAAAGGCTAGGAGGGCTGGGGAAAGGGAAAGAAGAAGAAGAGGGGAGCTGTGTACGTGAAAAAAAAACAATAAGAAAATAAATTAAATCCAGCGTGGAAGGAAGAGGCAATTTTTTTTTGTTTTTTCGTTTAAAGAACCGCAGCAGCAGCAGCAGCAGAGAAGCCGGAAGAGGGGAAAAAAAAAAATTCAGGAGTTTGCGTGTGGGTGAGTGTGGGGTGTTGTTTTTTCTTTCTTTCGTTCTTCCTTCCTTCTTTTTTTCCTTCCCCCCATTTAATAAGAGTGAGGGGGAGAGAATCAATCGCCTGCCAGCGAGGGTCCAAGCGAGGCCTGGGCTGCTCACCGCAAATGTTTATAAGGAGCCCAAGCCGAGAGGCCGTGGCAGATGCTCTTTCAAAGAGTTGGCGAAGGAGTCCAGGGAGAGAAAAACTGTCCTCAGAGGCAGTCCGAGCACAGTGTCCAGCGAGGGGTGGGGGGGTCCGGGGTGGGGGGGTCCTGCTCCGTCGGCGCCGCGGCTAGCCGTCTTCCTTGGGGGGCGTGTACCAGCCTGGGAGGAAGGGAGGCAAACAAAACAGGTGTCAGGACGTCAATGGAGGGGTCTGGAGGCAGGCGGTCCCGGAGATACGACGGTCGGGGTTAGGGTCACAAAACGAGGCCTTACCGTTCTTCTCGTGGATCTGGACTAGGGATTTGTAGGACTGCTGAGCTCTCGTCAAGCTGTACTGATTCTGGGGGAAAAGGGGGGAAAAAAAAGAGGCTTGAGAAGATCCTGGCCCAAAACAATCTGATGGGAATAGAAGGAAAGGAGGGCGTTGGGAAATGAGATGGCTAGTCGCAGGGATAGGCAACGTGGTCCACCTCGCAGGGTTGTCGTGGGGAGGAGGAGGAGGGGTTGGAAAGGTTGGTTCGACAGCTTGAGTTCTTTGTAATAAAAAATAATAAGGTCGAGGCCAACTTTTGTCCTTTGGAAAGCAAAGAGCATGAAACTGCTACAGGCCAGGATGGGTCCAGGTTTAATCCCGATACTCTCAAAACAAGCCAAGAGATCCAAGATGGTGGCTTTAGGGGAAGGAAGGAAGGAAGGAAGGAAGGAAGGAAGGAAGGAAGGAAGGGAGGGAGGGAGGGAGGGAGAGGAGGGAGGGAGGGAAAGCCCCCCCCCGCCATCGCTCACTTTGTTTGCCCCAAACTGGACTCTGGCTTTGCCCTTCACTAGGGTGGCGCTGATCTGCATGATGACCGACTCCACCGAGTAAGCGCTGCTCCAGCCCTGCCGAGTAAACAGACAAGGAGTCATTCGGAGGGGAAGTGGGATCCCCCCCCCGATCTCTCTGGGACCCCAAGCCCCCCCGGCTGCCCCCCTTCCCTGCTCACCTGCTTGGTCAAAAGCTCCATGCAGATGGCTCCTCCCCCCAAGACGTACCTGACGGGAGAGTGGAAAGAGACAAATCAAGGCCCCCAGCCAGCTTTCCTGTCTAAGGCGGGACTACAACTCCCAATCTCCTAGTGACCGGCCCAAAGTCACCCAGTTGGCTTTCCTAAGGCGGGACTAGAACTCACAACCAACTGGTGATTGGCTCAAAGTCACTCAGCTGGCTTTCGTGCCCAAGGTGGAACTACAACTCCCCATCTCCTGGTGACCGGCCCAAAGTCACCCGGTTGGCTTTCCTGGCTAAGGCGGAGCTAGAACGCCCCATCTCCCAGTGTGTAGACCAAAGCAGCCTACAGCAACCTCCGCCGACCGACGGGAGATACTCACCCTCCCGAGAGCACGGGTGACACCACTCTTACGAAGGGGGGGTCGAAGGGGAAGTTATCCTGAAGGGAGAAAGGCAGAGGGGGGGGGGAACTGAGCAAGCCTGTTCTGTTGGCCCCCCCAGCCCCCCACCCTCCCTGGGGCCGGCCAGCCGGACCTTAAAGGTGAAGTTGAGCAGAATGAAATCGGCCCCTTCCTTCTCTTTCAGGATCTGCAGGTCGCTATGCAGGGCGCTGTCCTCATCCACCCTGCAGGGAAAAAAGAGAGACGGAACCTCATGTTCAGCTGGTCGAAGCCCATTTCAGTTGCTGAGCGAGGCCTTTGTTGAGTTTTGCCCCGTTTTATGACCATTCTGGTCGTTCAAATGCACCGGCTTCCCCACTGACGGAGAGCTCGCAAAACGGGGATCACTCGAACCCGGGACTCTGCGACCGTCAGCCGCTAAGCGTGGGAATTTTGATCACGTGACCCCCTGGGGGTGGGGTGAACGCTGCGACGGTCTTGAGTGTGAAAAACGGTCCCTAAGTCACTTCCCCCCCCCGTGCTTCATTTTCACGGTTTCATTTTCAGGGTTTTATCGCTCGGGAAAGCCGTCCAGAGTCGCTTCCGTGGGGTGATTTGGGGAGGGGGAGAAGGATGGGGGGGCATTATAAATTGAACGAATAAATTGAATGAATAAAGTTAGCGAAAGGGCGACTCACTTCAGCAGTTTCACGTTCCAGTCGTAGAGGCTGTCGTTCATGAGTTCCACTGCATAGTTTCCTGGGGAGGGGGCAGAGAAGGGGGGGAGCTTAGAGGCAGGCGGGACAGGGCCCTGTGGAGCCCCCTCCCACAAAAAATTCAAAGCAAGGGGTCCCCCATCCCCTCCTCCACCCCCCCGATACTCACCACCTTTGAAACTTGCTGATCGGTATATATCCCTGAGTTCCTTCATTAGCCGGTCGGTGGCCTGCACGGACCCAGACACCGCTCCCTGGGGGGGGGGAGGAGGAAAGAGAGGAAAAAAAGCGGGGGGGGGGGACATTTCATCACCCCAATGGGATTAATTTGGGGAGGGGGGCTCCTAGAGGTCATTTAGTGGGGCAGTTCAAGGAAGGAGTGGGGAGGGAGACTTGTGGACCGCGAGGCGAACCACAGGAAATTGTGACCGTCACAGTGGGCGAGTCATCCCAAATCATGGGATTTGAAGTCCCAGGTGTTATGGGGGGGGGTGGTCAGGACCTCCCCCAAGACTCCCTCCCCCAGCCCCCCCAAGGTCCCCCACACTGCCCTCCCCCCCTGGCGACACGTACATTTAAGTAATCTTGCCTCTGATTCTTTTTGATTTTCTCAAGAATAGCCAAGTTCTCCTTGCCGATCCCATCATCCTCCGCTTTCTTCCCTTCCACCGGCTCTTCCTCCTTCATTTCATAATGGTCCAGCTCTTCCGTGTCCTGGGGGGGGGGGAGGACAAGAGGGTCCGAGGTTGGAATTTAGCCCCTCCAATAGGCAGACTGGCTCAAAGGTGGCAGAGCCCAAGACGATCCGATATGTAAAGAAATATAGGCAGGCAGGCAGACAGGTTAACAAAGAGTGATGGAGAAGATAGTAAGATAGATAGATGAGATAGATAATAGGTAGGTAGAAATAGATATATAGATAGAATGATATAGATATATGATAGAGATCAATAGATAATTAGGAATGATAGAGAACATAGAGGTAGAAATAGACAGACAGAATGATATAGATAATTAGGAAAGAATGATAGAGAAGATAGGAAGATAAAATAGATAGCGATGATAGATAGTAGATGGAGAGAGAGATGATATATGATAGATAACCTTTATTATCCCTTTTTTTCTGTGAACACTCTGGCCCACATTAAAAAATGAAATTCTGAGGCCTGCTCTCGAAAGAGAATATATAACCCTAACCACACATATATACATATGCTACGCTGTACATACATGCACACACACACATACTTGTATATATGTATACACAAGATGGGCAGCTAATAAACTCAACAAATAAATAAATATAAATTTGAATCGTGTGTGTGTGTAAACCAGAGTGGGTACCTCGGGCATCTCCTCGTCTTCCTCTTCCGAGGATACGTCTTCCTGCGTGTTCTGCGAGCAAACGGAAAACAAGATGGGATCGGCTGGTCCCAAGCGAGGGATCCCCCTTCAAACAGATCTCTCCAAGTCGGTCTCCCAACCACACCCGGGGATCCCAGCTCTGCTGCCAGGATCTCCCTCCCAGTCCAAGGGCCCAAGAGAAGATCCCCAGGCAAACCACAGGCAGTCCTCGACCCACAACTCACAACTTCTGTCACTAGGCGAGACACTTGTTAAGTTTTGCCCCATTTGATGACTTTTCTTGCCACGGTTGTTAAGGGAATCACTGCAGCTGTTAAATTAGTCACCCCGTTGTTAAGTGAAGCCAGCTTCCCCCCTGGACTTTGCTGATCAAAAGGTCACCAAAGGGGATTACGTGACCCCAGGGGGACACTGTGACCGTCGTAAATATGAATCAGTGGCTGCGCGTCCGAATTTTGATCATATGACAAGGGCCTGAATTTTGATCATCCTGGGGATGCTGTGACGATCGTAAGTGTGAAAAACAGTCTCTTTTTTCAGTGATGTGGTAACTCGGAAGGGTCACTCAATGTTGTCAGTTGAGAATTACTCAGGTTATAATAATGGTCACTAAGGGAACTGTTGTAAGTTCGAGGACATCCTGTATGTTGCGGGGGCAAACTCTGAGCCTCCCCGGGGGGGGGGGTTCCAAGGCTCAGGGGACGCCTGTCCACCCCAAGGGCCCAGCGCTGGGGAGAGAAGAGGGTCTTCGGGGAGGCTCACCTGTTCAGCAGGTAAGGGCTGATCCAGCATCTCCACATCTGGATGCTGAGGAAGGTTGTAGAGTTTGCAGAGGTCGGAAATGATGCGTTTCAGGTGCTGCAGGAGCTGACGGACAGAGGGGGGAGGGATCAGGACCAGGAGGGGATCGCCCAGCCCAGCCCCCCCGCTGGACTTCCAACTGAGCCCCCTCCCCAACCGCCCCTCTGCCGCTGCCCGTTGTCTCACCAATGTGTTGCCCTTCTTTACGTCGGCGAGCCTCTCCAAGACCGCCGCCAGGTTGGGGTCCTCCGATTCCACCGACCAGATGGGGGGAACCGCCGGGTAGGCTTCCTGGGGGGAGAACAGGAGGGGGGGGTCGGTCAGGTCCCAGGCCAAGGGGGAGGGGGCGCTGGGGGAAGAGGGATTGCCTGGGGGGAGGCCCATCGGCTAGGATGGGAAGTGGGGGTGCTGGGATGGGGGTTGTAGTCCAAGAGAGGAGAGGAGGGATGTTGGGATGGGGCGTGTAGTCCAGAAGAGGAGGGCGAGGGGGCCAGGATGGGGGGTGTAGGGCAAGTGGAGGAGATACTGGGATGGGTAGTCCAAAGTGGAGAAGAAGGGGGATGCATGGGTGGGAGTTGTAATCCAAGAGAGGAAGCGTGGGAAATGTCGTCCAACAGGGGAAAGGGCACAGATGGGATGTGTAGTCCAACCAAGGAGAGGGACTGCGAGGATGGGAGACGGAATACAAGAGGAAGGGGAGGAGATGCTGGGATGGGACATGTAGTCCAAGGGACAAAGGAGGCAAGCCAGGCTGGGCGGAGCAGAGCAGACGCACCTAACCACCATCCAACCCGGCTTCCCTCCTGCTGGGCTGAATCTCAGTTCCTGGGCCGGGCTCCCTCGGCCGGGGACGATGGGACCTGGAGTGCCGGCAAGCTCCGCCCCTCCCGCTTGCTAAGCCCCGCCCAGCCGGCCCGCTTGGCGCGACGGGCCTCCTTCTCTCCCGGGGGAGGGAGGGGGGAGCCCTCACCGTGATGTTGCCATGGATACGGACCGGCCCGCCCCCGGCCGGCCCGGGCAGGAACTCGCAGCCCAGCTCGTCCGGGCAGGCGCGGGCGATGCGGAAGCGCTCGTGGCCGCGGTGGAAGATGGACTCGAGCAGCCGCAGCTCCCGCCTCAGCAGCGCGCGCCCCGGCCCCGCCGCCGCCGCCGCGCCAGGCCCCGCCCCGCCCGGCCCCGCGCGCTGCATCGTCCCATCGAGCGGCCCGCCGCCGCGCCGGGGCCCCCCGCGTCCCCCCACACCGCAAGATGGCGGCCGGGAAGGGCCCGCAGTCGGAAGTGACGCCGCACCACACGCACCGCCCAGCCCTGGCGGCGCGCGCAGCCCCGACTGAGGCAGGGAGGAAGAGGCGGAGCCCCGGCGGGGGAGATAGAAAAAGAGAAAGAGAGAGAAAGGCAGGCCGGGTAGGCCTCTAACGCGACGCCGTCGGCATAGAAACGGGCGCTTCCGGCCCCCGGGCGGAAAGGGCGGACGCCATCTTTGAACATAGAGACGCCCCTAGAGATAAGCAACATTACCGGCAAGAGCGGCCTGGCGTCCGGCAACCACGGAGAATGGCTCTCAACGAGGAAAGAAGGACGTCGCTGTTTTATAGCGGCCCCTGCTGGAGGGCGGAAGAAAAGCCTGAGAAAGCAGCAGCTGGATCTCTGTTGGCTTGATCGCTCAGTTTCCGTTGTTCCATCTTCACGCTCCTCAATCTAGAAAAATTGTGAAAATAAATAAATATTATTATTATTATTAATAATAATTCTATATTCTATATTTCATATTCTGTGTTCTATTTTATAATCTATTCTATAATTCTACAATTCTATAATAATCCTACAATTCTATTCCACCCCACTGGGCTGATAGGTGGAATAGAATCCCCAAGGAATTTGCAGCGGATATTTGACTGATTGTAGGCTGCAACCGGCAACCCCATCTTTAAAATTAAAGCATCCAAAACCGGCATCTTCACGTAAAATAACAGCATGACATCTCAATATATTTCAGCTTGGTGGTGCGCTGCCCAGTGTCACTTGTTGCGCGACTGAAATTCGGACGCTCAGCAACTGATTCAGACTTACGACGGTGGCAGAGTCCTGGGGTCATGCAATCCCCTTTTGCAAGCAGCAAAGTCATGTCTCACTTAGCCAAAAAAATTATGGGCCCGATTTGTGGTTGCAAGTCAAGAGAGGCTGGCTCAGAGTCATCCCTCCCCCCCCCCCGGTGTCGAACAGACTCTGGGTCTCCCCAACCCAAATCTGGTGTGCTACGAAACCACACCAGATTGCAAAGGAGTCAGCAGCCTGCCATCTCCCATCTCCCGTTCTGCAAAGGGCTTCTCTCACCCTGTGTGAGAAATTGCCCAGCTGAGTCAAGAAACCACGAATACATCAGATCCATCGTCCACACCCCCTCCAAGTCCTCTCTTTGCATCAAAAAGGAGAAAATTTCAACCTCTGGGATTGCAGAGATCCGCTCGACCCGATGCGTTGCAACAGCTATTGGTGACAACTTTTTTTGGGGGGGGGGCTAACGCTTCAGGGCTCTCCCCCAACATCTCCAGGCACCTTGTTAAAAAACCTCCAAAGCAGCCAGCCCTTTGGGGTTTTTGAATTTGTAAGCTTTACTCTTAAACGCTCTTAGCAACTGTCTTGGGAAATGCCCTTTCGGAGCCAGCTTTTCAGATTCAAGTCTGTCAAAGAAGAAAAAGTGCTAAAAGCCTATAAAATCTCAACTGGATGAGCATGGCCTACTTTTCTGGCAGCCAGAAGAGCTGGTGATGCTCCTGGGCCTAAGGTCGTGAAGGTGCGAAGGGCCTCATTTCCTGCCTATATTAATATTTATGGTTATTTTTCCCCGGCTCATATAGGCATCTAGATAGTCCCTGATTTAGGGCTACAGTCGAGCCCAAACTTTATGTTGCTAAGTGTGTTTTGCCCCATTTTACGACTTTTCTTGCCACAGTGGTTAAGGAAATGTGTTAAATTGTAAAGTGAATCGGGCATCCCCATTGATTTTAGAATAGAATAGAGCTGGAAGGGACCTTGGAGGTCTGCTAGTCCAGCCCCCTGCTCAAGCAGGAGAACCTTTCCTTGTTAGAAGGTTGCAAAAGGGGATCACGTGGCCCTGGGGATGCCACCACCGTCATAAATATGAGACCGTTGCCAAAGATGTGAATTTGGATCACGTGACCCTGGGGATGCTGCAATGGTCATTGGTGTGAAAAACTGTCATAAGTCACTTTTGTGGGGGGTGCTGTTGTAATTTCTAACAGCCACTAAATGAACTGTGAAGTCAAGGGATTCCTGTAGTTCTCTGATTGCAATTCGGTGTTTAATTGATTTTAACCACCGTTCATCCTCCAGCATCACTTATTCAAGGTGGCTTGAATAAACAGATAAACAAACCAACAAAAAAAATCCCTCCGAGGCTTAAACCCCAAGGCTAATTCTACCACATCTGCTTTAAGAAAAAGAAAGAACCATCTCTTTTATCAACTTCCCCTCGTTCGAGCCATTTTAAGGAAGTCCCGTTTAGTCCGCAAACAGCCATTCCTTCCCAGCATCTTTGTCTCTTGATTTGGAGGCCAAAAACACTTTTAAGGCAAACAGGATTTTCTGTGGCGGGGGGGGGGCAATCCCTGATGCATTCCCCCCCCCCGTGGCAGGAGAGGACCGCCAGCTCTTGGGAGGACCCAGGCCAGCAGAAGGAACCACCCCTCCCCTTCCAGCGCCAAGGGGATGGCATCTTCCTTGCTGCGTCAAACAGAGGTGGTGATGCCAAGTCTTTGGAGAGGCTGCTAATGTAGAGAGCCAGAAGCCCAGGCAGGTCCAGGGAACAGCAGCTCGGCCTCCCTTTTTTCTGCGCATTGGGGTGGAGGAGGAGGAGGACGAAGAAGAAGAGGTGGAGGAGGAAGAGGAGGGTCTTTCATCCTGCCCACCGCTGCACGGCACAGCTTCCTGAGACGCTTCAGCACCACAGAGAGCGCAGTGGAAACGCGCTTGGATTTCAGCACCGCGGACAGCGGCGCGGTGGGAAGAGCCCATTTTTTTTTTGAAAAGGCTGGGGAGGGGGAGGCAGACTGGAAGGACGACGCCCCCACCCACCTTGGAGACCCCCTATTTCCCTGCCCTCAACCCACCCTCTTCTCACTGGAGCCTAAGCTGCTGAAGACCCCCCAGGGGGTGAAAGGGGAAGACTGGGGGAGGGAAGGGATGCTCCTTCCGGAAAGAACAAGATGAAGCCATCCTCCATGGCTCTCCTCGCCGGCCTCTGCCTCCTGGGGATCCTGAGAAGTAAGTGTGTGGTTTTCGGTACCCCTTCCGTTCACGTTAATCCAGGCCTTTGTTCAAAATGGGAGGAGGGCCTTCTCGTTTTCCCCTGCCCAGAGGGAGCAGGAAAGGGTAGCATATTCCAATGGGAAGAGAACGGCTATTGTTAGTGGGCTCTGAAACCCCTCAGTGACTCTATTAACTTACGGTGGACTCTAGGACTCTAGCAGCTAGGCCCTCTTTCCCCTTCTCCCAGGGGTTCGAGATGGGAAGGCCATATCCTAAAAAAATAAGAATAGAATAGAATAGAATAGAATAGAATAGAATAGAATAGAATAGAATAGAATAGAATAGAATAGAATAATAACAGAATAATAGGATAGACTAGACTAGAATAAACTAGAATAGAATAGAATAGGATAGAATAGAATAGAATAACAGAATAGAATAATGAAAGAATAGAATAGAATAGAATAATAGAATAGAATAGAATAATAACAGAATAGAATAAGGATAGGATAGGATAGGATAGGATAGAATAACAGAATAGAATAGAATAATGAAAGAATAGAATAGAAGAATAGAATAGAATAGAATAATAACAGAATAGAATAAGGATAGGATAGGATAGAATAGGATAGAATAGAATAACAGAATAGAATAATGAAAGAATAGAATAGAATAGAATAATAGAATAGAATAGAATAATAACAGAATAGAATAAGGATAGGATAGGATAGGATAGAATAGAATAATAACAGAATAGAATAAGGATAGAATAAGGATAGGATAGAATAAGAATAGAATAGAATAAGGCAACCATCCTTAATTTGGGGGGGCAAAGCCAAGGAATTCATGATTCGAGAAAAAGAGAACTGCATCACCTCAACCGGTTTGAACAGAATTTTTTTTTATATTTTATAGCATTGTAGAAAATCATTAACAATTGGATGGAACCTTAAAGGACCCTGGAGGTCTTCTAGTCCAGCCCCAAAGGAAAATGGCTGTCTAACCTTTGCTCAAAACGCACAGTCCCAGGAACCACTTTGTGGTTCAGCTGCTTTCCAGCTCTCCCAGTAACAAAATATCCTATTAACAGTTTGCTTTCAAGTTGGTCTCTGCTCCACTCCCTTCTTTCAGCTAAACGGGCCCGGTTTTCAGACACTTCCTCCTGGGGTGAAGCCCCCAAGCCCCTCACTCTCTTCCTGTCATCCTTCTCATCCCTCTTCCTCCGTTTCCTCCTTTCAAACTGGATCAGAGAGACTCAGGTTTGGTTCCAGTGGCTTTCAGACGAGCTGAAATCCACCCCAGGGCTTTTGATTCCAGCGTTTTTAGCTTTCCTGCCTTGGAAGGATCAAAAACCCCATTGCTGACTTTGTGGCGATTGCGCAGGCGAATTTCTTTAGGCAAAGAGGCTCCTTTCTTGGGGGCTGTAAAAAAAAAGGGGGGTTGGGGATCCTGGCCCAAGAGGTGGATTCCTCAGTATCTTTTCCTGAAATTCGAATGACGCTACCTCTTTTGGCAAGCACAACAGAGAACGACAGGGAGATTACTCACAACGGCCACTGGGGAATTCCAAAGAGAGGAGAATCGGATTGCCGGAGAATATAAACGAACTGTTCCCTGGTTCCCCAAAGTATTTCAGGAAGCTATTTTGAGAAGGGAATTTTGGCTCTGGCCTGATTCTGCCAGACTCTTCTTCACTAACAAGGTCAACGAAGCCTCCAGCCTCGGAGGCAGTCTACCTTCCACCGTTACTCCCAACAGTGAGACGGGTGGCGCAGGCAGCCCGTTTAAGTGCCAGAGGGCTGTGCCAACCCCATTTAGAGCTGGTTAGTAATGGGTCCAGAGAAGGAATAGGAAGCCAGAGAGAGAGAGAGAGAGAGAGAGAGAGAGAGAGAGAGAGAGAGAGGAGGAGAGAACGAGAAATGAGGAGAGAGAGGGAGAGAGGGAGAGGTAGAAAGTGAAAGAGGGGGGAGAGAAAGAGGGAGAAAGACAGAGGGAGAAAGAGAGAGAGAGAAAGAGAAAGAGAGAAAGAAAAAGAAAGGAGAGGAAGAGGAGAGAGAGAGAGAGAGAGAGAGAGAGAGAGAGAGAGATTGATTTCGTATGAAGAGCCGAGTTCTAATCCTGCCCGCATGCTCCAGTTTGGGAGATCTGAATTCGGGGTCCGCAAGAAGAAGGCAGCTTTTACTGGCTTCTAACAGACCCGCGCTTGGTTTGCAGGGGGTCTTGGGACCGACACGGAGGAACGGCTGGTGGAGCATCTCCTAGACCCGTCCCGGTACAACAAACTCATCCGCCCAGCCACCAATGGCTCCGAATTGGTCACGGTGCAGCTAATGGTCTCTCTGGCCCAGCTGATCAGCGTGGTTTGTATCTGTTTTGTTTTCTTTTAATCTTTTTCATAAAGATCTTTAATAAAGATCTTTAATCTTTTTAATAAAGAGCAGTTCTTCCTTCTCATATTTCCACACAACGACAACCCTGGGAGGTGGGTTGGGCTGAAGGAGAAGGAATGGCCCAAAGTCACCCAGGCAGCTTCCATGCCTAAGACGGGACTAGAATTATAACCGCAATTCTCCCCATCAGAGGCTGTTTGAATTAGGGTTCTCAGAAACCTACTAGACTTGGGGGGGGGAACCTGATAATGGGGTTTGTCTACTGTCTGGACCATGTCTGTTCACCCACTCTCTTTTTTGGGGGGGGGGGTATTTCCTATCCTCTCTCCCATTTCTATTTGTAGCACGAACGAGAGCAAATCATGACTACGAATGTATGGTTAACGCAGGTAAGACTCGTCCCTCCTTTTCCAGGCTCACGGAGATACACGTACCTCTAAGGCAGGGGTCTTCCAACTTGGCCCTTTGATGACGTGTGGACTTCAACTCCCAGAATTCCTCAGCCAGCCTGGCTGAGGAATTCTGGGAGTTGAAGTCCACACGTCATCAAAGGGCCAAGTTGGAAGAGCCCCGTTCTTCTAAGGGTTGGGTAAATCAGTTGCACAGAATGATCGATGCGTAAGGACCAGAGGGGTATGAAGGGGGAGGGGACACCTGGAGGCCATCTAGACCAACCCCTCAATGAACGGCAGGATCTGCGAGGCAGAATTCTAAGCAAGGTCTTCTCCACTGGAGTCTTGTTCTCCAGGAGAGAAGAGCCCGGACCTCTCCCGAGGACATCTCTCCCATCGTGGGACCGCTGTTGTTCTCCAGAAGGTCTTCTACACATTCCAACTTGCCCAAGCCAACGTTGAGGAAGGGAGCCCAAAGCCAAGAACGGGAGATGGGACTTGGTAGGTGGGATCCCTCGCAAACTTGAGCGATGGCCTCCAGAGGATGGCTGTGTGGTCTCTACCCCTCCAGGAATGGGAAGACTATCGCCTGACGTGGGACCCGGAAGACTTCGACGACATGAAGAAGGTCCGGCTGCCTTCCAAACACATCTGGCTGCCAGATGTGGTGCTTTACAACAAGTAAGTCGCCAGGAGGGGGTGACTCCTAAGCCAGGAGAGGCTAGAAACTCAGATGAGCCATGGTGGCGCAGTGCAATATTGCAGGCTACTTCTGCTGACTGCCAGCTGCCTGCAGTTGGGCGGTTCGATCCTGACCAGCTCAAGGTTGACTCAGCCGTCTGACCTTCCAAGGTCGGTAAAATGAGGACCCCAGATTGTTGGGGGTCAATACGCTGACTCTATAAACCGCTTAGAGAGGGGCTATAAAGCACCATGAAGCGGTATATAAGTCTAAGTCAGGGATCTTCAAAGTTGGCCCTTTGATGTGGACTCTCAGAATTCCTCAGCCAGCGTGCCTCATGCTGGCTGAGGAATTCTGGGAGTTGAAGTCCACAGGTCATCAAAGGGCCAACTTTGAAGACCCCTGCTCTAAGTGCTGTTCCGGTTGCTACTCGACTTCTGCTCTTCCCCCGTCTCCAGCGCGGATGGCATGTACGAGGTGTCCTTCTACTCCAACGCTGTGGTCTCCTACGACGGAAGCATCTTCTGGCTCCCTCCGGCCATCTACAAGAGTGCCTGCAAGATCGAAGTCAAACACTTCCCCTTCGACCAGCAAAACTGCACCATGAAGTTCCGCTCCTGGACCTACGACCGGACGGAGATCGACCTGGTGCTGAAGAGCGAAGTGGCCAGCTTGGACGACTTCACCCCCAGCGGCGAGTGGGACATCATCGCTCTGCCGGGACGGCGCAACGAGAACCCCAACGATTCTACCTATGTGGACATCACCTACGACTTCATCATCCGCCGGAAGCCGCTCTTCTACACCATCAACCTGATCATCCCTTGCATCCTGATCACCTCCTTGGCCATCCTGGTCTTCTACTTGCCCTCTGACTGCGGGGAGAAGATGACGCTCTGCATCTCAGTCCTCCTGGCCCTCACCGTCTTCCTGCTCCTCATCTCCAAGATTGTGCCGCCCACCTCCTTGGATGTGCCCTTGGTCGGCAAGTATCTGATGTTCACCATGGTGCTGGTCACCTTCTCCATTGTCACCAGCGTCTGCGTCCTCAACATCCACCATCGTTCCCCCACCACACACACCATGCCTCCTTGGGTCAAGGTGGTCTTTCTGGAGAAGCTGCCCACCCTGCTCTTCCTCAAACAGCCTCGGCAGAGCTGCGCCCGCCAGCAGCTGCGGCAGAAACGGCAAAACCAGGAACGGGCGCTGGGCGGCTTCTTCCTCCAAGGAGGGACCCGCTCCTGCACCTGCTACGTCAACCCGTCCACCGTCAAGAAGTTTGCCACCGGGAGCAGCAGCAGTGGCGGACGGACCTTCACCGAAAGTTCCGAAGGGGTCAGTGGATTTCGGGAGCAGCTGGGCCAAGCGGTGCCCCAGCAAGACGCCTGCTGCTGCGGGCTGGAGGAGGCGATTGACGGGGTGCGCTTCATCGCCGACCATATGAAGAGCGAAGACAATGATCAGAGCGTGAGTCAGCCGAGGGGGTCGGTTCTAAAATGAGGACCTCTGCTCCGATGTTGTGGAGAGTCATTCTGGCTTCGTTGGAGGCCGTTCTGAGACTTCTAGAATGCCACCTTGGCTGCTTTAAGAGCGATGGACTTCAACTCCCAGAATTCCTCAGTTAGCAGGCAATTCATGCATAGAATTCTGGGAGTTCGTGTCCACATATTATAAATCGTGCTGGATGGGGAATTCTGGGAGTTGGAATTCACACATTATAAAGCTGGGAATTCTGGGAGTTCAAGTCCACCCATTTCAAAGCAAGCTGGCTGGGGAATTCTGGGAGTTGGAAGTCCATCCTTCTAAAAGGATGCTGATTGGGGAATTCTACAACTTGAAGTCCACACATTATAAAGCAAGCTGGATGGGGAATTCTGGGAGCTGAAGTCCACAGCTTTTAAAGTTGCTAAGGGTTGACAAACAGCATTCTAGAAGTTTCAAAGTCTCTACTAAGCAAGCATAACGTTATGGAGCCAGTTTGATGTAGTGTTGGCTTGGAAACCGGGCGATCGTGAGTTATAGTTCTGCTTTAGGCATGAAACCAGCTGGGTGACCTTGGGTTTCTCTTTTCTTGTCCCAGGCAGGAAACAGTGGCCAAATCTTTCCGGGAAATGTTGCCAAGAAAAATCCATTCACCATTAAATCATTTTCTTTAAAAAAAAAAAACATTCACAAAAAATAGCACCCTAAGCAGAATTTTTTGGCGTGTGGAAAGAAATTGCGATTAGTTTTAGCCTTCCTTTGGCCCAAGTAAGCCAAGATGATAACCATCGCCACCACTAGAGGGCAGTAAGAGGCAGCTTCCAAGCAGATCCACTAGAGGGCGCTAAATCTCAGTCCGTTGTCCCCTTTCTAGGTCAGCGAGGACTGGAAATACGTAGCGATGGTGATTGACCGTCTCTTCTTGTGGATCTTCATCTTTGTATGCGTCTTCGGCACCATCGGCATGTTCCTCCAGCCTCTCTTCCAGAACTATGCCACCAACTCCCTCTTGCAAATAAACCATAATTAGCCCACTTCCGATGGTGGCTAAGAGTGGTCTCCTTCTGCATCAGGAGGGAGAAAGGGACGACCGCCATGGTTCCTCCCAGGGAACACTGTCTCAAGAGGTGACCAAAGACCTTTAACCCATCCATCTCTTGGCCCTTGGTTGAAGGCTAGGGAGACAAGACAACTTGAGGAGGACCTCAACAAGTTCTGGAAGGGGTTCTTTGTTGCTTTGGAAAAGCCTGTTGACCAACGGGATGACCTGGTCAACCAGGTTAGCAGACCTCCTTGGAATGGGGTGTCCAGTCACACATCCCTGCCCTACCGGGACCAGCTTGAGTAGCAAGGAACAGCTAAGTGAGAAATTTCTCCTATTCAAGGTGGTCAAACCATATCCCTTGCTGTCCTGAGGTCCTACTCAGAGGTGGCTCTTGGGGGGATGGCTGGTTTTCCCAAACCCTTTCAGGAACAAGCTGGTCCCATCCAGGATGGAAGACCTCCATTTTGGAGCAGGAGGAGGAGATGCACCAAGGGTGGTGGAGATACCTCCTGCAGTTTCACTGCCTTTGGGCATTTTAGATTAGTCCTTCTCTCCTAAATAAACAAACCATGGCTTAGTTATGGGGTATTAGCTCCCAACTCAGGAAATATATATAGATATATATACAGATATTTATGTTTATATCCATCTTTCCTGGATGTCTCCATGAAGCTGCAGAATGGACTTTGCTGCAGCAAATTAGCTGTTACCGAACGATCTACAGGTAGTCCTCAGCTTAGCGACCACAATCGGAATCAGAATTGACGTGCAAAGCAAGGCGGTGGGTTAAGCCAGCCGCACTCGCTTTTACGACTGTTTTGCTTTCCTGGGGTTGTTAAGTAAATCAAGCAAACCCAACTTTCCTTATTGACTTTTGCTCGTCAGAAGGTCGCAAATGGGGATCACACGACCGCGTGGAATGGGCATTAAAATGCAGAGCCCGATCAGGCGATTGTGGGGCTGCTGGGACGGTCCTAAGTGTGAGGATAAATCGTAACTTTTTCCCCCAGCGGTATCGTGACTCTGAAAGGGTCGCAAAACCAATCATCGTAAGCCGAGGATCTGTATTTGATTTTTTAAAAAATTCTTCTGGCCAGGATAAACCAGCAGGTGAGATTTGCTTACCTGCCCACAGGGATGGAGGTCCAAAAGGAAGAGAAAAAAAATTGATTTAGGCCGAGATCAAAGTCCTTGACCGTCTTCCTGTCCTCTTAGCCTCTCTGACCAATGCTAGCTTTGAAACAACAATAAAATAGATCACATAGACTGGAGGTCTGCCTTTTGATGACTGCTGTTATGGGGTGGGTCTTTGGGGAGGGGGTCCTGTGGGGAAGGGAAAATGGGTGGTGCTCATCCAGGGTGCAATGAAGTCATGGGGAAAAAAAATTCCGCAAGCAATCAAGTTAATTGTGGCCCAGTGGAAAAGCGCAAAGAGTGTGATTGCCGTAAACCAGGGTTTCTCAACCCTGGGAACTTTTTAAGGTGCTTGGACTTCAACTCCCAGAATCCCCAGCCAGCATGCTTTAAGACCCATGGACTCCCAATTCCCAGAAATCCCCTACGCTTTAAGGCAGGGGGTCTTCAAACGTGGCCCTTTGACGACTTGTGGACTTCAACTCCCAGAATTCCTCAGCCAGGGACCCTGGCTGAGGAATTCTGGAAGTTGAAGTTGGAAGACCCAATGTAAGCCTCCTTGCGTTCTCCCCCCCCCCTCAAAAAAAACCCACACAGGGGAAACAGCCGCTATACAGAAAAAAAAATCTCTTTATTTCAGGCAGAATGCAATGACATCTGTCCATCAAATGAGAGGATCTGGAAGAGGAACAAAAGGAAAACTTCTCCCCCCCCCAAAAGGAGGAATAAACCATTATTAGGAGAGGAGGGTCAAATCTGAAGTAGGGGGGAATCACAAGGGAAGAGGGGGACACCACCCACGAGGGGAGAAGGAGCTGTTGGGAAAGGAAGCCTCCAGTTTGGGGGCTTTTTTTTTTATTTAGAAAAAGTGGATTTCGGCAATGCTGGCTGACTTCTAAGAGCGACAGAAGCACGAACCATGGTTAAAGGGGAAGGTTATGCAAAATCTCTAACCAGAGGCCACGTTTTCCTCTTGGTTTAAGGCAGGGGTCTCCAAACGTGGCCCTTTTTAAGACTGGTGGACTTGAAGTCCCAGAATTCCTCCATCCAGCGTGCTTTAAGTAGATACTTTAAAGTCTCCTGGCTGGGGAATTCTGGGAGTCGAAGTCCGCCCGTCTTAAAGGGACTACGCTTGGAGACCCCCGGTTTAAGTGGACAACAGTTAAATGGATCACATGGGAAGCTGCACCCACTTGGATAAATACATTTAAAAACGGACACGTAAATTAGCCGGGGACCTTTAAATTGCCCATTGTGGCTACCTGCAGGGAATTTGAGGGGGGGGGAGAATGCAATTTGGCCCCACTACAGCCCCCATTTGCAGCTGCTCACCCAAAGGAGGGGTGCTCCCGAGTGTGTGAAAACAGCCGCGCTTCGGTTTAAGACTTAGAGAAGTTAATTTCTAATTTTTGTTCAACCCTTCTGCACGAAGACACAACATCCATGGGATGGGGAAAAGGAATGATAACTAAAATTTTGTGCTGGGGGGGGGGAAGAGGCTGGGTTTTTCCTGCTGAAGAGACCACAACTCTCTGAGCCAGTATCTACACGGCAGTCTCAGGAAGATTTCAAATTCAGAGTTTTAGCCTCTCCAATCTCTGTTTTCCTGAGTTGCTTTCCTGTAAAAAATTGGGCTCAGACAGACAACGCGGAAAAGAACCAGCGAATTTGCTTGCTGGGCAAAGAAGAAATGGGATTATATAAGGCTCTCCAGGAAAGACACAACCATACAAACCACCATCTTTGTAGTTGGATACAATCCCACCGGGACAGGCACTGTCCCTTGAGCTACACGGTCGAGTCCTCCCCGGTCAAAAAGCCTTGGAGAAAAGTTGAAATGTCCCTCAAACGATTTGATTTTCAAGGTGAGGAAACTCGCACGAGGTTCTTCGGGAAACGCCCGGAGATGGAACAGAGAGAAACGAGAAATGTGTGAACGCAAAGCGTCCAGTGTGCCAACTTCACCGTTTGAAAAGAAAGGTTCCAATAATGATTTGGGAGTGTTTTATTTATTTATTTTTGGTCGCCGCCCTCCCCCCCCCAAAAAAAAGTGGGAAGGAAGGAGGGAGGGAGGGAGGGAGGGAGGGAGGGAGGGAGGAAGGAAAAGAAAGATAGGAAGGAGAACAGAAAGAGATAGGAAGAAAGGAAGGAAGGAAGGAAGGAAGGAAGGAAGGAAGGAAGGAAGGAAGGAAAAGATAGAAATAAAGAAGAAATAAAGAAAGGAAGGAAGGAAAAGACAGAAATAAAGAATAAGGAAAGGAAGGAAGGAAGGAAAAGACAGAAATAAAGAAGAAATAAAGAAAGGAAGGAAGGAAGAAAAAGACAAAATAAAGAAGAAGGAAGGAAGGAAGGAAGGAAGGAAGGAAGGAAGGAAGGAAGGAAGGAAGGAAGGAAGGAAGGAAAAGACATGGGTGGATGGATGGAAGGAAGGAAAAAAGGAAGGAAGAAGAGAAAGGGAAGGAAGGAAGAAAAGGAGGGGGAAGAGAGGAATGCTGGTGGATCTCTTGTTCCCTCAAGTCCTTTGAATCAAGTCTCGGCAAATCCTTGCTGAAAAAGGGAGGGGGGGGATTTAAAAGAGAGGAGGGGGAGGGAAAGACCCCTGGCCTTCCCAACTGAATTAAAACACCTTGTTGCTCTAAACTGGAGGGACCTCCGCTCTCCGGGAATTTGATACGCGACGTGAAAAACATCCATTTTTTTCCATTAAAAACAACCCCCATCGGGCCAGCTCCAAATCTAAAAAATAAATCCTCCCTTTTTTTTTTTCCCCTCCCCGGCTTCTGCAGAAAATAAAAAAAATTGAAAAACGAGAGAGAGAGAGAGAGAGAGAGAACAACATCAACAAAAAAAAATCACAGGATAGGAGGGGCTGCGGGTTCCGGCAGAACGAAGGTCTTCTCCTCCTGGGGTTTGCAGATCCAGCTCCCGTAGCCCATTTCTTGCAAGCCCCAAAAGAACTGCTGCTTGGCACTCTGGTAGGGGACAGCTGAGCCTTTGGCCTCTGAGTAGACGGTGAAGTTCTGGAGATCTTCCCGACCCATCTTGGCACAAAGCAGCCGGAAGAGGACAAAGAGATTCTGCTTGGAGACGCGTGACATGTCCAGCTTGGGCCTGAGGAAAGAGGAAGGATTGCTTATTACCCCCAACAATTCAGAAAGGAAATCATCACCATCATAAAAATGGAGTATCCCCTGAACACCTTTGGCATCGACAACTTCACCGTCGGTCAATTGCAAAAGGCAGCTTGACTTAAATCCTGCCGTGAGTCTTTTAACCCCATCAAACCACGACATCTGCCCCTCCCAGGTCCTTGGGAAGGACTTCGTTAAATGGATAAAAATGCCAAATCCAGTCTAAACATCTGGATAACTGTGCAAGGAAGCGTAATAATAATAATGCTGTCGGCACTGACTAAACCCCCGTCGGTCAATTGCAAAAGGCAGCTTGACTGGGAACAGCTTAAATCCTACAATTATACTTTTAATATGATTAAACATCAACATTTCCGATCCCGAATGGGTCCACGTCGGTCTTACCCGTCCACTTTGCCTTTTGTGCCGTCCAAGACCTCGACGTTGCTGCTATCTGGGAGACACCAGTTGATGCTTGATTCCTTGGTCTTCCCCGTCTGCCTCGCGGAGTCGTAGACGCTGACCCGGCCAACCTGCAGGGCCAAAGAGGAGGGGGCTGAATTTCTCTGCCGGACCCAAGCCGCGAACAGCCATCGCTCAAGCCTGCGGCGTCCCGATTACCCAAGGATATTTATCCCTCCCGTACAGAACTGCGGGATGATCCCGTTGCCTCAAATGCTTAAAAAGCCACAGAAAGGTGTCCAAAGGTGGCTTTGGTTGACCAGGTGTGTTGCTTCCCTCGAGGGCAAAAAATCAGTCTATGGGCCTTCCTCATTTAACGACGATGGGGATAAAGATGTAACTTTGCAACCTTCACACAGACTTTTTTACGGGTCTCTCTGGCCAAGGAAAGCCGAAGTAGGATCGTAAGCACAGTCACGGTTTTATTCAGGGACGGAGTCGCCCGTCCCAATTGCAGTCGCTGAATGAGGATGATCTGTATAGCTTAAGAGATCTGTGTTGTTGGGGGGGGGGTGTCCCTGGGGGGAGGGAATGGAGGAGGAGACCCATCTTGTTTCTTAAGAAAAAGGACAGATTATTAAGGTTTAAAGGGAGTTAAGGGTTAGGTATGATTTTAATTGTTGTATAAATTGTTAAATTTAGTTAGATTATGTTTAATATATGCGTTAAATTTAATTAGATTATGCTTAATATGCTTGTAATATCCTGTATTTGGCTTTGGGAAGTGGGGGGGGGGTAGGGGGGGATGGGTGGGTTATTTTGTTAATTATTAATAAAACTTTTTAAATAAAAAAAAAAGAAAAAAAAAGGACAGATTTATTTTGCTCTCTTAAGTGCTGTCATCCAGCCTGACCCTTCTCGGTTAAATGAATCAGAGAGTTCAACACAAGAAATACCTCAGGGTGATTGACCAAATACGGCGCGGGAAGTCTTGTTTCGAACGCGTTGCCGTCCCTGGACATCCGGCAGCAAATGGCGCGGGTCAAGTGACCTTGGCTGTACAAGTAGCCTGCAAGAAGCGAGAAAGGGTAAAGGTGGTTTAAGGAAAGGATTGTAAGGAGCGCCGTCTCGTTTGCCAATTTATCTCGTTTAGAAAGCTTCCCGTCGTAAAGCAACTCCAAAGGGCTTAGAAACAGGGTAACAGGGTTTAAATTTAATGAATAATAGCAAAACTTGAGCACAATGCAAAGAAAATAAGAAATAGATGAATATTGGGAGTTAAACTATATACGTTCAAGTGCTCAAGTTTTGATATTAGTCATTAAATTTATACCTTATATAAATTTATACTTTATATATTTGGACCAATCACCAGGAGACCGAGAGTTCTAGTCCTCTGCCTTAGGCATGAAAGCCGACTGGGTGACTCTGGGCCAATCGCCAGGTGACTGGGAGTTCTAGTCCTGCTTTAGACATGAAATCTAGCTGGGTGACTTTGGGCCAATCGCCAGGAGATGGCAAGTTCTAGTCCCTCTTTAAGCATGACTGGCTTGGGCTTACCGAGTGTGACTGAGCGAAGGTAGACCGGCTGTAAGAAGTGTGACAACAAGGCGCCTTGCAAGCCGAGCACGTTCCAGCGCAGGATTTTGTCGCTGCAGGACATGGTGCGCAGGCGTTCGCCGTGCTGGATGCCGTCCCAGGTTGGCACGATGTCGCTTGACTCCACCGGGATGGTGCCCTCTCCTGTGGATAAGTCCAAAGGAGTCAGGTGAAAAAGCCAGCTGGGTGACTTTGGGCCAAACACTAGGAGACAGTGAGTTCTAGTTCTGCTTTAGGAATGAAACCCAGCTGCGTGACTTTGGGCCAATCACCAGGAGACGGTGAGTTCTAGTCTCACCTTAGGCATGAAAGCCAGCTGGGTGGTGTCTCCATCACCAGGAGAACGTTGAGTTCTAGTTCTGCCTTAGGCGTGAAAACTGACTGGGTGACTTTGAGCCAATCGCTAAGAGAGCGCTGAGTTCTAGTCCCGCCTCAGGCAGGAAAGCCAGCTGGATGACTTTGGGCCAGTCCCTCCCTCAGCCCAGCCCACCTCACAGGGTTGTCGTTGCGGGGAAAAGAGGAGAATGAAGGAGTATTAGACATGCTCACTGCCTTGAGTTAAAGACGGGGTACAAATCAATAAAACAATAAATTAAAAAAAACCACCCCAATCCTCAGTTCTCTGGGTAGCTGATGCTCTTCGACCCTTTTATTTGAAGTTCCCCTCTGCGTAATTCATCCCCCATTTGCCAACGAATCAAGAGGCGGGAGACTGACGGTCGCGCCTATCGCTTTTGGAATCACAAGGACGAGAAGCTCGGCCCTTCAGCCACACACAGCGAGCCCAGGCCCAGGATTTCAAGAAAATAGAGTCTCTCTCGACGGTGAGATTCGGCAATTACCGTTTTCCACCTTGGTGCGTAGCTTCCCCTGTTTGGGGTTCTCAAAGAGGGGCTGGTGCTGGCCCTCCCCGGCTGCGTTGGCCTGCTCACTGCAGGATTTGTCGAAGAGAGCGCCATCCCCACAAGGCGCCGTGCTGGAGAACACAAACACACAAACACCAAGCAATGAGGCGGAATCCTGAACAACTGGCAGGGATTCCCCCAACAAAGGCGGCAAGGAAAGTGGTAGAAATGGGGCAAAACCCGACGCATTTTTCCAACTCTGCAACGGGAAATTTGGGGGCTCAATTTTGACCGTTACGCCGAGGACTACCTGTATTCCAGCCAGGTAAGGAACCTCCTCTACGCTCAACCTGGTGGATCCAGGTGAAGGGGGGGGGACATCACTACAACTCACCTGATGTACAGGTGAAAGCTGACGTCGTCTTTGATCTTTAATTTGCCGTCTTCCGTCGGCTGAAAGATACTCCCTTCAGGCGCCGAGGGGTCAAACTCCATCAGCTCGTTGTACAGAAACCTGAAAGGGAGGAGGAGATGAAAGACAACACTGCCAGGACTTGAATACAACTCCCGGTGCCCCCAGACGCCCTTCCCGCCAGCCTAGGGGGCTCCCAGACGTCACTGCCTGCCTCTCTTCACCTGATGAAGCCCCGTCTGGAGATGATTTCCGCGTGGCAGTCGTTCACCGTCTCCCCCTTCAAGCTCAGCTCCTCCCCTTTCACGCAGCGGTTCCCTGGGGGGGGGGGAAAGAGACCTTAGACCTTCCTTCCTTTTATCCATTTATCTATCTACCCATCTATCTATTCTTCCCTCCCTTCCTCCTACCCCTTCTCCTTCCTCCTCTCCTTCCTTTCCTTCCATCCATTTATCTACCCAGCTATCTATTCTTTCCTTCCCTCCCTTCCTGTTATACCCTTCCTTCCTTCCATTCATTTATCCATGTCTATCCCTTCTACCTTCCTTCCTTCCTTCCCTCCCTTCCCCTTCTTTCTCCTCCCTGTTCCTTCATCTATTTATCTATCTATCTACCCATCTCTATTCCTTCTTTCCTTCCTTCCTTCCTTCTCCCCTTCCCTTCTCTCTCTCTCTCTATCCGTCTGACAGATCTTATCCTTTTTACTAAAGGTTTACTAAAGATAGGAACATAGAAAGCAAACATCAACTCATAGAAAGTAAGAGGAGGGGAAAAAAAAGAGAAGGAAGGCAAACCTAACAGCGCAAGAGAGAAAAAAAGAAAAACAGCAGAAAAAGGGGAAAGGGAGGAAAAGAGAAGCAGCTGCCGATTCTCTTCACAAATTTGTGAACTTCGATCGCGCATCCACCTCTTCCCTTGCGGCCAGTGACATCCCATCTTTTCATCCCAGAATCTATTCTGCGTCATTTCCAAAACCACCAATCGCAAATTCAGATTCTTTCCCCCCCCATTTCAACTGCCCCCGTCCCCCATCTCCCCGCCTCCCTTACCTGTCCCGATGCTGACCACGACCCCCAGCCCCTCCTGCCCCCTCCTCATGATGATGGCGGCCAGGATCTTGCGTCCCAGCAGACTGTGCTGGATGCGGGCGGTCAAGGCGTTGAAGCGCTGGTGGCTGAGCATGGCGATCTGGTCGTGCAGCGTGCTCCCGCTGACCGGCAACTGCAAGCGGGAGGAGGAGAAGGTCAGCCGTGCCCTTCCGGGCCTGGGGGTCTCCGACCCCCTTGGGGCAGGGAGAGAATGAAGACCAAAAGCAATCGGTCAAGCAATCCGGCCCAAGGGCGTCCAGATTGGGAACTGGGTCGCCAGGAAGCAGATTGGGGGGGGGGGGAAAGAGACTAGAAGGGGCCTGACCTCGGTGACGCCCAGCCCTTCGGCCATGTGCTCAGCCTTCTCGTTCTCCCCGATCAGGACTCGGAGCGCTGCGTCGGCCGCTTCCTGTTTGCCCTGCTTCTTGCTGTGCGCCGTGACGGACGGGAACCAGCGGCCGCCCACCTTCGCCTGGAAGACGAACCTGCCGGAGAGAATCGGCTGGAGATGTCTCGGGCCCTGGCACCCCCGGAAAAGTTGAGATTGCCCTCAATTTACAACAGTCCATTTAGTGACCATTCAAAGTGGCAACGGCACTGGAAAAAAAAGCGACTTTTTCTTCACGTTTACGACAGTTGCGGCCTCCCCCGCGGCCACATGATCAATACTCAAGACACTTGGCAAGGGACTTACGACAGTCGCAGTGCCCCGGGGTCACGTGATCCCCTTTCGCGACCTTAAAAGTCAAGGGGGAAGCCGGATTCATTTAGCGACCGTTGTGACGAAGTTAACAAATGCAGCGATTCGCTGAACGAGCGCGGCGAGAAAAGTCGTAAAGTGGGGCGAAGCTCACTTAAGAAGCGTCCCATTCCTTTAAGGGCGGCGAGGAAGGCCGTATAAAGGGTGCGAAACTCAACCGGTGTCTCGCTTAGCGATGGAAACCTTGGGCTCAGATGTCGTCGTAAGTCGAGGACCACCTGTATGATGGCGGAGAATGGGCAGGTTTTCGAGAGAGGGGCCGAGCCGGACGAACGGCGGCCCGTCCACTTACTTGGGGTCGTGAGGAGGGCCGGTCTGATCGATCAGCTTGAATTCAGCCGCGAAGCCGTTGGCCCGGGCGTACTCCAGAAGGCCGCTGACCGGATTCGAATTCAGGTACTTGATCAGCTCGCCGACCCCCTTGGCGCTGACCGTCTTGGCCTCCTCCGGATTGGCCAGCTGGCCACCTTGCAACTCCAGCGGGGGCTCGGAGGGGGCTTCCGTCTAGGAAGGGATTTGGGCCGTGAACGGAGCGGGCAAAGGACGTTGGGGAGGGGAAGGAAAACGGGGCAGGGCTTACCTGCTCAGGTGAAGGGATGGTTTCGCCAGTCAGCCCCTTCATGGCGGCCTCGGCGGCCATTTGCTTCGCCCCCTTCTTGCTGCTCGAGACCACGGCGGGGAAGATCTGCTCGCCCACCTTGACGCAGTATCGAAACCTGAGCAGACACCGGAGGAATAATCCGTGTTTAATCTGGGTGCAACTGAACCGGAACAGATGCCGGAGGAATAATCCCTCTTTAATTTGGGTGCAACTAAACCATTTTGTCCCATTTTACGACCTCCCTTGCCACAGTTGTTACGGGAACCACTGCAGTGGTGAAGTCAGTCACACATGGTCGCTAAGCGAATCCGGCTCCTTCCTTAACTTTGCGAGCCAGGAGATCGCAAATGGGGATCACGTGACCCCAGGGACGCGCCGACCGTCGTAAGTACGAGTCAGTTGCCGAGCGTCTGAATTTGGATCACGTGACCAGGGGGTAGGCGTGAAAAAACGGTCGTAAGTCGCTTTTTTTCCAGGGCTGTGGTCAGTAAACGAACCGTTGTGAAGTCGAGGATTCTCTGTATTAACAACCGTGTGACAACTTAAACCTGCCGTGATTTACTTAACGAAGGTGGAAAAATGGGGCAAAACTCATCAACCATCTCACTTAGCCACAGAAAACTCAGCTGTGGTTGTTAAGCCGAGGACTGCCCATAGTAGCAAAGCCCCTTCTGAAGTGGCAGATAGGGTTTCCTGCCTGAGCAGGGGGTTGGACTAGATGACCTCCAAGGTCCCTTCCCATATCACCATCATTGGCTTACTTTGGGTCATGAGGCGGTCCCTCCTGAGAGAGGAGCTTGAATTCGCACACGCTGCCCAGCTTCTGGGCGTATTCCATCAAGGCGCTGATGGGGTTCTTCCCGCCGAGGAGGCCGAGCTGTGGGGCGGTGGGCTCGGCTTCAGCCTCGGGCTCGGTCTGTTCAGGCTGGAGAGCAAGAATGGAGAAATGATAATAAATAGGGAGGAGCCAGCTTCAGAAAGGAGCCGTCTCTTTGGCCTGGATTTGGTCTCCTCCTCCTCCTCCTTCTCACAAACCCCCCTCCTTTGTAGCACTGATGATGTTGCCTAGTTGGGTCAGGAAACGTCTGCAAGGAAACCACCCAGCTCAGAGAGCACCAAGGATCCCAAAGTTCGTTCTTTCTTTCTTTCTTTCTTTCTTTCTTTTCTTTTCTTTCTTTCTCCCATCCTTCCTTCCTGTCTTTCTTCCTTCCTTCTTTCCTTCCTTCCTTCCTTTCTTCCATCCATCCATCCATCCATCCATCCATCCATCCATCCATCATCCTTCTCCTCCCTCCTAGCCCTGATAATGTTGCCTAGCTGGATTAGGAAACATCTGCAAGGAAACCACCCAGCTCAGAGAGCACCTAGGACTCCACAGTCCTCTTCCTCCTCCTCACCAGCTCCGCCTCCCTGAAGGAGCTGTCCTCGTACAGCGACGTCTCGGGCCCCATGCCATCCTCTCCCTCATTCTGGGCTTCATGGAGAAGGATCTTCATGGCGATGGCGGCTGCTTCTTGCTTGGCCAGCTTTTTGCTGCCTGCTTCGGCTGGAGGGAACCGGCGGGTGTCAATCTTGGCTTGGAATTTAAACCTTGATGGACGAGAGAGGGGGGGGGAGGGGAATAATAGAAAGAGAATGAGAAAAGAAAATGAGAGAGAAATAGAGCAAGAATGAAAGAATGAGAAAAAAAGAATGAAAGAATAATAACTTTATTGTCACTTTAAATGTACACTAATTGCCATACATTAAAATGAAAATTTTCACTGCATACAGGTCTGAAAGAGTCGCCACCTCCAATATACGCTACATAAATATGACAAAAATAAATAACAGAATTATGCAGATACCCACATATATTATAGGACACAGAGAAACAACACAGAAAGCGAGTGAGAATGGAAGAGAGCGGGAAAGCGAATGAAAGAATGAGAAAGGAAGAGGAAGGAAAGGAGAAAGATAGAAAGCGAGAATGAAAGGAGAGAAAAAGAATAAGGGAAAAAGAAAGCGAATGAGAGAATGAGACAGAAAGAGAAGGAAAGAAAAAGAATGTGAGAAAGAAAGGGAACGAGAGAGAATGAAAGAGGGAGTGAGAAAGTCTGTGAGAGAGAAACAGCAATGAAAGAATAAAGACAATTAAGGAGAATTTGGTTTTTAGGCCCAGGCTACCATGTTTCATACATATTTCACATGAACTGGGGGGGGGGATTGGACTAGAAGACCTCCAAGATCCCTTCCAGCTCTGCTATTCTATAATCCCAGATCAATTAACCTGTGGAACAGCCTGCCTCCAGAAGTTGTGGGTTTTTCAGAAGAGATTGGACAGCCATTTGTCCAATCAGCCGGCTTGCACCCCTTCGGCAGAACCGGTAGCTAATTTTTTTGTTGCCCGGGCCCAGAACGGACTTCTGGAAATGGCCTCCACACAGAGAACCGGTTGTTCACCGATTTGAATCCCACCACTGGTTATAGGGTTTCCTGCCTGAGCAGGGGGTTGGACTAGAAGACCTCCGAGGTCCCTTTCCATTCTCTTATTCTGTTTTCCAAGAAAACAAAAGCAACAACACCCAGGTGCCTTTAGGACAACCACGGCTTGGATGGCTGAGAATCTCCCGAGATGTCCTCCCCCTCCCTCCAACGCCCCCACCCCGGCGAAGTCTCCTACCGTGGCTCGTGGGACGGCCCACTCTGCTTCAGCAAGACGAACTCACAATGCTGGTACATGTACTGCGTATATTCGATCAAGCCGCTGACGGGATTCTTCTTCTGGCAGGCCATGAGCTTCTCCAAGGGGGTGCACTGGAAGGCCGTGTCGAACTGGGCAGCGTAGCTGGGCGAGAGGGGGGACACCATGATGTACCGCGACTCGTCCTGGTTGCTCATGGCGTTCATGTCCTCGGGGATGTCGTCGCTGGCCCAGCTGCTATTCTCAAAATGGTCGTAAAGGGAGAAGCGGTAGTACCTGGGACGCTTGCGAGAGGGGCTGCCCCACCGTGGGCGCCTGGCGCCCGGTTCCATCAGTTCGGTTGCCTGCTGCCCGTTCTCGATCTTCTTCTCCTCCTCCTCCTCCGGCAGCGGAGGTGGTGGAGGAGGAGGAGGAGGAGAAGGGTGAGGGGAGGGCAGGTGGGCAGGGGCCTCGGGTTCAAGGCACGGAGCTGGGGGCTCGGCGTCTGATGGGACCATCTGCTGGACCTCTTCGACTTTTATCTTGACCTGCATCCGTTTACGCTTGTTGTCCGTCAGGGACCACTTGGGAGGGTTGGCGTTCTCCTTGTGCACCTCGCCCAGCTTCTCCAGGGCCAGGAGGGCGGCGTTGACCTCCCTGGCCTTGTTCAGGCCAATGTTCTTGGCCAGGTTGTGGGCGGTGGAGTCCACCACCCCAAACAAGAAGCTGCAGATCTTCTCCTTGACTTCAGCCATGTCAGGGGAAGCGACGGAGGAGTCCTCCTGATCCGAAGCAGAACTTCCTTCTCCAATCCCCAAGTCCAGAAGGCGGCTGCGCTCCTCCCGGATGGATGGACGTCCCTCCTGGCTTGCTTCCCAGACGTCGCACCCCTCCGCTAACCTCCACAGTGGCGGAGTTCTCCCCGACCGACTCAGCTGCCCTTGGTGGTGAAGCTTGTAGAGATGATGGTTGACCACTTTCTTCTGGACGTGCAGCCGGTGGGCGAGATGGTGAGCGGATACCGTCTGCCCAGATTTCAGGTCGCTCAAGATCTCCAGGAGATTCTGCTCCACGTTTTGCTTGCTCAAGGTCAGCCCCTGAAAGCTGGAGACCAGCTGGTCAGCTCCACCCGTCGGACAAGCAGCGGCGTAGCTTGGCTTAGGACGTAACGGCTGCTTCTGCCCCTGCCAGACACCCTTACAAGGCTGACTTCTGGCTGGGTCCCTGTAGTTGGACCATAAATTGAAACGGGGCGAGGGTGGAAAGGATGTTCCTGGCTCTTGGGACCTCTGCGCACCAGGCTTCCAGAGCGGAGCTTCGGAGAGTTCTCCTTGCAGAAAGAGGATCTGCTCTTGATGAAAATCCACAAGTCTACCGGATCTGGGCGAGGATTGATCTGAAGCTGTTTGGCCAGTAGGGAGTCTGCTCATAGCATGCTGATGGGGAAGACGAACAGGGGTGAAGACATTGTCAGCAGATGTCGAGCAACCTGGCAAAGGGACAAGAAGGCACGTTTCAAACCGGGTTGCAGGCAGAGGAGAACTTCCTAGTTCCCCTCAGGTTGCCCGTTGGCTTTGTGGAGACAAGCCCTCGCGGTCGCCAGCATTCCAAAACGACTTGAGGGCACATAATCCACCCGTCCGCTACTCCAGACCTTAAGCACCCTGCCAGGTTTAGCGCCAAGCCCGCTTTCTTGGACCCAAGAAAAGCTATTTTAGGAACATCTACAAGAATCAGGGATTCGTAAGCCGTCTCCAAACACAGCCGGCTTTGCTCCTCCATTAAAATAATAATAATAATAAATTCGCTGGATATGAGCTTCCCAAATCTTTCCTTCGTCCCTTGCAAATACTTGTGCTTAAATTTTTTTTTTTTTTAAAGAATTGTTTTCCTGGCTTGGTCCAAGGTTTTTAGCATCAGCCCTTTCTTTTGGCAATAGTTTAGGGATGAGCGGAGGAACAATAGTTCTGCTTCCCAAAGGGAATGAGCTGATGTTTGCACCCCGGGAAGTAAATTTCTTTGGAAAAGGCCGGCTTACGGCTTGCGTTGTGCCAGGTTGAATCTAAGGCTTATCCGATCTAACCACTCTGTTCTTTGTACAGATAATTAAAAGAACTATTAATATGCCTCTCATATACTGCCCTATGCCTGGCTCAATTTAACCACAGTTTGTGGACTTTGCCACAAAAAGTTTAGTTCACGCAAAATGTCGATCTGTACAAGCAGGATGGGACATCATTTTAAACCAAATCAAACACACTTGGCATAATTAAAAATAAAAAATCCTCAGCCTACGTTCGTAGCTGTCTTTTCTTTCTCAACCCCTGTAAAATTAGATATACCAAAAGAAGCACCCAAAAAACTATTTTATAAATGCACAGAGGGATGTTCTTATGGAACGTTCCTAACAGCTTCTAAATGCCTACGTATTCAGGGAAATAATTCTTAGCCCTCTGTCACATCCCTTTGCAATTCTCAATCATCCCTCTCCCCTCTTTAATCGAAACCTTAACAGGAGGGGTGCATATGTGTGTGTCGGTGTTTGTGTCTGTGTCTGTGTGCGTGCATGCATGCAAACCCATACCAGGTGAAGAGCAGCGTAAAAAAAAAAAAATCAAATTGCAATGTAAAATCCCGGAAACCAAGGATAGAAGTTTACAGACGTAGTTGCAGACTCGGAAAATCTTTTTTCCAAATCCTGGAAATATTTTTCATTTTTTAAAGGACAGACCTGGAATAAAAATGGAACCCCCCTTGCGTGGAGATTTGTAGTGTCTTATAAAAGGGGAAGGCAACCCGTGAAAAAGTTCTCATGCTTCCAATTATTAGGACCCTGAAACGGATCTCAGTTCCCAATCAAACTCATTCCCTTATCTTTCAAACTCAATAAACTGCCCTACAGGAGCCTTCACGCCTCCCTTCTCTCATGCTTAAAGGTAGCTACAAGTCAGCTTCTTTTTTTTTTTTTGCCAAGGAACACACTCTACCTCGCTTATCATGTCGGAATGCAGTTCTGGCTCACATGCTACAAGAGATTTACTCCTGGGTAAAATGGACACAGGGGTGTAATTGTCCGCTCTGGACAACTCACCGACTTTTCCCACCCTTAGGACATCTCCAAAGCGAAGTGTCCCCTCGTCAAGCATTGAATATTTACCATGCAGAGTGGATTTTTTCCCCAGCTAGCTGGGTCTGTTTGCACCTCATCTTGGGAAGAGTTGAAAAAAAAAGGGGGGGTGTCTTCCCCCAGAGGAGGGGGTGGGACACACGGGGGGGGGGGAAAGGGGTCTGAAGTGGGCAGAGACAGAAACTCAATAAATAAAGGCTTACCATTTGGCTTTTTCCTCCGAGGAGCTCTGTGCATTGCATCAAACTCGCAAAAGGCCGACACAGAAAGTTCCTGTCCCCACGCCAGGGAAGGGATCGAGATGTGCATGGGTGTGCATGAACACAAACACAGGGCTTGCAAAAAAACGTGCTAGGCACAGGGGGAGGAGAGGGTTCCCAGCAAGGGGACAAGCTTAGCCAAGCGAGAATCAGGGCTAGGGGGAAAATAACCTGCCCCCCCCCTATTTAGAATGGCTGGGGGGGGGGGAGAGAAAAAAAATTAAGTTTCACTTTCTATTCTCCTCCTTCTGGCCCTTTTCCCCCAGAGGGTGGGGTTTGTGGCTAGAAAAAAAAAGGACAGCCTCTTTGAAAGTGAAAATTTCAGTTCCCTTTCATCACCTACGTTGGGCAGGGCTACCTGCCAGATGTCTGGTTCCCCCCCCCGTCTTAAAAAAGCAAATTTCTTAAGCCTGGCCAGTTTTGGGTGGTGGGTGAGATCATAAACATGATTAGAGAAAAGAAATTGGGGGAAAAAATGGCTGGGAATCTGGGCAGATTTTTTTTTCCAGTGCCATTGTTAACTTCGAATTGTCACTAAATGAGCTGTTGTTCATATATTCTTGAATTTAGGATAAAAACTAAGTTATATTCTTAAATTTAGAATATAAAAAAGTTATATTCTTGGATTTAGGATTAAAAAAATAAGTTATATTCTTGGATTTAGGATAAAAAAAGTAACTTATATTCTTGGATTTAGAATAAAAAAGTAATTTATATTCTTGGATTTAGGATTTTAAAAACCAAGTTATATTCTTGGATTTAGAATTTTAAAAAGTAATATCCTTGGATTTAGAATAAAAAAAATAAGATATTCTTGTATTTAGGATTTAAAAAACTAAGTTATATTCTTGGATTTAGGATAAAAAAAGGATAGGATTTAGGATTAAAAAAATTAAGTTAAATTCTTGGGTTTAGGTAGGATAAAAAAAATTAGATCAGATTCTTGGATTTAGGATTTAAAAAAAATATGAAAGTACATTCTCGGATTCGGCCTTTCTGAAATTCAGGGTCCTTATCTAACCCCATCCTCATCAGCCCTCTTCACACAGACCGTGATCTCAAGATTGCGGCCTCCAGGCGCCAAGAGGCTCAAACGGATCGATCAGGAGATTTTTATCACAACAACCCATCAGGGACAGGCGGTAAACAGGAGAGCGGTCAACTTTTGTTCCCGGTATTGGTTGACCAGTTCAAATAACAACAGGCTCACCTTTCTCCTGGTGCAAAACGAGATGTGTGACAGATAAGCCAAGATCTCACCAACTGCCGGGGACTTGGGTAAGCCACAACCACCTCACTTAAGGCCATCCACAAGTCAACCTACCTGGAGAGGTGAGTGTCAAGGTGTGGGAACAAGGATATTTAGGGTGAAGTCCACCCTCGACCACGGAAAAATCCAAGAAGCTAGTACGGTAGCTACTTTCCTGGCTCGTGGATTTTATCCAAAGGCGGCAGCTTTGTGAAACGTTGATCTTTGAATAAAATCTGTTCTTGGAAAAGGTTGAACGGAGTTGGGAGACCTTAGAGGTCTTCTACTCCAGCCCCGCTGGTCAAGCAGGAGATTTCCAGGCTCTTTTGCTACCGTAAATTGACGCAATTCTTTCCCTGCAATATTTAGAATGGGAGGGGTTTTGGGGTGAATCGCTCTCAGCCCAAGCTACCTTACAGGGTTGTCGTTGCGGAGAAAATAGGAAGACGCCGCTATGCAATTCAAAAGCAAGAGGGAGGTTGACAAGACACGTCAAAAAGCCAGCTTGGGTTGGTTAAGATGGGGCTAGGCTAAAAACTAGGCAGCTGTGAGTTCTAGTCCTGCCTTAGGTTAGACTGGGATTGGCCTGGTGCCTCAACCGCTACCCTCATCTATTGTGCAGGTAATCCTTGATTTGTAACGATTTGTTTAGTGACCATTCAAAGTTACGACATCTCTCCACACCTACAACCAATCCCCATGGTCATGCGATCAAAAGTCAGAGGCTCGGCAACGGACTATGACGGGTGCAGCATCCCGGGAGTTCCCGCGATCCCCTTTTGTCACCGTCTGACGAGCAAAGTCAATGGGGAAACCGGATTCACTTAACATCCGCGTGACTAATTTAACGATGGGAGCGATTCACTTAACAACGGTGGCCAGACAGATGGTAAAAACAGGGGGCAAAGCTCACTGAACCATTGTCTCACTTAGTGTCAGAAATTTTGGGCTCAATTGCGATCGTTGAGGACCGCCTGCACTAGCCAGTGACTTTCACAAAGATTGCAACTATACGGACAAGCCTGCTTGTTCCTTTTCTCTGTCTCCGGCCTCGCACACATGCACACGCGTGCACACACACACACACACACACACACAAGAAACACACTTGGAAACCTCCCAGCTACGGTTCACTGCCCCTGTCTAACAGGGCCAATTGAGAACACCTTCGGTGCTTGGTCTAAATTGGCCGGTTACTTGAGTCAGGGAGATGAAATTTCATTAGAGGTACAGTTAACACACTGCCTTCTTTGGAGGGGGGAAGTAACTAACTGGGAGGGAAATATTCATAGCACTTCCCTACTTTTGTTCCATACAGTATTAACCTTCTGAACTCTAAAGCTTCCTCCTTCCGTTAAGTATTCAAGATGGACAGTGATTAATAATTATATGTTACTCGTATGTAAGGGTGTAGGTCTATACACATGCTGTGTATAGTATGTTTAAATGTGTGTTATGTTCGTGTATTTTGAGAGCAACTAAATTTCATTTTTAATGTGTACCATTGTGCCCACAGTAAAAAATGACAATAAAGGCCATCTATCTATCTATCTATCTATCTATCTATCTATCTATCTATCTATCTATCTATCTATCTATCTATCTATCTATCTATCATCCATTTACTTATCATCCATTCATTTACCTATCGTCTGTCCGTCTGTCTACCTACCTACCTATCAATCATATTTTGGCGTTGGGGAGTCATCACCAAGACCCAATGTATCAGTTTCTTACCAAAGGAAATAGATCTTCCTTTATCTTTAAGACGAATTCTAAAATTCCTTCTAAAACCTTGTAGTTGAAGGAACATATGGAATTGTACCTGCAATGGCTTAATTAGGAATAAAATGAGATTTAAAAGGACACAAGGGTGCTCAAACATCCATTCAGCCTGTCTGTATAAAATGCCTTGGCCAGTACATTTTAGCACAGTAGCAAAGGGTCGGACTAGAAGACCTCCAAGGTTCCCTTCCAGCCCTATGATTCTATAAAAACCAAGCACATAAGTCTATGAACTGCATGGAGTTGCATTGAGCAAAGGGTCAGACTAGAAGACCTCCAAGATTCCCTTCTAGCCCTATAAACTCTACAACAATCAAGCACATGGATTTATGAACTGGTTGCATCGCATCGCATGGCATTTCCCCCTCCTAGGCCAGGCGGAGCCGGGCAGACGCCCCCAGGGCCTGCTGCAGCTTCCCGTCCCTCCCAGGCGGGCCTTTGCACCCGCAGCCCCTACCCCGATCAGCCCCGGCCCAGCCCGGCCTTACCTCCCTCCCCTTTCGGCGCTTTGCCTGGCGCCGCCGAAAGAAGCCGCCTCTATTGTGCGGGGCCAGCGCCGGCGAGCACCGATGACGCCTTCAGAGCGCGACCAGCGGCCTTCCTGGGCCCGCTGGCGAGCCCGGCGGCGCCATTTTTGAAGAGGGCAAAACTGGTCGCTTCCTGGTGGCAAAGCGACGCAATGATATTTTTAAAGGTAGATTTGCACAAGGCGTCGTTTTCCCCCCGCATTTTGCGCCTTCTGATGCTGCTGGGCGAGTCTCCAGCACCCACCGCTGCACGGGGATGATGGTGGCAGTAGTCTCCCCTCTTTTTTTTTTTTTAAAAAAAGATTCACTAATCCCATTTTCTCTTCTGCAAAGAACAGTCCTATGCATGATAACATTTGAAAGTGACAGCTATTGTGTAAATGTTTCTGTGTGTGTGTGTGTGTGTGTGTGAGAGAGAGAGAGAGAGAGAGAGTATGAGAGAAAGAGAGAGAAAGGGAGGGGGAGTGAGAGAGAGAAAGTGTGTGTGTATGAGAGAGAGAAAAAGAGAGGGAGGGGGATAGAAAGTGTGTGTGTGAGGTTGAGAGAGAGAGAGAGAGAGAAAGTGTGTGTGTGTGTATGAGAGAGTGAGGGGGAGAGAAAGAAAGTGTGTGTGTGAGTGTGAGAGAAAGGGGGGAAAGAGTGTGTGTGTATGAGAGAGAGAGAAAGGGAGGGGGAAGAGAGAGTGTAAGAGAGAGAGAGAGAAAGGTGTGTGTGTGTGTGTGTGTGTGTGTGTGTGTCTGCTGCCCGGGATCCTACACTATTATCCTTCAAAAGACGCAAGGGGGAGAAGGGCGAGACCCAAGGCTGGTGCAGTCTTAAGCCCAACCGACCTCACAGGGCTGTTGTGGGGCAAAGCCACATTACGCTCCTGAACGAAAGGGAGATAAAAGGCTAAGAAAGGATCTTTGGATCTTGATGGCTTCAGCAAATTGGCTTTCCCTCCTAGGCTTGGCTCCTGCAATGCCCCAACCTGTGACTGCTGCTCCCGAGTGCTGACAATCTCCCCCCCCCTCCAATATGCATGCAATAGGAACCCCGTTTGCATTCAGACGACCCCTCCCATCATTTCCAGCGCCGGCCCCAACTTCGCCCCCTCCCCTTTCCAAGAGCTGGATGGCAACCCTCACCCCAGCCAGCAGGCAGGCTGCGGAGGATGGGAGCAGTGGCGCCCGCCTCTTGAGGGCGCCAGGTTGGGGAAGGACAGCTGGAGGGGGGCGGGCGCATCCCCGCCCCTTCGCCCACCGCGCGCCTGGAGGCTCGCGGGATGCAGAACGGCGGGCGGCGCCGGCGCGCATGCGCGAGAGGCGCAGGTAGCGCCGAGTCCATCAGAGCGAAGCCGAACCCAAACAGGAATTTCAAAAGGGGGGGAACTCACGGGCTACTGCGCACGCGCAACGCGGCCCGGCGGACTCGCTCTCCCGGTACGGCGCATGCGTGACTCGAAGCAACGCGTTTCCCGCTCAATCCGCTTCGCCTTTCCCGTCCGCTTTTCCTCCCCGCGTCCGTCGCCGTCCCGCTTTCCCCGCCGCCCTACCGGCCCTCACCGGGGTCGTCTCACCTCTTCCGCCCGGAGCAAAGTCCCGGTGGAGACGGCAGTCGAAGGGCGGCCGCCCGCTTTCTCTTTTATTTCCTCAGCCCCGCAGTGCCTGGGGCGCAGAGTGATGGCGTCACGCGCAGTGCGCGGCACACAAGTCTCCTCATCCTTTTCCGCTCGGACGTCACGGGGGGCGTGGCGCCTCGCCATGGCAACCGCAAGATCGCTCGGGCCGGCTCCGCTGGGCAAGCCGGGAGTGAAATGGAACCTCCAGCGTTAAGAGCAGTCTACCTCGGACCTTGGAAACCGGCGGGACTGACACATCTGGGGGTCTAGATAACGTGGACTACAAGATCCATCCCCCACTACCCAGGTTGACTTTTAGCACGAGAGGGGGGCAAGCTGGGAGTTGTAATCCAAACGAGAGAAGAAGCCCAGTGGCTTGGATGGGGTTGAGAGGGGCAGCAAATTTAATTGTAATTGAATTGAATGGTAAGCTGCCCAGAGTCGTTTTGCAGAATAAAGGAATAAATACCGTTTTAACAGGCTGGCAGGGGATAATGGGAGTTGCAATCCCACAGCTGTCCTATCTACATTGATTGATGATATAGCCACCATCTCCCAGACATGATTCAGGGTGGCTCATAATAATAAAATAATAGTAATAAATATAAAAAGAGCATGTGCTATAAAAAAATAGTGTCAAAAGCATATAAAATCGTATAGGACAGATCTTGAATTCATAGATGAGCTAGGGATGATGTTCACTGTACTCCAGCTGCCAAAAACCAACACACACACACACACACAAATTTAATCACCCATTTGGAAGGCATCCTTTTTAACGCATTGTTCCACTTGCAAACAAAATGGGTTTAATCCCACCCATCCTTCCTTTAAATTCCTCCTGGGTTGCTTGTATCTGAATGGGAAGGCAAAGCCTTTCCCTTTGATCTAAACATGAGAAGAAGGAGGGGGGAGAGAATCCCCTCCAAGGGCTTAATTCGCCCCCTCCCCATTCATTTGCACTCGTTTTCTTCCTAACCCTGGCAGTAACTTAATCCGATTAGTAGAAAAACGCCTGGCATCAAACAGATGGGCGGTTTGTGGCTAGTTTTCTTATAAATAACCTTGTAATTTGCCATCTGGCTCTTAATCCAAAGGCTGATTGTGGCTTGTTGCTTCTCTTTAAGGCTAATACCTTCTCTTGGATCTTACAAACACACAATCATGGCTTAGGCAGGGGTATCCCAGGAGGTCCCATTTCTGTTGACTTTGTAGCCCGGCTGGGCAGCCTGCTACCCACTATGAGGATGCTGTGACGGGTCGTAAGTGTGAGGCCGGGTTGTAAGCCAGTTTTTTTCCCACAGCCATTGTAACCTCCGTCGCTAAACAAAGGGCTGTAAATTGAGGACTCCCTGTATTATTGTAAATGGGGGTGTTAAAACACTGGCTAGCTGGATCCCCCCCCCCAATGGATAGTATAACCACAGCTAAATTGAGTGAGGCTCAACGGACAGTTGCTCCAAGCCAGTTTCACAAAGAACTGGGGCAGGGTCTGGGGGAAAATGTCCCCCGACTCCATTATTTTCAGGTCATCCAGTTGTTAGATGGCGCTAAAACCTTATTAATATTAATAAGGCATGATAGGCCTTAACTCGGTTTAAGACTCAAACCAGGATGTTTTCTGCGCCCGTGTCGCACCGACCGGGCCTCCCGTCGCCCCGTTAATATTAATAAGGCGTTAAGAATAAAAATAGAGAAGAATAACCTGAAAACGCCATTAAAAAGTTTTTATTTTTTTCGGCGGCAGCAATGCCCGTTTTGACCACAGGAGGGCAGCGTTTCCCGCCCCATAGCATTAACGTTCAGGCCGTCGTAGGCCTATTGCCAAGGATCGGGACGCCGAGAAGCTTAAGCCACAGAGCGCAGAGCGTCAGCCAAAGCGTCGCCACTCTGTGCTCCTCCGTAAGGGACTGGCCGCTTCCTTCGGCCTTCTGCGCATGTCCGTCGGCTGGCTCTTTACGACATATCTCCGAGAGGCCTTCTCCGCGGACTTCCTGTCCCTCGATATCGGCCGTCCCCCAAGTCTTGTGGAAAAAGGACGTTTCCATCATGGCCGACTTCCGGTCCGTCCTTCTTAGTCATCTTCCAACTTCCTTTTGCGGCGGACTTCACGTCCGAGCAACGAGTTAGGCCGTAAACTTAAAACCCCATTAAAAGAGCTTCTGTCTCTTTGGCGGCCGCAATACCCGTTTTTCACCAAAGGAGGGCACAGTTTCCCGTCCCATAGCATTACCATCGAGGTCGTCGTAGGCCTTTTGCCAGGCTCCTGACTGCAGGATCCCAAATATAGTGAAGGAAGACGTGAAAAATACTTTACTGTTTCTGCATCATGTCTTCCAAGCGTTACCCGGTTGCAACAGTTTGTACAACAATTCAAAACATAATACAGTCTTACAGATAAAATACATAAAAGCATAATCCAATATTTTAAGGATAAAAAGTCACATAAAAATTACAAAAGCAATGATAAAATACCATGGGTTAAATAGTTCACTAATTTAAAATGACATTTTTGACAAAAGGTGAGGTGTAAAAAGGAACCATAGTTGTCATCAAAACATTTTTCTCAGAAGAAAGAAAACACAACTTCAGTGTTCAAATACATAAATATCACAACAGGTATCTCTTGGTGAAGAGATGGTGATAAGAAAGAATACATAAAAACAGGCAAAAGGTAAAACTTGTCTACCATAAGCATCACAACTACTTAACAACAGTAAATCAGGAGTAAAACTCAGTTGTATTACAAAAAATACATGTCAAACAGAAATTTCAGGAACAAAAAGACAAATGTGTGTGACAAAAGAAATCAAAATTCTTGAGGTGACCGCCATACTGTGTGTCATGTTTAATATTTATCAGTCAAAACATAACTTACACATTTTAAACAACAGCCGTGGATAAAATTATTCCAAATAGAAATCTTTTATCAATCACTGGCCGCACCAGACAGTAAAAAGGGCGCTGAGGTTTTCTGTCTGGTTCTAAGAACCATGGCTGTGGCTAAATTTATGCCAGGCAGAAAACTATACAATCTATTATCAATCACCGGCACACCCAGCGTTAAAAAGGGCCACTGAGATGTTTTCTGGTTCTAAGAACGACCATCGTGCCTAAATTAAGCCAGGCAAGAAATCTACTCAGGGTTTCAATGGCCACATCTAGAATTTAAAAGGGTCACACAGATTTATTTTCCAGTTCGAAGACATAATGTTTCACCCTAGCAAAAAGCTAGTTATTAATTTATAGAGATGGCAATACCTCGTATTAAAGTGTGTCACCAGGTTTACTTTTGGTTCCAAGAGATCTGGCTGCAGCTGACATTATTTCTCAGGGTATGAAGTTGGGAGGGAAGCGATTCAAAAAGATTCCCTTCCAGTTTGAGACTCAGCTGGGGCACCGGAGGAGGCTTGTAGTTGAGCGCTGTTGACTCCTCCAGTGTGATTTGCCCTCGCTGCTCACTCAGGTACTGAAAGGGTCTCCCTCCCAGGGTGGGTCTCACAGGGTGTGCTCAGAGACTGAAGGAGCCTGGGCGCTGACTGGCTGCCTACTCATTCAGTGTGAGTTTCACAGAGTGGTAACTCAGGGGCTGGAAGACCCCTGTCAGGAGTGCCTTGGCATCACCTCTGTGAGTCAAGATGGTCTCAGCAGCAGTGCAGCCTTTTGCCCAAGAAATGCACCCATCACCCGTGCCCATTTACAGCCAGCTTTCCTCCTCCCCTGCCCTCCCGCAGCCATTCTCCACGGCCAGTGGGACCTTGGCCCTCTGCCTGTCGCCCTTCGGCCCGGCCAATTCACCCAGATACCGTTTGTCCTGGGTCTTTGGCTGTATGGGCCAAATACCCCCAGCCAATCGGGTGGCAGGCAGGAGCCATGGTGCTGCGGGGGTAGTGTGCGATGAGCAACCCCAGGGGCTGGGAGGGGCAGCTGTGATGCAAGATTTTTTAAAGTGCTGTGGCTGCTCTGCAAGCTTTGGGGCCTTGCAGCTCTGTCACCAGAATCGGAAGGAGGGGGACTGGCAGCAGAAGTAGCAGCCACCGGGGCCACTGGGGGGGGCAGTCAGACAAGAGTGTGTTGGGGGGACGAGGGAGGGAGGGAGGGAGGGGCACCTCAAGGGGGCTTCACTAAGACAGCTTGACTCGCAACTCGAACGAAAGAGGGGAGGAGGAGCAAGGCCGGAGCAGCTTCTGCCACAGCCAGGGGGTGGGTTAGGGGGGCGCACAGGCAAACAGCAAGGCCAGCGTTCCAACCCCCAAACCCATGCCATTTGCCCTCCCTTCCCTCCCAAGGCGCAAGCAGTCCCTGCCAGTTGCCCTCCCTTCCCTCCCACGACGGCGCACGCAGTCCCATCAGCCCCTCAGCCCTGGCCAGTTGCCCTCCCTTCCCTCCCACGACGGCGCACGCAGTCCCATCAGCCCCGCAGCCCTGGCCAGTTGCCCTCCCTTCCCTCCCACGACGGCGCACGCAGTCCCATCAGCCCCCCAGCCCTGGCCAGTTGCCCTCCCTTCCCTCCCACGACGGCGCACGCAGTCCCATCAGCCCCCCAGCCCTGGCCAGTTGCCCTCCCTTCCCTCCCACGACGGCGCACGCAGTCCCATCAGCCCCCCAGCCCTGGCCAGTTGCCCTCCCTTCCCTCCCACGACGGCGCACGCAGTCCCATCAGCCCCCCAGCCCTGGCCAGTTGCCCT